CCCGCCCCGCATGTCCAAAAACAAAACCCCTCGTTCTCGTAACACCTACCACTTTAAACCCCATTGGTCCTATTATATCCTCTTACGGGTAGTAGTTTGCAGGGCCTAACTAGTAGGGCCAAAATTGGCGTTTTTAACTCGAAACACCGGCAACGCCAACCGACCAAAAGAACCAAAACCCCGACATGCTGGGACCTATCATCACCGGAGCTCCAAGCACTGACCCGTGCTTGGTCCCGACATACGTACGGTACTGTAGATTTTTCCACCGTCTCTTCCCTTCGCGGGGATCAATGGAGGAGGAATCCGAATCCCCGGCCAGACGACCATAACTAGGGCCAAGTAAATAGGTGGTGTACCAAAACTCTACCACCACTACAGTCCTGGCACGAACAGGACACAGTCATACCTTGGCTGTGACATTTACCTTCCTTACCTTCCCACTACTCGAAGCGAGCAAGCTGACGAGTCCTAAGCAAATCGGATGGTGGCACACGCGATACGAACCAGCTGATTTGCCCTCTCACATCAGCATCTCACATAGTATTAGTACTTGCTTAAATACAGCCAGCCACTCGCGTTGCCCGCCGATAAGATGCGCCGGATGTATTCTCCGTGCTGCAGGGCTCCCGACGGGCAACCAAAGGCGACGCAAAAAGGAAAAAAGGAGGAATTTTCCGGAAATAATCTTGAGGCTCCCTTACAGATGATTCACCATACCCCAATTCCCAAGGCACCACGCCCTAACGTGCGCTTGGAGGCGAGAGTCACACAGCAGATATGTCGGCCACATTGCAATTGTCCTGATACAAGGACACTCGAGTTGAGGCGTGGGCCCATTGACAATCGCTCCAGCAGATCCCATGATGTGGGGGGACTGCGGTAGTCTGACGACACTGCGCGCGACACTGCGCAGGGCTGAAGTCATGGTGGCGATACCACAGTTATACTCGTGAGAAATGCATACAACCTCTAGTGGGAATAATGAAGTCTATTTTTGAGGTACTCTTCAAATCATATCCATCTCAAATCATCAAGACAGTGCACTGCACTGCACTGCATAGATCTAGAATCCAACGTCCTGGCCGTCATCAAAATCCCCCGAAACATCCATGCCATCCTCATCCATACCCTCGAAAATCATAAATTTCTCGTTCTTGGCTTCGGTCTCATCAGGGATGGAGTTCCCATGCTGTACCTCCGAATCCTTAAGGACACACTCGCGGCCGACATTGCTGCGTTTACCCAACACACAGCCCGTTAATTGGGCTCGAGGGCCAACGACTGCTCCGTCCATCAAGACACACCGCTGCAGTCGAGCGCCCATGGAGATCTTGCAATTAGCTCCGATCACGCTCTCCTTAATAACACAGCGCTCTTCGATAGTCGTGTTCTCGCCGACAAGGCAGTCACTCTTCGTAACCGTGCTTTTTTGCGCAACGTTCGCCGTCTCAGCGATTTTGGTGTTGAAGGCAAAAGGCGAGGCGGCGGCACGGCCAACTTCTTCGATAGCCTCGAGTTTGGCTAGGCGGAGAGATGTAGACAGAAGGATCGCAGAGCTGTCGATGCGCCGGACCAACGGAGCAGATGATAAAGACGAATGGATGTAAGCCAACATGGGTGGGACGGTCAATTCGCTCTTAGCTTCTGAGCCCGGAGCCTTGACACGGGATGCATAAGCGAGTGGGTTCTCCGAAGAGATATCCGTAGTGCCGGTTTTCGTCGTAGACATGTTGGTGAGTGATATTTCTTGCTCGATGTCGCCGTCGTCACTGCCATTTTCTCCGACTGCGGAACTGTGGCTCTCCTGCTGGAAGATCTCGTTCATTTTCAATTTCTCGCCCAACCCCGTTTGCCACTCCGACTTAGCCCACCATCCCACCAAGTCTTCGCTGACGCTCTGAAACTTCTCATTGAGCCGTGCAAAGTCCTTGACCCAGTACGGGAAGACGTAGATGTGAGCGTCGCGATAGCTGGTCAGCATCTTGACTTGAGCGTGCCTCTTCACCAATGAGTGACGGATCAGCAATGCCTTGTCTTCCTCCATTTTCTCCTTTAGTGTATCCATTGGCATTGAGAGGACCAATTTTGACAGGCCGCGTTCAGATCGAATGTCAATCTCGTCTCCTTCCAGCGGCGCCATACACACAAAATCGGCGGCCTCCTTCTTAATGCTCTCCTCCCGGCCTTGTGTCGGATAGAAAACACTAAGACCGCTACGGCGCCCTTCAAGCATCCACGTCTCCAAGAAAGAGATACCAGGGATCTCGCAAATGAGATCACACGGAAGAAGAAGAAAGTCGGATTTGATACACGCCTGAACTTCTGGAAGGCGAAGAAGCTCCGCAGTGCCTGTAACCATTTCTAGGTCGGCGGGTGCCAGGACTGACGGCGAGGGGGACGGTAGGCTGGTGAGATGCGGATTTTGGGAGAGCGCGGCCTCGAGCGCTGGAACAGCAGCTGGGGGTGAGATCAATGTGATAGAAGTGATTCCCATTTTCTTGCACCATTCAATGGGATAAAAGATCTGTGGCCGGTTGGCTATCTGAACCAAACCCTTGGGGTTCTCCTCCGGGTTTGACGTGAAGGTGTTGAGGGATACACCGGGCCCTATCATAAGTAGAACCGTTAGCCACAGCAAAATACACCGTAATTCGGTACACCAACCGCAAAGAATGAGAGCCTGCAGGCCCGTAGCTGGAACAGGGGGCCCCATCGTGAGCTTCAATGGATGGTGGGGTTGTCGACGAACTGTAGAGGCCGGCAGCTGTGTGCAAACGAATGCGAGTCGGAGGGGAAGATGCGCTCAGTAATAATCCAACTGTATCAATGAGCCCTGGTACAGCTCTTTGCCCTAACACAGCTCTGCAACCCGACCTCGCGACAATGACTCGATCCCGCTTTGATGCTTTTTTTGACCGCATCACGTGCTGATAGCTGAGTCATCCCAGCCTCCAGGTTTATGGCAGATGCAAACAGGGCAAACCATAACACCGCGGTAAACAGACACCAGCCACATGGTTTCCGAGGTTCACCTTCTTCGCCTCCCCAACTCCTTCCTCTCCCTTTTCCCTGCCTGGAAGAGGCCTGAAATGTGAAGAGGGCGTCCCTGCGACCGCGATTCTTGTCTCCTGAACGCCACGTTTGATCGACTACCCGCAATGTCCTACCAAGACCCTCGACGCCGCCGCGGCGGAGCCGGCGCCGGCTTCAGCTCTTCAGGCAGGCGCACTGCTACGGGATATTGGATTCCCCTGGCATTGACCGTTGGAGTTGCCACCCTCAGTATTGCGGCCTGGATCTGGAGTGAACGAAACGACGACGACGAAGAAGATGATCGTCCCCATGACAACGGGGAGGGTCCATACCCTCCTCCTGGCACTGTCGGAAACGACTTCCCTCCGCCTGGCTACGGGCCCGGAGAATATGCGCGAGGCACAGGGGCAGAGGTGATACCCGGGCAAGGTGCATATGACCCCAGTATCATGGCGCGCATGCAGGGTGCTTTGCGCCGAACCCCCAGCCCGCAACAGATCTTCGACGGTGCCAGCAGGAGAGTGGTGGCCGGCGTGACTGCTGCGGGTGCCTTCGTTGGTGGCGCTCTCACATCGATCCGGGAAGAAAACCGGGGCGAAAGCCGAGGCGACTTTGAGGACCACACTAGATGGTCGGAAGAGGCCCAATCCCGAGCAAACGAGCGAAGTCAGCAAGCGACCTTGAGTGGTGCTTTGCCAGGCCCCGTGGCAGCTACAGGACAGTCCTCGTCTGGCAAGAAGAAGACCATCGCAATCGTTGTATCCTCTCTTTCTCCCGCTGGTTCCGATGAATTTACCTCGGGACATGCTGTATGGACCTCCTCCACTTTCGCTCTCAGTGATTCATGCTGACAATTGCAGTCTATACTCTCTCACCTTCCGGAACATGTTGACATCGACACCTCGAGAATCTTCGTCTTGATCTATGCCCCGGATCTGAAACACGCCATCACCCCAGGAAGCGCTTCCCAGCCGACCATGTCTAGCGCCTCTTCATACTCGAATATTGCTCACGAAGATGCGGCGTCTTCCGGCGAACTTCCCGCTGGTGATATTGCCGAAGAACTCGAAGGCACGACCCCCTTCTTCAGGAATCTGTATTCCCAAGGTCAGGCGCTGGTCGAGAAGGATACCATGATCATGCCGTTCAGCACCGCAACTGGGTACGTACACCTTGTGCGTCATCTCTCCCCGGACCTTGTCTATGTACAAGAGTCTCTTACTGGAAACGAGGGTGATGCGGTGCGACACATCTCGGGATGGGTCCGACAAGTCATTGTCATCGTCGGCGGTGAGGGTGGCCACGGCGGTCTCATCGATAGCGATGATGAATCCGCTCTGGCCGACCAAGGAGAAAAATGGTGGCAGAAAGAAGGCACTACCGGCATTGGGAAACGGATTGACGTGGTCGACGTGTTGCGCATTGGCGATGACTGGCGTCGACGAGTGCGCGGGTTCGACTAAAGGTATTCTGGCCATGATGTTAATGTTTGATACTTGACCCCTAGCATGTCTATACTATTTTATGATGTTTGCCTGTGCAATTCAATATAATCCAATTTTATACTTTATTTCCCGTAGGGCGAAGTACAAGATTGACACTAAACCCCAAACGGAAACCGGCATCACCTGACCGCCCGCCGGCTTGGCAGTCATCCACTTCACTCTGCCCTCTCCGTGCGCTCTCCAGGCCTCTTCCCCGACTACGTCCACTCCTCGCGGCTTCACTCGATGGGCACCCTCGTTTCCTCTCCTTAGACTGCCGTCTACCGACCGGTTTGCATCGCCACCGCCGAACTGGTTGTCGTCCGGTGCCGACCTCCCCAATCCCCACATGTCTCGCGCATCGGTCATCTCATCAACTTTCGGAGCACGGCTTTGATCCCGCATCTTTCAATCGGCATTCACATACGGCGCATTCAGCACCCCAGCTGATCCCCGTGACGCGAAATCGGTATCGACACCATGGCTACCGCGGTCTCCAAGCCGACCTCGCAACCCCCGAAGATGAAGCGGCCGCCCCCGCCTTTTTCGCAGCCTGGGGTCAACGGAGTCAAGGCCCACCAGCCCTCGTCTTCGCCCCAGCTCGCGTCGAAACGTCCCCCGGGAAATTTTACGGCTACTTCCAGCCCCAATCTCGCGAACGGCGTGGCCAATGTGGCGAATTCCGTCAAGGGTCCCCTGAACCGAACAAGGAACCAGTCGCAAAAGCTCGCGGACGCATCTTCGCGACTTGGCCGGCCATTGACGAGAGGGGAACTGGCTGACAATGAAAACCGATCCGGGAGGACGTTCCCTGAGCCATATGGTGAGGCGTTTCAGCAAACTACGTCAGTGCCTTGTATCCTTGCTAACTCATCCCTTTCTTCTCAGTTAAAACCACACCATATATCCTCAAGAAATACGCCAAATGCCCACCATCCCTCATCGTGCATCTGCACCTGACGCATTTTCGATTCGAGCAGCAAGATGGCAGCTTCCCGTACAATTCGGAGATGAAGATTATTATCGAGCACATTCGTGCTGGGACTGTTCCTTATGACATGATTGAAGAGCTGCTGCGAGCTGGCGTACGCTTTTACGAAGGTAGCTTTTGGATTTGATGCCCATTTGTTCAGCAATCATACTAAAGATATTTCGTCAGGCTGTCTCATTGTCCGCGTCGTCGACCACAAATCCGTGTCGGCCCAAGCTAGGAAGTCCTCTGCGTCGCCATCCAATGGGAACAACGCACCTTTCTCTCTACACAACTATAACGAGCACGTTACCCCGTCCGCTTACGTTCCTTACCCGAAGCAGAACCAGCTTGCCACTGATGGCGCGAAGTCTGCGGATACTGCTAATCAAGCTCAGCCCAATGGTGATGTATCTGAGCAAGCAGAATCACAGACCCAAAAGGTTGAACCTTCACAAAAAGCTTCTGCGCCCAAGCCTCGAATCTTTACCACAGTGCTCCATCCTACTCCGCGCACATTGCAGGCAGAGCTGACTTTACTTGTCACCACACCTGACCCCAAATCTGCAAGGTCATCGACTGCAAACCAGCTCGCCCGGACACAGTCATCGTCAGTTGTGCCTCAATCGCCAGCATCCGCCGGTAACCAAGAGCGCCCCGCAAAAAGACAGAAGACTCTTGTTGAACCGCAGGATCTTCCAGAATGTGAAGCAAAGTTGACTCGAGCGTTGGCTGCTCCCCTGTTCCTGGATACTGTGGACAGCTTTGAAGCAGCGCAGAACCTGCTGAAGTTTCTGGAGAGCCCACTTCATCGCGACCCTCCACCATCACCCAAGCGTCGGAAGAGAACCATCGCCGAGCTTGCGGCTGATGAGGCGCTGGCTGCGGAGGAAGAGAGATTTATGCTCATTATGGACGAGCGCTTGGAGCCCACAGTGGCTGGTGCCACCGCGGGTACAAAGGCTGCTGTTGACGATGCGGGCGGTGTGGCGCCGTTCGAACCCCGGTTCTCTCGATTCAAGACACTGGAGACTATTCGCATGCAGCTTGATGATAAGGCTAAGCGCGAACATGAGATGAGGATGAAGCAGGAGCTGGCCAAGAGGCAACAGGCAGATCAGGAGAGAGAGCGGCGTCGCGCACTTGAACAGCGCCAAGCTGAAGAACATATCAAGGAAGAAGCACGGAGACATCAGCAATTGGCCGCTCAGCAGGCTCAGGCTCAGCTTGCCGCTCAGCAACAAAATCGACATGTCATGGCACAGCCAAACGGTGTCACCCAAGGACAGCAGTCCTCGCCGGTTGTGCGCAACCAGACTCCTCACAGTACATCGTCTCCATTGGTCGGCAACACCATGGCTCATCAGGCGGTTCCGATGAGCATCAGCGCCTCTCAACAGTCGGGAAGCCCACCACGACCTCCATCGGCCTTGCAGCATGCTCATCCTAATGTCATGAGTCATCCAATGGCTCCGTCACGAAGTCAACAAGGCCCAAGCCGGCATGGAACTCCGCAGATGACCCAAGGCACGCCAGCCATGTCGCAAGCTACACCCATTATGCGCAATGTTACCCCAACTCAGCGGATGGGCCACAGCAGTCCAAATCATCCGAATATGAACCAGACTCCGATGATGAACCAGGCAATGCCTGCGAATCCCCAGATGAACGGTGGCATGGGTCTCACGCCCCAGCAGCAACTGCTCTTGCAACAGAGACAGCAACAGCTTCTTGCTCAACAACAAGGGCATATGGGACACAATCAATTTACACCGCAGCAGCTTGCTCAAATGCAGGCTAATGCACATGCGCAGCAAAATATTCAATCCCACCAGCAACAACTGTTACATGCTCAACAACAACAGCAGCAGCAACACCCGCAGCAAAATCAGCAACCCATGCAGAATGCCGGCAATCAACACAATCAGCAGGCGTACCAGGCTCAGCTCATGCGTGCTCAATTCCAGCAGATGCAGATGGTCAAGCAGCAGCAAGGTGGCCAGCAACCGCAGCGACAGGGCCAGCAGAATCAACCTCAGCATGGCAGTCCGCAAATGACGCCTCAGCAGCAACAGGCGCAGCAGCAGCAGATGATGATGGCTGCCGCCCAGGCCAATGGTGGCCAGGTCCCTCCGAACATGCAGGGTATGAATATGGCCCAAAGATATAACCAGCTTTATCAACAACGATTGCTGCGACTGCGACATGAAATGTCGCAGCGGTATATGCCGCAGTACGGGCCACCAACCCAGTATCCGCCGCAGATTGCACAGCAATACGGCCCTGGGCTCGAGAAGAACGCGAAAGCCTGGGTACAGGATCTCATGCGGCGCGAGCGTGAAGCTGCCCAGCAACAGCGCGCCAACCAAGTTCAAGCTGCTGTGCAAGCTCAGCAAATGCAGCAACAACAGAACATGATGCATAACGGGATGGGCAATTGATGCCGTGAAGATGAGAAAGTGAGGATGTCTCCTCGAGAGCATCAAATTTCGGACTTACTTGTGAGATGTGATAACCCGAAATCTGGGGCAAGTTTGAGACTATTGGGAACATTTACGGTCTGCACGTCGAGAAAGAAACGCGCACGCCGCTGGCAAGGGCCCTTACAGTCTTCGTGGCTTTCTCGAATTTCTTTTCACTCATACTCTTGGGAATGTACAGGGACAGGCATCGCGCGAGAACAGAGGCTGGCGTTTTACAGAATTTCGCTTTTTTTCATGCTGCTGTGTTTCTTGTGATTTTGTACTATTTGGGAACGGCCTTTCCTTTTTCTTTTCGGCGGTGGGAACTCAAGGATTCATCGGACTCGATACCATTTGTATAGGAGTTCCTGTTCTATTTTGATTTTTTTGTGGTCTTTACGCGGATCAGGGGTTATTTTTGGTTGGGGCCGGTGGACTTGACGTTTTTCAATTCTTCGGTGTTGGAAATACCTAGTGCAGTTGAATCTAAAGCAAAAATTGCATTAACTGTTCGTTCAACAGGTTGCAATCTGTTTGTAGAGTCTGGTTTATTAAATATCTGATGGTTTCCCGGTGTGAGCGACAGGTATCTATCCCATGGATCCCCAGACTCCAGATCGTCCTACTAACCATAATACCCTTCCTCAGACTGTTGAGCTTGAAAATTTAAATTGAAACATTCATGGGATGTTCATGCCAATTAAAGAGAGTCATCATAGGAAGGTAAGAACAGATGGGAAACGGGGGGGGGAGGGGTCCTGGAAAGGGATAGGGGCAATGTTCGGTTGCGATCACAATGCAACACGCTCAAGAGACATCATTAATCTCTCATTCAGGTGGAATATGCCAAGGCATTATAATTTCTGACAGCAGTATACTCCTTCAAGATTTGAAAAGGGAAAGGGTGTCAACTATTCATATGATATAGTGAGGGGAAATCTCCGCGATCCTGCGGTGTGTTCATTTTTTACACGCAGAGTAGTGCATGTGATTATATCAGACATGACTAAGATGCTACCCCGTGTTTTGGATGCTCATTCCCGAGACCGTCTGGGGCTGGATTTATACCAGATCTGAAAAAATTACGCATGTGCTTTGATAAACACGCTTGCTACATAGATTATACCTAGGTAAGAACCTGGTAAAATACCTGGGCGATGCACTGCAGTCAATCAAACGCAGTGTATGGCTTGCGCATACTTTGACGCCTGCTCCCGGCATGCTCGATTTTCTTTACTTAATTTTTTTTATTTAATATTTTTTTGGACAAAAAAAAAGGAAATGGAAAATAAATCTGTGCATTCTTCTTCTAGGCTTCCATGTATGTGGTCAAACGTGGTGTTGATGTTGGTTCATGCGTCCAGACTCATGTGCCTCGGAGTACATGCGTTGGAATGTGATGTTGGACTTTCAGGCACCCATCCCGCCAATCCGCGCATGAGGGATCCCCATTGCATGTGGTTATTGACTCGATTGAGACATTTTTCGGGAAGAATTCCCTCTTTCACCTGCATTTGGAGTTGACTCTACTGGCGATGCGCGGACATCTCTGTCCCTAGCTTGCGGTAAGGGCAACGTTCGTTAAGACATACCATAAAGTGCGAACGCATCTATGCGACCAAAGACAGAACTTGTTTAGTATACTCAGTTCCAGTAAGCCTAAAATAAGAATACCAGAGGAAAATTTGATTCAATGATCCAAAACGCCCTTCCAGCCCACATAAAAAATGTTCACTACGAGACGGTAACTGTCCCATCTGGCTCAAGAACTCCAGTGCGGTCAATCAGCGCTCTTGCCCGAACATATGGGTCCAGTTTCCAGTAGTTACTCTGAAACTCCTCAACAATTGCCTCCCTCTTGGCCTTCAATTCCTTCACCGTCTTTTCATCTTCTTTTTCCGAAAATGTCGTGGAAGAAATCCATGCCGCTGTTGCAGCGAGTAGTCGCAGACCGATCATCATCCTCTCGAACATTAGAGCGTCCCGGGTCTTTGTGTCCTGCATGACCGTATTTTCGTCTGGCTTTGGCTTGACATACTCGTATTCCCATTCCTTTTCCCCGCCCAACTCTTTGGGGATATTCTCTCGAGGGATGAATTTCTCCAGGTCATCTGCTGATCGGGTAAAGTGGACTTTGGAGGCAACTACCGGGTCCATCCAGCCATGGATAATTTTCCAGAATCCTGTTCATCCAGAATATTTGTTCGTAGTTAGCTAACAACTGCAAGAGTAAAAGTTCAGTAATTTCCAACGTTTGGGAAGTCTGACCAGAGAAAATCCATGGCGCGTTATGGATAAGAAGTATGCCCAATGACTCTGGGTAATTGGCTTCAAAACATTTTATGATAAATTTGACTGGTGAATATTCCTATTATCGAAAAGTTAATATTTTGTGCCACATGCCTCACCAGGGCGAGGTTTGTAACTACCATGTTCGACAACCCGAACCCGGTCATATCAAAGACAATTCCCTAATTAATCCCAAATCAACTGTCAGTAAACAAATAAACACACAAATTGTCCAAACTTACACCTGTCTCCACTGGAGGAGTCACCAGTATCCGTGTCGTCTCGATGGTATGGACAATATACCGCTCGAGAGTTTTCTGACTCTGAGCTCCAGGCTTGTGCAGACAAACTCTCACAACACCAATAGGCCTGCCCTGTTTATCAAATCCATGGAGATAACTCTTGCCCATCTCAAACTGTGAAATAAAATCCTGTCCTTCCTTCCGCGCAGCAGAACTGAGTTTCTCATCTTCGGCTTGCTGCAGAGCGTGAAGCTCGCCCTTAGGCATGATATCATCATCAACTTCGATTTCCTTTCGCCATAAAATTGCCGAAGTCATCATTGCAAAGGCTTTTCCAACATCCCATTTTCTGGCTCGTAGAAAACGAAGAAGCAGGGCATCTGGGTGCTCCTGTTTAATCATTTTCAGCACCGCAAAGACCATCTCCTCTGGGCCTAGCTTGGACAAAATTGTCTGCATGGACTTAATCTCCGACTCGGGAACGCCCATATCTCGAAGCTGTTTAAATAGCATAGAAAAATGTTCCGGTGTCACCTTCCGCGAAGCCATCTCCGAGATGATGTTCTTTTCGGCTTCTTTGTTGATCAGAGACTCCATCTTGTCAAGAGCCTTTTGTTCTTTATTTTCACCATTTGTGTCTGAAGTAGACAAGTTGTTTGCAGCCGATGAAGTAGGCTTCTCCTTATTTAATGCAGCTAAAATTGCATCCACAGACGGTTCCTGGATATTATCTAGAGCCTCAAAGAGCTGATGGGGTGAGCCTTGTGGGATCGGAACGTCGTACACAGCAGACAGTACAGAAGCTGCCGAATTGAACAAGAGGATCCATAACTCTCGTAGTTTTGCTTCCTGGCTTTGGGTGAGGTGATACACGTACCCCGACAGCGGATCGGATGAGATAGTCATTGGGTAGCAGAAGATTTCTGAGTTGATGATAAAGAAGTATCAACTAGTGAGGTTACAATCTTTTAGTCCATCTGGGGCTATATATTGTGTTCCTTTTTATGTAATGATATGCAGAACCAACGGGGCCAACTGTGAAGCCGTGCCGAGGACCGACCCCTCCTTGACAGTTGATTTCACAAGTCAACTCCATGGTACCACCTCGGTGTTTGAAATATATTGAATGTCATTGGACGGGTTCTTTCTTTCTAAATCTCACGAGGCTTGCAAATAGACTCTTAGTGAGAGGTTGGTACGTAGAGGGATAATGGCATCTCCCACGGGTTGTAGGGTTGTCTGGGGCGCGGGTAGCACATGATAATTATTGATAATTAAAGATAAGATTTTTGAGTTAACGATTCACCGATCTCTTGCGGGGTAGCCTTTTAGAGAAATTGCTACTTACTCACCCCTTCAATTATTGGCTTTCGCCGGCCTCTCTATTTCAGCGGTTATCTTAGAGAATGTGGAGGCCACTCGCGATAGTTAGCGGAGATGATAAGGTCGAGACAGGGCAGTCAATGCAAGAAATAAATTTACCTCACCTTCTGTAAGATGTCTCATGCAACATCGAGTAGTATTTATACTGACTAGAGGTCTTCCAGGCACTGGGCGAGACATCCGTACTATGCAGTTGGCTGAGAGGTTGCAAACCTGAACGTGTAAACACAGCGACACCGAGCTAACTGAGGCCATAGTAAGGTAGTAATCTCTGAATGGTAGTTTATTTGCGAAAGGACAATAACGGTTCCGGTTGTTGAAAGCAATTGAATCCGAAAAAGAAGGGACCGATTTCCATGTCTGAAATATAAGGCCCTCACATGGTAATGATTACACAATCTACTTGACTAGCGGGAATTTTGTTTTACCAGTGTCCTCAGGAAACAAAGTAACAAAGTGCGATAATTTCCTCAAACTTGACCCAAAAAAAACCGTCACTATTGGCGTGTCATCAGCGTCTAGGCCAAGAATGCCAAGGACTCTTACGCGCAACACCCAATTAGACACGTGACAATTGTGACATCTGCCCCACAGTCAATCACTCCTTTAGATGAAGCGTCGAGGTCATTTCGGGCTCTTACTGTGTGGCCTGAGTGAATATGGGGTTGTCAATGTCCAATAAGCGGATTCTCCGATGGATCCTGTACGTGCTTGGAGTGGCCATCATCGTCCTAGCCTTTTGGCCGGTCCCTTATTCTCAGGCATCTGTGGGAGGAAAGTCCCGAGGGGCTAGGCCCGGCCTCAATGTCATCCGCAATGAAACTTTAGGGGTACTTGTTCAACTAGACATGACAATTGTTGGTGTGCTGATTTTCATAGGTTCAAAAAGTTTTCGCGATCAATAAGCCCAGCAGGGTGGACAGGAGGGACAACATTGTCCTGGGCTCCACGGTCAGCGATTTTTATGTCGAATTCATTGATGGGGTATCCCCTGAGGATATTGACCCCGAGACCTATCCTTACGTGAGTATGAATTGTTCTCTGCTCCCCATTCTTTGCTGACTATTTGTTTTCAGAATTTAAACTCTGATTTCAAGCCAGCCCAATATGCAGCTCGAAGAGCACATGTAAATGTGATGCAACGGTATACAATCTCTTGCGGTGAATTCAAACCCATCTGATAACTAACATTGTTCTCAGGATTGTCCATCAACGACTTGGTAGTGCAATTGTCTTTGAAGATGACGTCGATTGGGATGTGACGATCAAGACCCAACTCCAGAGCTTCGCTCTTGCAGTCCGAACACTTCAGAAGACAGAGCGTGCTCGCACCGCCTCACCATATGGCGATGATTGGGATGTCCTCTGGATTGGCCATTGCGGAGTGGATTGCAGACTCGAAGAGCCTTTTTTCTTGACGCCAAACGAACTTACTGTTGTCCCACCGGCCCATTTCCTCCCATACTTGCGCGAGGTTCCTCGCATGAGGAGACCCGAGAATTCCCGTATGGCCTGCACCTTGAACGATGGAGTCTGCTCCAATGGGTATGCCGTGAGCCAGCGCGGCGCTCAACGAATCCTCGCCGCTCTTTCAGTCAGCCCATCCCCACTTGCCGACCAAATCGACATTGGTGCTGAGTTTGATGTGGTTTTGGGTAGAATGTGCGGCCATGGGTATCTGCGATGCTTTGCGCCCTATCCATCTCTAACAGGAAAGTACCGAGAAGCTGGACTCGCATCAAAATCCTCCGACATCGCTAGCGCCCCGGAGAAGATGGTTGAGGCCGAAAGCCATGGGTTGATGTATAGCACAATGCTGAATCTCAACCGGATTCTGAATGGCGAACCAACGGTTCACTCAACTTGGGATGACGTGCCAACGTTGGAGATTGACCCAAATGCCATTTCAACACCTCAAGGAGGAACCATTCAGATGCAGGGAGCACAGGGAATATATGCCATCAGGTTTGTTCCGTGGTAGGAGCAAGAACATCGCTTCACCAGTGTACTATAGAGTTTACCATGTACAAATAGCTGCAACTGCTAAAAAAGACTACAAAATTCAAATGGCTTTACTCAATGAAAGAGCTGCGACCAATAAAGAAATACAGAGCCTGTGGCTTTTCACTGAATCTCTTCGAAGGTAAATCATAGACATATCATGTTCAAAAACACCCCGAAAGGCACCAATTCATACAATAATTCTTCAATATACCACTACTAACATGCGCATGGACTTCTAGGGAATGGCCCTTTGATTTCGAGCTTTTTCCGTTCTCAAAACTGCAGCTTTGGCCTCAGGTTACCACAGCAACCCGAAATTTAGGATGCATACTATACTCGTGTATGCCAAGAAAAGAAATTTCCATAAGAATGAAACACTCGGAAGCTATGAAATATGGTCCATCCTATTGCAGTCGACCTAATCATCTGACCACGACAACGCCCATCCCTTCGCTCGGTCCTCTTCCAGCACAAAACGACCAAGACATGTGCTCAGGCCTACCACGCGAGCGCCGAGTACCCGGGATTGGAATGAGCTGTAATGCACCTTGAGGATCAGGTTCGCATATACCTTTCAGTGGCAGATAGTGCAGGCATTCCAGGCATGCCAAAGCAGTGCTCAGCATGGCGTGAGGCAAAAATCCAACTGGAGGGGAAGATTTATCCTTGGAATGTGCAGGCTGTCCCGAAAAGGAAGTATGACATCGATGTCTTATTTTGTGTCTGAGACAACATTCGTAATTACCCCACGAGGTGTTCACTTTACTGCAAATAGTGCCTTTATGTATCCTGCAGGCTGGTTTAATATGGAACATGCGTGAAGGAGATGCAGCTCTAGAGGCTGGAAGCGAGAACGACGGTTGCTGGAAGGACTTGAGAACTAGCGTGGTCAGTTGCAAATCTCGCGTGTTGTTCGAGATGCGAAAACAAATCTCCTAAGGCCGTGGGTCTCTGCATGTCACTCAGAAGTCTTGAAGATACGCGGAATGGAATTCCATGTGCAGTCACGGATGAAAGTTCCGGTCGAAGTTAACGGCTGGGCTGAAGAGCCACATACTTCTTGTGCAACACCATGGAGCCTGTGATTCGAGATACACAATATTTGAAATATAAACAGACATGCCTAGTCTCAAAGAGAACAACAGATAAATATGATTAGCTGGTTTATAAGAAATATTGAAAATGAGGTGTTGGCCTAGGAATTCGGGGTATGGTGGCGAACGTAGGACAAAAACACGACGGGCGCAGTCCATGGCAGAACCGCCGCGCGTCGATCCTTGCGCCTCGGCAGCGGTTTCTATACTCGACTATGGAAAGACCCGAGAGTAACAGGGCTTTTGCAGCGTTTAACGTGACCTACGTGAGTTCTATACTCGCGCTGCTTAGCGCGGCGCGGGTTTTGCATCAAGCCTCCACTTCAGCCCTTATGCGTTATACGCATTAGTTTCCTGTGCATGCTCAAGACACATGTCCGCACACAAGAAAAAGAAAAGAGAAGTCTGGAACTAGAACGAGCCATTGTAGCCACGTCGACAGCGCTATTTCTGTCCGACTATGCACGTGCTTTAAGCAGCAGAGACTAATAGGAAGCAAGCCGGTTAGCCGTGGAATGTTACCAGAGCGGCAAAAACCAAATGGAGTAAGTTGAGAGAAGATACCATAATAGCCACGGAGGCTGAATTGTGCTAGCAGATAGGTCGGATGGAGAGATCCAGGGACGAACGGGTTGGGTGTGATGTGTAACATTTGGGTCTCCACAACCGACAGCTAGGAACCAGGCAACATCTAGAACCGAAGATGACACTTTAACAAGGCGTCTATCTCTGATGATAATTTATCAAGGAAAAATTAGGACGACAGGTGCATGGCATAGAATTGGGTGGATAAAGTTGTCTACAGCGAAGGAAGTAGGAACTTAAAGGCAGAGAAGTAACACTGATAGCTTTGTTTTTGCTTTGGATATTATTCCACAGAAATATATGGGTGGTAGTACAAGCAATCAAAAGAAAAACTGAAGCAACACGTTATAGCTGATTGTACAAGGATCGCCTTCGGTGTTGATGGGAGGTTGTTTGACCTCCTGATTATCCCACGGGCGATCAAAAGAACAGGAAAATATGCAGACGCCATAAAAAGAGAAAGACGTCTCAAAGTGCCTCACCAGGAATTCAAATGACACCAAAAAAAGTATGCAAGAGAACAACATGAAGATATCAGACAGCCTCGGAGATCCTCGAGACATGTACAAACGCCGCGACGCACGGCCTAGGCGGCCAATAATGCAAGTGCCAGTCTTGTAGCACTGGTTTTCCTCCAAAAAGAAGGGGTATCAAAAAAAGCATGCCCATGTAGGCCGCGTGGTTCTTTTTTTCTTTTCCATTTCCGAGGTCGCGTGGTGGTTTCCTTTTTTTTTTTTTTTGTTTCTTTTCAAAATTTGCTTTTGGGTGTGGTGTTTGGCTGCATCTAATCATCCCAGCCATCCACGCTCAGCTCGCGGCAGTCAGTCATGTTGTCATCCAGCTTGCTGCCCCAGATCGGGCGACCCTCGGGGGTCAGCTGGCCACGGAAGTCAGGGTCAAAATCGGGGCTGGTGTCATCGAGGGTGGCAACATAGCGGTTACGGCCGCCGCGCTTGCTGTGGGTCTTGGTGTAGTGCGCATTAAGATTGTCACTGCGAGAGAATGCACGATGGCACCCGGGAACCCAGCACACATGGGGTTTTTCCTTAGAGTGACTCTTCATGTGACGCTTGAGGTGCTCCTGACGCTTGAAGCGGCCCTTGCACCCAGCCTCTTTGCACTTGAATTGCACCTGTTTGATGATAGGGGGCAAGTTCTCCAAGCTCAGGTTGGACCGAGTCAGCTGCTTTTTGGAAGATTTGCGGGAAGCCTGGCGGTGTGGGCGTGTAATAATGCCGTCGCGATAAACAGGAGACAGCTGAAAGTCTTCGATATATTCGGCATTTCCACCAGAGACTCGACTCATAGGGCTGTCAGTGGCAGACGGGGTGCCCAAAGACGACCGAACAGGAGTGGAAGGTGTCTGGGTTTTGAAAGTAGGCAGAGAAGTAGGAAACTCAGAGTAGGAAGAAGGAGGCGGGGTCACAGGCGGATGAGGAAACGCCTGGGAAGGGGTAATAGTTTGGGGTGTCATAGATTCGTTTGCCTGCATCCATGGAAGCATATTGGACATAGACACCGAGTTGGGAATACGCTCATGCTGGTTGAAGATGGGTCGTGACAGACAAGGGTTGGAAGCAGATTCGGGAAGATACCCAGTCTGCTGCTGCGGCCGGTAGTATTGGCGCGGGATGTTGTTATACTGCGGCATCGGGGCCTGGTAGGGGAAGCTGCTGGCCTGATCGTAGGTCTTGGGCATGTCGGATGGAATCCAGAACGGCTCGGTATTCTCATCATAGCCAGGCATGTACTCTGGAACAGCCATCTGGTCCTGGCGCTCCACGGCCCCGTACTGCATATTGAGACTGTCGCTGGACGTCAGGTCGGCCATCCTGAATGCACTGCGCAGTGGCGTGGCAGATGTTCGTCTTTCCATTGGCAGGCTGTGATACTGGCCAGTCTCATGCCATCCGGGGGAGGCCATCGAGTTCTGGCTGTAGATACTTGTAGGAGTCGGGGTAGGAGAATCCAGAGGCGAGAAGCTCGAGGTCATCGAAGGGCATTCGCTCGGGCCAAGGGAGCGGCAGTCAACCTCAACAGTCAGACGATCAGAAATATGCTGTCCCTGAGGTCTCATATCGTCGGCTTCGGCTTTCAGTTCTCGGGATGCAACTGGGTCGACAATCGTTTCGCCTGGCCAAGGTACTCGTTTAGTAGATGATTGTTGAGATTAGGGATTATGTAGCCAAAGAAGGACCAAGAGACGAAGAAGCAAAAAGGAATAAGAAAGCCAAGAGCAGGCGTGTCTGTAAGGATGTGTACAAAGACAAAGAGAAAGACAGGAACCCCCCAAGAGAGTGTGAGTATGTGATTAGGAGTATGAAAGGGAAGGAAAGAATGTCGAGGGTTGGAGGAAGGAAAGAAGGGAATGGAGGACAAACGGGCAGAAATAAACAAATTGGTCCAGCATACAATCCCGAGGAGGGGTGGTATCGGACTTACAGCTATACGCCATGTCTATGCTCAGATCAGATCCAAAGCTCCAACTAGCAGAAGCGCGACGCGTGCCGGAAGTCGCAAAGCAAGGCCAGGAATGCAGGCTCTGAGTCCCTGGGTTACCGCGGCAAAGCCTGGATCTGCTAACAGGAGAAGCCTTAGATTGCTCGGCGTCGCGGGTTAGTCGCGAACAATAGGCTGGGTTTGCCGACAGGGGACCAAAGGACCGTGGCTGGACAGGGACAGGCGAGACCGGGGTTGCAATGTCGCCCTTAGACGCGGTGCCTTGTTCGGTATTGCCTGTTGTAAGAGAGGGAGGCAGGGTCACAGAGGGATGGACAGTGGGGTGAAAGAAGGGATGAGGGCAGTTATAAGAAGAGGGACAGCAAGGAGTCGGAATCAATTGATCTGAGCGAGATCGAGGAGACAACAACTGTCTTAGGTCGGAGTGGGCAGTTTATAGCATGCAGCAGATGAATGATTCACTTAGGGCTTGTTCCTGGAGAGGAATTGGGGGTGTGGATCGTCCTCGCCATCCCTCACTTTCGTTTCTTTTTTGGTGAATTATTTTTTATTTGCATTATTATTTTTATTATTATTTTCGCTGCAGCCCGTGGATCATTCGAGGCGGCGCCAGAGCATCATCGGATATCATCTGCAGCCAATCTGCTCCCGCCATGCCGGGGGCATGCGGCTACAATGGCTGGATGTACTGAGTACATCAACTGGAATGCTCGCTGTTCGTCGCCTCCTCGGCTGTACCTCTTGCGTTCCGCGCAATGTGAGTAGAGTCTATTTTCGATGCAGTCCTGATTGGGCCGCAGCATGACATGCAGCGCCATTACATACTTAGGTACGTCCGAGGGAAAAGACGATGCGGAAGGTGTCTGGTCGATCATCCCCGGACTTTCTGGATGGCTTCGCTGGGCGTCGATCATGTCAAAACTGGTAAGCGAACCGCTAGGTCTGGGACCTGCGTCGCTCTAAGGTCGGATCAGCCACTACGAGGCCCCCGTTGGAGGTCTGACAGCGCGCACTGCCCAGGATGTAGACAGCGCCACCAGCTTTCTAGCCATCCACCCGCTCCTGCTCTGAGACCGTCGCCGAGACAATTGGGTGGCCTGATTGTCGTAAATTCTCGGCCAGGGAGGGAAACAAATATGAGCGCGCTCAGATGTGTGTGGCGGTAGTGGGGGTGTTCAACATACTGATCGATCTGGTACTTTGGATGGGTCCGGCGACAGGTCAGACGTTACGAAAGGTCGGCGTTTGCTGGCCCATGGTCTGTGCGAGCCCGGGTCTGTAGCCGTGATCTTCGATTTTTAACACGCAGCATCCCGGTTGTGAGGGTAGCATCGTAAATTCCATGGCATGTTTATCCATTCTCGCTTTTCTCCGTGAAGGTTCTTTTGGGTTCGAGTTGATCAGAACGCACTGACAGTGGATCAGCTATGGATCGACCAGTTTGAACTCCACTTCCCATAAGGCTCCATCGGCCCCCAACCCGCCCCTATCACAGTGGAGAACGTCCAGGCTCGAAAAGTTCCCTGTGGCCATCTAACGGGTCCCAGGAACACCGTCTTATCGTCATCATAGTCTCATTGGAATGTATAGATAAGTTTGTCCGGTGACTGGCAAAGGATGCGCCTCAACGGTCCCGGATAGCGTCGGATGGCTGTATGCCTGCTCCCACTAGCTAAGCTGCATCCTCTCAATCATTTGCCAATGTTTCTGATCCGTCATGCGTCAGTTCAGTCCTGAATGGGACTTCCCAGTGACAGAGACTCGACCAGTCTTCCCGATTGGTACAATCCAGACATTTTTATTCCGGTTTCCTACGTAGCTAGTTTCTGTCGGCCGCCTAACTCCCTCCTCTTTTCTGCTTACATGCTTAGTTTCTTGGAAAGAGTGCACGCCACACGAGCCGAACCGGATTTTTTGTAACCATGCCAGCCCAAATTGCAATGACCCGTGGCCCGGATGTTTGTTGGGTTGCTGCAGTGCCACCACGGGTCGGGGGGAGATGGGCTCGCTCTCACCTGAACGTATCTCATCGTATTTGCCATTTTCATATGGGCCGGCGATGATACCGCCATCCTGAATTGTGTGTTCAGAAGCAGCGTCAATAAACGCGTGATTCCAATAACCCTAAGAGGACAGCCGAGTAGTGACAGCTCTCACTGCTCAGGCGCATCGCTGATTCGCCACACCCGTTTAATTAAAAGAAGTCTATTTTGAACCTCTTCGACCTGTATGCGTAGAAAATGCAAGATTGGCTTTGCACATCCCAATTAATGAATCGCCTTGTCCTCGATAACTAACTAATGATTCTCCGCATTCTAGCCCTGGGCCATAATTGGCGCCTATTGTTCCAATTTCAGAACCGTCGACTGTCGATCCTCGGTGCCTGCAGCTGGACGATTGTGAGATCAGATCTCGCAAGTTTCTGGCCCCTGAATCGTTCCAGCCCCCTCTAAAGACACACGAGGAACTTCAGAATAGTTTCATGAATCATGCATATTCGGGCTATTTTCTTGACTTGTCTGCTCCTCTACTCCGTACCTGCAGCATACAGCAAGAACAAAGGATGTATCATGTACAACTCGAACTGGCTGCAGCTATCAACAAGACTATTGTGCCTTGTACCGTCCCGAAACCATGGGTAACCGGTACGCCAAGAGATTGCTGTGTCGTTCACGCCGTTCCGTTTTTAGTTGCAGGGCGTTTTCACTCAGGCGCAGCTCGGCAACGTCTCAGTTTTCTTTTGTCGTGTACAATATCTGTCTCAGATGTCTTGCTTTTTTTTCTGTGGAGAGCCTCATTGTATCTCTGGACCGAACCTCTAGTTAGATAGCGATATTCGAAAGCACGGACGCGGATCGCGCAAGGGTTGAATCGAAAGACCATATCCTCCCCAGAGATCTTGGAAGCCCCTGCGTCCGAAGGGAGGATTTGCGTCCACGTACGTGTCCTATTATTGAATATGCCAAGACCCTTCTGCTCGTCAAGTCGCCAGTGCCAGACTCCGCCATTAACAAAGAGGCGTCCAACTTTTGGCATGAGAGCTAGACTCCACCCATGAGCTCGTACTGAACTAATTACCTCTAGTGAGATACCAAAATGAGAAATCTGTGCGCCGTCACATCGAGTCATGCCGGCATGCAACTATCTTCATTTCGGGACTCCATGACTACGTCAGCCGCTGGATCCTATCGGTGGCAACTTCATATTTTGTGGCTGAGCTAAAGACAAGTGGCGTTGGCTTGGTACATGCTTCTGCTGTCTGTGCTGCACAGAGTGAATCATGGGGAAACAATTTTCGATGACTTTGCCCAGTACTGCTCGATTTGTTGGACGACTCTTGATCCTGAGCTTTATCAACTACTCCACGCTATTCTATAACTTGCAGGCTATAAGACATTGTGAGACTAGAGAGTTTGTACGGACACAGCATCGCTTTATCCAGCATCCTGCTCCGCTATCACAAGCCTTCTCAGACCTCACTGAATCTGTCAGTCATATGAGTGGGTCAGTGCGTGACAAATTAAATATTCCCCAAATCGTTGAGGGTCTAGCCCGAGTGTTTATTATTATCTTGGCATGTTAATCGATCTCTCGACCAGGTACTCGGGGTGCTATTCTCAAGCTATTGGATCGGTTCCATTTCTTCCGATGCCGAAATAGATATTCGTAAAGTCTGACATACCTGCGTAGTGAAAGAGATCAGCAAATATGTGAGCCTCTGACGCCACAACCATGGCGTAGATCGACCGTCAATCATACTGCGGGGACCATTCAGCCTATGCAGATAACCACTAGTTTCAACTTGGACATACCAGTGCTATTGCTGTTTTGCCGCTTGCTAAGCATTCTCCGGAATTGCCACCATCTCCCGGCCCGTCGACGCAGGAACCGCACTAGCTGAGTATATTGGCTGCTGTAACTACGCTATAGTCTCAGTGGCGGGCTCCACTGACGCAGTTGCATGCCATTGTTCGGGGACTCCGGGCTTTTCTAGCTTTGCGAAAATCTATAAGCAGTCATTTACACCTTCCATGGGATCACATTGCTCGGTTCGTGCTGATGCCAGAAGAGGCGCTCGCGTCATATGGATGAGATGGGTTAATTCATTCGGTAATAAGATATGAATTAATACATTGACTCTATGGATAGTACTGGAGATCCCGACGCGTGGATAGCCAAGACTTGGAAGCTTGCATAGCTGGGTGATCTGGTCTGCCACGCCAAACTTTGAATGCGTCTCAACTGCCGCCTGTAGAGACTCCAAAACTAGCCACGGAGGGTCTCGGTTTAAGCTGTAGCTGCTGCGATAATTTATGTTAGAGACACCAAAAGTACCCTTGTTAACTCAAGCGGTGCCTGGAATTAAGGCTATCTTTCCATTTTATCTCCACCCCCTTGCATCACTGCTTTCTTCTTCCACCAACGGTCTGGGATTTTAACTCAGACACTCGACTCAAGCCCTGAACTTGCTTTTGTCCTACCGTTCTCGTTGGCTCGCATTGCAGCGTGTTGCATTACCTTGCATTGTTTCTGGTTTGATAAGCAGATCCGGTTTTCAAAATACAGATCGAGTGACAAAAGTTTGAGCCATTTTAGAATCTTCTACTGGAAGGTGAAGCGATTTTATTAGGCTGATGGTCAAATTTTCTTGATGTTTTGAATTCGCAATTACCGGGTGCCAGTCCTCGTGAGTGGGATTCACAAGAATCGCGTTTGGTGGGGAAGGACATTGTGGCTCCGGAGAAACACACCACGTCTTTCTAATACATGACAATAATACTACAGAATTGGTTCCTGTTGCATACCATAATTCTTGGTCATGCAGAGAATAATGGCTGTGATGTATGTTAATCTCTCGATAGACTACTAAGTCGCAACATGGATGATAACCCGAAAGCTAAGAACAGCTACCGGGTTCAGCTGCAATGACCGAACTTGCACATGAAAAATGCTAGACATGACGCGGACAATGTTCAGTGCAGGGGCAGCATCCACGCACCGTCCCTGCACCGCGAGCCGTGGCCAGAAGGTCTGGCGCAGAAGCGGCCGTGCCTCTCAGGGTTGAGCCAGGACTCGAGGAATATCATAATTATCACCCTTGCGCCTTGTTGTCTTGCCCACATTTTTGTGCATTGTAGTTTGAGCTATGGTTTCACTCCCATATAGCGGTAGATGCTCTGACTCGGCTGAAGTATGAGTCGTGTTTAATAGACCGCACCAGGTTGCGGGGCAAAGGATGGAGTAAATAGACCCTGCAACAGGGTCAGTAACGCGAGTCAGATGAAGGATTGGGCAAGGAGTCAGGCAATCAGGCGCGAAGGGTTGGCTGGTATCTACATGTCTATGGATAATGAGTTCCAGGTCACGAGTTCATCGTGATCAAGGTTGGATCAATTGGAACTGGGCACGAAGACATTAGACGAACAGGTAAGACACATACAACTGAGCGAATTACTTGGTGACGAGTTTTGACCACGGTTTGCGTTTGGGTTTGGTGCTTCGAATCCTTCTTTGTACCAGTTCTTTGAGGCGTCGGGTGTATTTACGTCGGACTCAATGCCATTGCCTTTTCTATAGGTCTGATATATATAGCCATAAGCTACTAGTTGTGAGTCTAAAGATCTCCAAAACTTCTTGAGTACTAACATTGAACCCAAAACTTCCGACGTGCGGGTTGTTTTTCGAGATATATATTTGACATGCCTGTGCTTTAGGAGAGTGGGATATATCAACAAAGCCAACTACTAGAATTCATGTATAGCAACTAAAGTAAACAAATAGATGGTTTATTTTCTCTTTTAGTTCAGTTTATACGAAAACCTATATAAATCCTCATACATGCTGGATTGACCGTCATTGATTGAATCGGCTTCAACTTCGAAAGATTGACGACGAACCGATGGCGGAGATGATATATAGAATACAACAATGGAAATTGCGTATTAGCGAGGAACCAAACAACCGACCGGTCGGACTGACAATGCTCGTCCCGACAGACACTTACATATCGTGCAATTTAGTGAGTAATCCATCCACTTACTCGTGCCAACTCCCAAAAGAAGCACAATCAAAAGAAAACGCTAAGATATTTTGACACAGTAATAGATACCAGCACTGAAACCGGCCGGACGATTCCAAAACCAACTGGTTGCTTCCAGAATCCCAACGCCAACGGGGTGGTGACCGTCAGCCGCAGCTATAGTGGGCTCCCCGGTAAAGGTAAAGAACGGGAAAACGCAGAATGCAGACTGGGTTGTGGACCGGCTGCTTACGGGCAAGCTCGTGATAGCTGGCAAGTGGTGCATAATTCAGGGTTATAAACATCATGTAGAGTAAACCTGGGGCAAGCAAGTCCCAAGATTTTTGAATTGTCTACTGAATTACTGCAAGCCACGGCAGAAGAACTCTGTGAGATTTGTCAAACGCGCGCAGTGGCCTAGATTAGGGAGAGATTATTGAATTGAGTTTATATGGTTCTAGTGTGGATGATTACCCAGTTATATCGGTATACACGGAGGCAGACACAAGCACTCATAAGGACAAAAATATCGGAACCAGGAATCTAGTTGAGAGTTCGATTCACACTCCATTTCAACGAGGACGCACCGAACTCACAGAGGTCAAATTGATCACTTCTGACTTCATCAATGGGGCCCCACTTCCCATTGTTCGAATTCCGAACTCCGAACAAAGAATGATTGCGGGGGTTATCTCGCCAAACACGGAATAACTCCTTGGAACCAACTCCGAATGATAGGCCTAGCCGGAGTCAGCGCGACCGGGCGATAACTAATAATCTATCGTCCAGCGCACAATCAGGCTGCCGTTTTCCTCTCCCTGGATATTTCTACAGCCATTCCGGAATGCTTGTCAACTGTGTTTTTGTTTTCATGTAGATTCGTCCTCTTCACACACAGTCGAAATGGTCGCCCGGGGTCGCGATGAGACGGAGCCCCTGTTGGGCTCCGCAGACAACGCGCGCGCTAGATCGGCGGGATCGAAAAAGTTGCTGATCTTGGTCGTGTGCTCGATATTCGTCCTGGCCCTAGATTTTGGATTCTTCTTGGGCACTGCACCTCAGACACAGATCTTCGAACAGATTATCTGTCGGAAGTACCAGGCTGACCTCCAGCGCACTGGGAACATTACCAATGGAGATCCGTGTAAATCGGAGGCAGTGCAGGGAGAATTAGCGCTGGTTATCGGCCTCAAGGATACATTTGAAGGGATCCCCAGTATGTCTCCCGCCTTACGTTCTTGATGGATGCTAATACCTACCAGGTATTCTGCTTTCTCTCCCCTATGGAGTCCTCTCAGACCACTGGGGACGGAAACCAGTTATTGGCCTTGCATTACTGGGCTTGATTCTCGGGGAACTATGGGTTCGCCTTGTTTGTGCGTGTATCCCGTTCGGGCAGGAGAGCCCTTTGCTGATGTATGAATCTTTCAGGCTGGTGGTCAGACGTCTTGCCTCTCCGCTTAATCTGGTTTTCAGGGCTTTTCCGAGTCATCGGTGGGGGTGACGCGGTTCTCACCGCAATTGCGCTGGTGATGGTTGCGGATGTTTTTTCAGAGGAAGAAGTGTATGTCTGATTCGCGTCCTCCAGAATGACCAGTTCTGACATCCCCCTAGAGCGACAGCCTTGTTCCGGCTGTCGGCCTGCGTCACATTGGCAGAGGTCTTGGCCACTCCGGTCAGCGCCTATTTGATGACCTCCTTTGATATTTGGTTTCCCTATATCCTTGGAGTTGGTATACTTATCGTGGGTGTTACTCCTGGCTACTTTCTTCCCGAGACGCTGGAAGATGCCAAAGCGAAGAAACGGAACCAGATGATTGCTACGGACGAGGACGACGACGAGGAGCAGACTCAGTCACTCGTGAACAAAACAATGCGAGATGAATTCACCAGCAAGCTCCGCGAGTTCAAAAAGTCGACGCAGTTTATTTGGAAGGACTTGAATGTCTGCCTGACCATTTTGATGTTTTTTGTAACCTTCGTTAGCAAACAGTCCTCGAATATACTGATGCAGTATGCCTCCAAGAAATTTCACTGGAGTATTGCTCGGGTGCGTGGTGCATTGAATCTCCTTCACGCGAAATTCCAAACTAACAGCACACCAGGCCAGCTTGCTCATTTCTTTGCGAGGTACATTCATACTCGTCAATTTCCTACTCCTGATGCCGGCCACAAACTTCCTTCTAGCCAAGTATCTCCACCTACACGGCAAGTGGAGAGACCTGCGCATGAGCCAGGGAAGCGGACTTTTGGCCATTATCGGCTTCGGAGCCATGTTTGTAGCGCCGGTGCCTGCGATCTTGATCTTGGGCCTGGTGATCCTGTCACTGGGCTCTGCATTCTCGATCTCTTCGCGAAGTTTGGCAACTTCCATCGTTCTACCAGATCATGTCGGGACTCTGTATTCTGCTATGGCTATTGCGCAGTCCGTGGGTACGCTCGTGTCCGGACCGTTGTTTGCCGCCCTGTTTCGTCTGGGAATGCACCTAGGCGATGCGTGGATGGGATTGCCATTTCTTCAAGGCGCTCTATTTTACGTCGCGGCCTGCGTTGCTTTATGCTGCATCCGATTGAGGCCGTCGCAACGAGATGGGCAGGAGGAAGAGCATGAGCAATCATTGTTGTCGGAATAGATGGGCACGCCGGAATGTCTCAAAATAGAACAATAATACAATCATCCGACTGCACGTCACTAACTCTACACCACTAGGTATACTACTACTCTGTGAACAGTAACGACGTATCGAGTAGTGGCAAAAGGCCGGACGGAGACCCGCGGGCACAGGGTCCTTCAATTCCCGCGAAACCGTATGAGGCGCGTCGCAAAGGATGGGCTCAGCCGCAGATCCCGGCACAAACAACGCTGGTTCGTCAGGACACGGCGATCAGCGCCTGGGCTAATCTCGACTTTCAACAAATGCAACGTCGACTTGCCTGATTTTGTCCTTCTCCTCAAACAATGCGACAGCCCCGGGCGATCGTCTCTCCACCTTCCGATGGAGCACCGTCGCTTTTGCCCACGGTGATATCCGATCGCCCTGGCAAATGAGCGGTCTCTTATCGGCACATGTGCTACAACCAGCAAGGGATCACCCGTACCTGCGCTTGTACCTCGATATGTATAAGTACTGGCCGCGGCTGCCAGTCAGGATTCTCTATCGCTCTCTCTTGTCTTAGATTAAACAGTCTGTGACACACCATATCAACAATGCCTCAATTCAAGTCTTCGATGGGCATGATGGCCCTGACTGTTGGCTCTGCCATGGCCGGCCTCCAGTCGTGCTCGACCAACTCGACGCTGAGCTGCCACAGCTCCTCCAAGACCCCGACTTGCTGCTACCAGTACCCCGGCGGTGCTCTGCTGCAGACCCAGTTCTGGGACACCAACCCGGTGACGGGCCCGTCTGACTCGTGGACCATCCATGGACTGTGGTGAGTATCTAGGAGATTCACAAGAGAAAAAGAAAAGATCAATGGCTCACCATACACTCAGGCCCGACAACTGCGACGGCACATACCAGGCTACTTGCGACTCGAACCGTGCCTACACCAACATCACGGACATCCTGCAGTCGCAGGGCCGCTCGGAGCTGCTCTCGTACATGAAGAAGTATTGGGTGTCCGATGACGGGTCCGACGAGTCGTTCTGGGAGCACGAGTGGGGAAAGCACGGCACCTGCCTGAACACCATCAAGCCGAGCTGCTACAGCAACTACCAGCCGCAGGAGGAAGTCGGCCAGTTCTTCCAGAAGGTGGTGGATCTGTTCAAGGGCCTGGATACCTACAAGGCTCTCTCCAATGCGGGAATCACCCCCGACTCCTCCAAGACCTACGACCTTGCCGATATTCAGAATGCGCTGTCGAAGATCCACAGCGGCGTGACGGCGTACGTAGGCTGCGAGAGCGGCAGCATAGATGAGGTCTGGTACTTCTTCAATGTGCGCGGCAACGTTATCGATGGCACGTACCAGCCGACTGCTCCCCGTAAGTTGCGCCCCTACTATACATGATGGACCTTGTTATCTAACTGCGCCCTCTAGTCACCAAGTCTAGCTGCCCCTCCAGCGGCATCAAGTATGCCCCCAAGAGCGGCAACTAAATGATGACAAGACTGTGAATGCTCCGTTTATGACCCAAGATGAAGTGGAAGTGTGAGAGACTGGATTGGTATCTTCGTGTCCATAGCCAGTAAGAATAAAGTACATACATCTGAGATTCAGTACATGGGAGGGTATGTGGCAATCACCAGCCTGCAAAGCTAGATATCCACCATACCCGTATTCAACACGAGCAACCAGCAAGCCTGCCGTCGATCCCATATTCTTCACAACTCGCAGTGCCATACCAGAAATGGCCAAGGCTGTCTGGAATATAGTGAAAAAGGGTTTCAAATCCCTGACAGGGGGCGGAATCCCGGGCACGAATTGTGCCCCGTAACTGGGGATGGGGGATCGGCCTTGGCCTTGCTCCAACAAGAGACGGGCGCTCCCCACCGACCGATGATAGCCAGGCGCACATGGGGAAGCCTTCCGTCACATACGTGCGAGGATCCTGGCCTGCGCATTCGCTGGGCGTAGAAACTCGAGGGGTATATCAAAAGTAATTTGGATTGTTGCACGCTCGGAAAGGAAGAGCCGACAAGAGCCAAAGAGATCACATTGTCTTGAGTCGTGCATTTCGTCGCTCTTCTTCTCGCTTGTCTTCCATGCGACCCAGGAAGTCCATGCGGCCCATATAGCCCTCCTTGGCCCTGCTGTGCACGCGGAGCTCGTCTTGGATGCCCGCCTGGTCGACGTACTGCGCCCAATCGAGTCTTGATTTTTCGACCGTGTTGATCTTGGGCCCGCGAGCGTCCTGACCGACAGACAGCTCCGCGGCTGGTTGCCTTTCCCAGCTCTTCTTGATCAATCCATTCGGGTTTGGATCAAATCGTGAAATCTTGCGCACAGGACGGCGCAGCAGCGTGTGCGCACCGTCAACAGCCACAGCATCCTCGGCATCGGCCAATTCAACATTCTCGCCACTAGACAAGAACGCCTTGGCCTCAGCCGAGTCCTTGGGCACGACCTTCTCCTCTGTGATCCATTCCCCCGCGAATTTGTACGTGCGTTTGATCTTGACCATCTGCACACCGTGCTGGGAATGGCGCGGCTGTTCCTCCGGCTCGCGGGAACGCTGGTTCTGCATCTCCGTGTCGACCGCATGCGTGGGTTCTTGGACCGGCTCGTTATCCTGCTGGGTTTGAGTCGGGCGCAGTCCCAGGTCACTCTCGGGGGCGTTCATCTTCTCCCACAAAGCGTTCACGTCCACGGTCGCGCCGTCAACCTTGGCCAGCGGTTTGCGCTCTTCGTGTCTGCGAGAGAACCGCCTGTTAGAGTCCGACCATCGACACAACGCCTTGCTTCGAGTGGAGGGCGGTTGTAGAAGAAAGGAACTTACAATTGCATCTTCATCGCGCGCGTGCGCACAAACCCTCCTGTGCCGCCCTCTTCATCGTCGTCCTCAAGGTCGATATCCTCATCGGATTCTTCTGCGCGTTTGCCCTTGGCCTTCTTTCCTTTCCGCCTCCTCTCCTTCCTCTCTTTCGCCTTGCGGATGGTCGCTTCGTCGCCAGAGTCTAGTTCCTGGTCTTCGTCAATTTTGGCTTTCTTGCCGGTTTTCCGTTTCTTCTTCGCAGGCTCCGCTGCCTCCTCGTCGGCGTCGGAGGATAGTTCAGACACGTCCTGCTCCGCGTCCAGCTGGAAGTCTTCATCTTCAGCAGAGACGTAGTCTTCATCATCCACATCAGGTGCTACTGCTGATACTGCTGGATCGGCCGGCATTTTGTCAACTGCTAGAGGAGTTGGTGCGTCTTACAGAGGGAGAAAGAGAAAGAGAAAGAGAGGCAGAAACCCGCGACAATGATTCTGCCAAGGCGGTGTTGATAAGGATTACATAAGACGTTTATAGATCAGGACTGATTCTCATGTTAATATTTTCCTTTTGACCGGGACAAAAAAGTTCAATTCCGTGCGATTTTAACATTTGCTCCAATTGACTCTCTGCTATCCAACCCCACACCTAAGACAAGTAGCTCAAGTCGACCCAGGACTGGTACCCGTCATTGATAATATCACCAATAGCGAGGGCCGAGCTCAGTTTCTTAGAGAAGCTCGCCCGCGCGCCCAAGCTACCGGGACCAGAGTTGTCATACTCGGCGAAATCGACATCCTCTGTGTTGGGCTTTGCCTTGGACCACTCGCTCCAGCCAGCGCTATTGACCACATCGCTCATATAGGTATCCTGGAAGACAACCCGGGAGAAAGCAGACAAGGGGCGGCCAAGGTAGTAGCTGCCGGACGTGACGGTTTGATCTGATGCTGCCTCGACGCTGGAGTTGTTGATAACGTAGTAGGAAGGGTCGTTGTTCGAGGACCGGCCGTTGGCGGTAATGAAGCCCTGGCCGGAGCTTGGAAGCACTCTGATGGCGACAGCGTCGAACCACACACGCGCGTACTTGCCGCTGATGAAGTCACTGTATTTTTAACGTGAGTTAATGCTGTCGTATTGTTGGCGGCTTGTCTTGGACTTACGACGTGCCCTGGATTAGACACCTGGCGAACACCTGCGTGCCGCCGACTTGAGTGAGGATCGTGTCTGAATAACAATGCTGTCAGCAACTATAACACAGTAATAGTTGGGGCAGAGAAACGAACTCTCGTTTCCGGTGAACTGGCATCCATAATAGCCTTGCTGGGTGCCCGAGGCGCTCAACGCCAGGGCAGACTCGCCGGCGCTGTGGCTGTTGGCGAAGTTGAGATTATAGAATCTTGTCGAAGCCGCGCCGTTTTGGATTGTAGCTGGAAGAAGTCAGGGCCGATATCACAGAAAAAAATTCGTTGATATACTAACCCGTGTCCGCATCCCTGGATGACGATGCCGACGGCGTACTGGCATTGTAGGTGACGGTAACTGTATTGGCCGAATAGGAGAGGATGCTATTTTTCAAGGCGTCAGTATGAATGACCAGAGAGATCATCATCGTATCCACTCACTCCTTGGTTTCTCCATAAATGGTAAGAAGCCCACTCATGGCCGGGATAAAGACCTGCTCATTATAGGTACCCGCCTTGACAAAGATAGTCTGGTTTTCGCGGATGCCTTGGTTGAGTGACTGAATGGCCGAGCCAATCTAGTTGCTTCAGTGTTAGGTTAGCATGCCTCCTACGGAAAAGAAGATCGCCATACCGAGTCAAAGTCGCCTCCCGATTTGGCCACCACGATCGACCCCGGCGGCGGTGTCAAACGACTGGTCGCGAAAGCGACGGCGGCGTAGAAGGGAAGGGAGAGAATGGGTTTCATGATGGTCAGCGGCACACAGCTATACAGGTTGTCCAGGAGACATGGGGGGCGACGGCGCGATGCGAGCGGCCATTATTTTTATAAGAAGGGCGGTGGTACTCCTGGAGACTAGAGTGAGAGAGAGAGAGGGGGGCGAATTCCTAACTACGAATCATTGTTTAGGTGTGAGCGGGAAGAGAGGGCGCGCGTTCCTCCAGATCGGCCCCCGAATCAAATTGAAAGATCCGCTTGTTTCCAACAATTTGCCGATCCTGGCACAGGCCCGGGCACAGAGGGTCTGTATGGAAGAAGGATAGAACGTGCATTACTTTCTACGCGTCTCCCCCGGATGTGACGAGGAAGGGTTACACTCAACACACTTTTTCCCAATCGGGGGATGGCCAGTTACGCAAGTTGTTCCCGCATCGGAGACCGGGGATATCGCCTGATAGGACTCGTGATTGCGTTGTTGCAGACGGACACGGGTCCGCCTGCAGGGGCAAAAGCGAGACTTGCAAGGATTTAGATGGTCCTCTACGCTTTACTCCGTGGGATCGACAGCCAACAAAGGATGAAGAAAGAAAGGAAGACAGGGGGCCGAAACTAGACATCTCGGATCTCATAGGCTGGGCCTGCCAGCCCTGATCACTAGGAATTTACTAACTTATACCCCGCAAACCCAAACAATTCTCATCACTGCTTCGTGGTGAACTCCAACTTCTCCAGCTGATGCTGCTCATCTGCGCGCTGGTGGGCCACATTGCGCTGCATCCAGGAGCCAACAGTTGCCACGAGGCCCATGATAAATTCCAACCCGACCAGAACGCCGAGAAGGACGAAACCGGCCCGCGTTTCGGCACAGTCCCGGGCGAAATGAATAGGGGTCGCAATGTCATTGTGAGATGATCTCCATTTACAGGTCCAGGAGTGCAGCGTCTCGTTCTCGCTGAAGCCGACCGGGTACGTCGATGAAGGCAGGTAGATCGTGAACAGAACCCCGGTTAAGGCAGTGATAAACCCTGCAACTGCTGAAGCGGAGCAAAAAGTATTGAGCGTTTTGATTCGCGAATGGGGCTGTCACCATGTTAATTAGAGTAAACGAGCGGCAGACCCTAGTTGTACTAACGGATGGGAGAAGTGCGGTAGTGGTATAGGCCAGGTTCAGAACCGCGATCACACAACCGCAGGCTAACGCGGCTTTCGTGGGGCGAGTATCCAGGTTCAGTGGCCACAGGGCAAGACCGGCATCAGCCCATGCGGCTGTGACCTTGTAATGCCGTAGCGGTACAGCCTCGCAGGCAATAACAGTAACAGCGGCGATTAGGATGACAAAGGACAAGACTAAACGAGCCCAGTGCAGTGCACGATTGCGACGTATGAAATTCGACTCATCTAGGTCTGTGGGATGGCCTTGGTATGACCCGGATGTCGACGAGTTGGAGTTCATGATGGTTAGGTTTCAGAGAGCGAAAGTATGATATAGATATTGACCAGTAATGACCTCAGTGGGATCTGTTTTAAAAGAAGGACAAAATTTCTCGAAAGAGAAAGTAATGAAAGACAAAATATGTTCGAAAGAACGGCGTTGGGACAATGTTATAGGAAACTCTCCCCAGAAATGGGCGAGTGGATGAGGATTATGTACGGTGATACAGACCGGCATCGTGGGATATGCAACTTGAGGAGCGCTTCGCCATCACACATTAAACCACCGAATAGGAATCCGAGTATCAGAAAATATCAAGCCATTATCGCCGGACTAAGCCCTAGTACGCGCCTCTCAGGAGACAAGCAGCGCTGATTAGTTCGAGTGCTCAGTAAAATGAACAAAACCCCAAAATAGAACATCATTGTCTGGGCCAGCGCCAGCCTGCAGACTTGGCATCGAGGTACAATCAGTGTGGCCGAACGGTGATTGGGAGACGCGAGACGCTGGTGCTCGCGCCCTGAGCCCGCCGGCGGCTAGAGGATGAGTTAAGGTCAGTGCGGACTACCACAAAGAGGGCCATGCAGTTGGCTGTTCCTGGATATCCGATCGCAGAAGATATTCTTTTCTGGTGCTTTTGCATATTCTTCACGGTCAATATTTCCTGAACAGGATGGGAATTAGGGTTAGTTACGTGCTTGGATGACAACACAATCAGAGTTCACCGCCTGGCAGTATACATCCCGCCGACAAAAAATTGGCGGGGCGAGATGGTGTTCTTCTTGTTCTTGTCATCCAATAACCTCATAACGCAATGCCTCTGTCCAAGCTGAATGGAGTCAAGCTCCCCGCCTCGGCGGACTTCCACGGTCAGTGAGAATGCCTGCGTGGACAAACAATGACTAACTCCAAAGCCAGTTCACCTTCGCGATGGACCTATGATGGAGCTGGTGACCCCGACCATTCGGCAGGGAGGAGTGAACACGGTCTACGTCATGGTAAGAGAACAGATACAGTTTCATATCAATCACATTGATCAAACCACTTATGTCCCTCTCTAGCCCAACCTGGTGCCACCGATCACAACCGTCGACCACGCTCTCGACTATAAGAAGCGCCTGCAAGCTATTGAGCCCAACGTCAACTACCTCATGTCGCTGTACCTCCACGAAACCATCACGCCGGAGACGATCATCGAGGCCAAGAAGCGGGGCATAACAGGCGTCAAGAGTTATCCCGCCGGGGTGACCACCAACTCGAGCTCGGGTGTCGTCGACTACTCGGCGTTCTACCCGGTCTTCGCGGAGATGGAACGGCAAGACATGATTCTGAACTTGCACGGCGAGTGCCCGTCCCAGGGCGATGTGACGGTGTTGTCGGCGGAGGAGCGGTTCCTGCCCATCCTGGCGGAGCTCCATGCCCAATTCCCCAAGCTGCGAATTATCCTGGAGCACTGTACCACTGTCGCAGCTATCGAAGCTGTGAAGAAGTGCGGGCCAACGGTTGCTGGCACCATCACCGCCCACCATTTGTCCATTATCATTGATTCGTGGGCGGGGGATCCATTCTGCTTCTGCAAGCCGGTTGCCAAGACGCCCGCGGACCGCGATGCCCTTCTGCGCGCAGCAACCTCGGGCAACCCCAAGTTCTTCTTTGGGTCTGACAGTGCCCCGCACCCGGCAGCGTCGAAGCGCGGCGGAGAGAAGATTGCCGCGGGTGTGTTCACCCAGCCATATACCACCCAGGTCGTGGTCGATGCCTTCGAACAGGCTGTCGAGAACGGCGTTCTGAAGGATGAGGAGATCACACCGGCGATCGTCGAGGGTTTCATGACTAAGTTCGGACGGGCGTTTTATAAAATCGAGGAGGAGCAGAAGGAATTTATCACCATCGAAAAGAAAGGTGAGAGGATTGTGGATATCCTGCAGTCCGATAAGATCGATGTGGTCCCCTTCCGAAAGACTCAGGAGACATGGAGCGTGTCTTGGTCGTGAAAAAAGACAATGATCGCCTTAAATAAATAGATCCTCATGCCTTCTTTTGGTGTGTAAGCATGCTTGCAACATTCTCCAGTGCATGGGCTTCCGAGATGTCAATCCGGCGACCGGCGACCATTGGATGTCCATCATCACCCATAGCAAGCTGTCCGGCGCGCTCCAGGTGCAGTCTGATTCGGCTCTCGATGTATTCTTTGCGTTCGTCTCTCTTAGACTTGGCCTCCCTGGCCACAGATGCTTGCGGTAGTGCTGCCAATCTAGGACGGAGCTGTTCCAGAGTTGTTTGGAGAGCTGGAAGTTGAGAAAGAATGAAGGTAGTGTTGGTCGTGAGAGGCGTATGCTTGGTGTTAGACCCAGCCGCAACGCCAACCCGTAGCTGGCGCGCGGCGGGACTGGAGGTCAAGAAGGACAAATCCGGCAGGTTGTTTTCTTTGTTTTCTGTTGCGTCGGCGCCACCTTCGGTTTTGGCGTTTTCAACAGTGGAGAGAATCGATCGCAATTGGGAAATAACCACGTCGTTCCGAGCGCATTCATCTTTCAATGACCGACTTAGTTTGCGGGTCTCGATTAGCTTCTTGCGCTGCGCAAGTATGGTTTCTGGTGTGGGGGCGTCGGGTGAAGGGGCGAACGAGAGGTTCTGCATAATAATCTGGTTAAACACGGTTTCTTGCCAAAACAAACATGGTCCACGAACCTCGTAATGCTTCAGCCTCACCGAGGACAGAAGATCCTCGGGCACGGTGAGAATATTCCTCAGCACGTAGATTTCGAACTTGTCAAATGCCTTGTCAACATTGGCTTCAAGCAGCGTCTCCAGCTGGTGGAGACCATTCTCAATCTCCAGCTTCGCCTCGGGGTAGACAACATTGCCATCCTCGTCCGTGTCGGGGATGGTGGAGCCGTTGCTCGCGTGCGCGAAGCCCAAACGCTCCGGGGGGTGTTTATCAGGCCCGACTCTAGGCTTGAGATGGCCTGGTAGATCAAGTTGTTGATCGAATTGATAATGTCATCTATGAGCGACTAGTCACGAGGGGCAATCAGCAAGGGTGTCCAAGGGGCGGGGGTCCATACAACCCAGCACGCAGCATGGGGAATGGTAAGTAGAAGAACAATGTAAAAACTCACCAGAGGCGTGTAGCTAAAGTGCTCCGCGAGGAGCGAAGTGGTGGCGTCGTTCATGGTGTTGGGGAGGTGGGGATGGGTGGACGCGATGATGCGCGAAGGAAGAAAAAGACGCGCAGTGATAGCGACACACCGCCTTTGGCTTGCCCTAACTATAGCCTCCAGTCTACAACATACTGGGAATGTCGACTGTCTCTCGGGAACAGAAAACAAGAATGGGATTTCATTTCTACCCAATATTAACTTTCTCAGTGGATGGATGATCCGCGATCGGGACGCTGCTCGGTCGCACAGCGTTCAAAAGCCGACTGACTGCTTGAGGACCGACTGATTCTCCTACATCGCCCTGAAATAGTCGAGAACAATGCAGGACAGGTGTGGCAGCATATTGGTTCATCCGACATTTCGTTTGTGTACTGACTTGGCAAATGAATAGACGACCGAACCTGCATACGCCACTTCGGTGGGTGCATATATTGTCCGAGTAGGCCCGTCCATAATCTCACCCTCATCCCGAAGATCCTCGATCAGAATACCTGCTACGCTGACCGGCAAGAGACCCGAGAGAAAGACAGGCAAACACTAATCCCTTGCGTGCAACAATGGACCCAAACCCAATCCGCGTTCTCGTCATCGTCTCCCAACGAAGTTCACGATGGAACAAAGCCCAGAATCGCGCCGAGGACCTCGTCCCAAGCGCAATAAGACTGCTTCAGAATAAAAACCCCGGCAACGGATTCCACGCGACAGTATCTGACACCAAGCTTCTCGCCATCCAAAAGTGGCGAACCCGCACCTTCATCGTCTTCGACATCTGCAACACCGCCTACGACGCAAAGCTGGGCCATCTCCCTGAGCAGAACCAGCTCCCCGTGGTGGTAGCGCATTTCAGCAGGAAGCAATCGGCATACATGGCCAATGCGTGGATCTCCAACAGAGTGAATCGGGATATCGCACTTCTCCATAACGCCAACGGCTTCGGTGCAGTTCCGCCATACGTCGAAGATTGGGGATTGGGGAAACTGCCCCAGTACCGGAACCCACGGGACATGTCTCTGTTATAGAGAAAATTGTAGTGTATTTCCATTCATGTACCGGCTCATGGCTGTCAATAATGTGGTATCTCAAACAAAAAAGAAGTGCGCCCTCAAGAAGTGCAGCCTGAACGCCTATGCCACATATTCCGAGCGTTAAAAGTCCATCGTAAGCTGTGGTGCCATTTTCTCGAGGTCTTCCACCTATTGGGACATGCATTAGCGATGTTACACCTCCAGGGAAGCGAGAAAAGAAAGAACAAAAAAACATACCTCCAGAAACCCATCGCCTATTCCCCTCGCTCCAGAAGTACCATCCGTCTCTGCTCTCTCGTACGCAGCTCTCGCAATAGCCTCCCTCACGAAGACATCGACATACTTCGCCACAACCGCGTTGGCATCCTTGGCGACCTTTGTCTTCTCCTTGGTAAAATGGTGATGTAGTAGCCGCGTAAGCAATTTGGACGGTATAGCCGGCTCGCTCCAGCTCATGTCCTCCGTCTCATGTTGGGCAGTGGTGATTTCGGCGAGAATGAAGTCTGGTTCTTGGGAGACGGAGCGCTCGCGACTGTGACTGGAGGAGTCGGATCCAGACTCCGCATCCGACGCGCCGTCGGAGGCGGCGGGTGATGATGGCGGGGACTGGGCGCGCGCACGCTTGCTGGTTGGTGTGGATTTGCCATTGGTAGACTTGGAGGCGGAGGCGGAGGATGAGGACTTGGTGGTGGTTTGTTTGGCTTTGCCTTTTGCTTTGGAGGCCGATGTAGAGGGTCCGGCGGTGGATGAGGCGCGGCTAGGTGGGTTGAAGGGGAGTCGGCGCTTTTTCTGCGCTGGTTCGCCAGCCATTTTGTGGTGGTAGTGGGAATGGGAGTGGGAGGAGTGTTGAGTGGAACCGAAACGGGCTATCAACGCGGGTCGCGGATAGCAGACAGACACGGAGTCAGGTGACCGAGATCTATACAAGACGTTGAAGTGATCATTGCGACACTATTCATCGATTCAAATCTCAGGCTACTAGAGAGTCCAAAATAGAAGCACACCACTATCCTACCCTCGAAATCTCCATCTCAGGCTCCGCAAATCAACTTAACTCGGAGTCGCAGACTCATCCTCTCTCTCCTCAAGAGGATAAACAACAGTCATAGCCACACCAGCGCCCTCAATGAGATTCCGAGTCCTATTCCAAGGAAAATCAAACCGTCCCGAGTTAAATCGGCACGCGTACAAATCATTAGGCATAGCAAGGCCCATGTGTTCGTGCAGAGCCTGGTAGATTCCCATCCACCGCTCTAGATCCTTTAGAGCAGCATACGTGCTATTTGCAATCAGATTGGGGGAGCTGACGCGGTTGCCAAATCCACGAGAAGTAAACAGACAGATAATCCAGTGTGTCTCGGAACCCTGGGGAGGGATCACCAGCGCCGTGCCCAGTGGTTTCCACACGGAGATCCGTCTGTCGCCGCCGACTTGGAGGTTGATGATGCTGTTTCGTTCCGGGTATTCACTATAGCTCTGGCAATGGGAGCGGTAGTATTGGTACGCTCGAGGATACTGTAGATATATTAGACCAGCTTGGGATACCAAAGGCGACCGCACGTACCCTCTGTCGGAACATGCGAGCAATTCCAGCACCCCATACACCCATACAGTTACAGGCATCTTGGGCTGAAGTCAGTTTACTTTTGTTTGGGCAGGATGCGGGGTGTAACATACGAATCAACCCCGAGTCAGCAGGTGCATCAAAGAGGTTACCTGGGACCTCGACGACACAACTAGTATGAGGAGGATATGGCGGGGAAGGCTGGATACTGTCGGTGCTTTCACTGGAGTCGGCATCCTCTGAATTCTCGGAAATCTGGCCTGGCATGGTGGGCAATGCTGGAGGAGAAAGGATGTGCTGACGGAAACAGAAAAAGAGTGAAGGTGTGGAGGAATTTGGAAAAAGAAAGATGTTGGGAGGGTTTGTTTACGCAGTGTCATTTTGACTAGCCTACTTGCCCAAGATCAGTAACCAGGGAGTTTTTACTGTTCTGGTACTCGATCTACCAATACATGAGTTACTTGGTCAGGGATTTCAAACTTCAACTGAGGGAATTCATTCATCACCGAGAATCGAACCGGATAATCTGATACAGACAAGACAGACTCACCCAACATAACACATACTTCTCTTCATCACTTTTTGCCTTCAAGCTCAGCATCCTTCTCCACTTGGGATGCCAGATAATCATGGAAACGCAAACGATTAAAAACCTTATCCCTGAAGCTATCTCGCTTCCGGCCACGCGGAGAACCTGGGTCTTTGGGGGACACGATCAACTTTATCTCCTCCGCGGCAGAGATAGGGTCTGGTAAGACCTCGGGCACAGCGGGCGAGACAGGGCTCTGAACAGCAGAGATGATGAGAGTTGGTTGACTGTGGCCGCTGCCCGACTTCAGACGTCGGCTCATGGATCGTGAGATAGTCCTGAAGAGACCCGGGTTTTCGTCCTGAGAAAGGCGTTCCAGACGAGTGATCTCTCCGCGCACTGTCACTCCGTTCGTCGCAAGATTGTCTTCCTGGGTCGGGAGGTAGATGATCACGCCCTGGTCCGGTGCCGCACCCAGTAGCTCTTGAAGGGCATTCTGGATGAGAGCGGTGTTGCGGAGATTGGTTATTGGCGCAATCAGGTGTGGCAGAGCATAGATCTTCAGCAGGTATGCTGGCACGGATGCGCTGCCAAAGAGAAGGTGGACGTCCTGCTGGATCGCTACCATCATCGAGCTTTCAGGCCGTTGGTAGATCTGGGCCAGACGCAGGGCGAGATCCTCAACCAGCTTGGTGGCGCCATCCTTGGGGCTATCATCTTCAGCCTGCGCCTGGGGTTAGCAGAGATATCACAGTGCCGACCAACAGCACGTACTTTCCAGTTGGTTTTTAGCTCTGCAACGACCACCGAGTCTTGTCCAAACCGCTCTTTGGGAGAATTGTGCGAGCCTCGCGTGGTGAACGCGTCCTCGTAGTAGAGAGTTTTCAGCTTGGAAACGGGCTCGTCCTCTACACTCTTCTGGGTCACGTAGAGCGTTCGAGAGTCAACCGGGGCATAATGCACGGTGGGAGGCACATTCTCGTCATCTTCGTTGTTTTCGGGGAACAAAGTAGGCTGAAAAGCGGGCTTCTCCACATTCGCGTCCTGCAGTGGCCTGGAGACCAAAACAGGCAGCGATGCAGTGGAGCGTGAACGCCCGCTGGAAGTCAGGTTGGTGGTCAGGCGAGGCAAGGACGGCTTTCGGCTGGAGGGATTCATCTCGGTTGGTTGAGGAGTTGAAGAGAACAAGAAGAAAAAGGGAAGAGGGGGGGGGGGGGGAAAGGGAAGAAGGGCCGGACGAGAGAGTGGTGGATTCAGGGAAGGCACGGTTCACTCGTTAAGCCAGAAAGGCCAACTCGCGGAAGGCAGAATTTCCACTGTAGAAGATGGTGTCGATGCGCCGTCGGCGATCCCACACGATCTCACCATCGCGGCGCTTGATGTACAGGATGCGATGCTGCGGAATAAACTCCTCGTCCGTCAGGTCCTTCTTCCACGACCCCAAGCTGGCCTCCAGGCGTCCCTCGAATCGATCCTCATAGCCAATCACAAAGTTGCTGTGATCGAAAGTGGGATCCCAGAGCAGACGATTGATCACGTCTGCCGACCTGGATTAGTGCATAGAACAGCATGGCCAGCGGACATCATACCGGACGCGGTGCGCAGTTTGTTCTCGGCAGATTCCGCCGACGAAGAAGGCGATATACTTCGCCATTTGGGCACGGATATGGGTTCTTCCTGCGGAGCCTGGGCCGGGGACTCAGGATTCTCACCACTTTTATTTGGAGGAAGGTCGGACGCCATTTTCGCCAGATACTCGTGAAAATGGCCCGTTTACTACCCTCATTCATCTGACATGTCCCGACATTTTATAACCGGTTTTTTGCACTGCCTGAGCCATGTTAGATCGGATAGAGTCAAAGTGACTAATCCCAGAATACGACATGATCTAGAGATGACTCGAAAGGAAGGTGGCGGTGCTTCGGACTTGACTCATGGCTGCCCCTAGCGCCGGCTATGGATATGTGCCTGAGGCCAGGCAACGAAGTACTAAGCCTTGTAGTTACACTAGCACTAGAGTGGAAGAGGACTAGCCTTGGCGTTTATTTCATGCTTTTTGTGTCGCCTTTCGGATTTCGGGGGTAGATTCTAAGGTTAGGTCAGTGGTTCTACATTTTACGGTGTAAAAGGTGTGTTACGATGTTTGTTCGATTCCAATAAGCTACGATTACCAGCCAACAAGGATTAGCCGGGACCAATTGGATTCCGCGTGGTGGGATTTCAGCTCTTGGAACTATCGGCCAGGGCGATATCCATATCATCAGCCACCTACTCTAGCAGTATACTTTAGATCAATATGCTTCACCGCTCAACGTATTTACTTTAAGCTCAGAGGATGCGTATAACCCAGTTCAGTAGATTTGCTTAGAGTTCTCAAAATATGATAATATCACCGCACTGGTGTTACTCTGTCACAGGACACCAATCATAGTTTCCATTCTCATTGTTCCCCCACCATGCTGGGAATGGATGGGACGGTCCACCCGCACCGAAAACCGCAAATGAGAGAATAAAGAGGACCGTAAGGCTTGCACCATCGAAGGCTCCGGTAACTAGATATGAGTAGTCCTTGAAGAGCCGTGGGTGGTAGTTCCGGAGGTAGTACTGGACAAAGAAGCCGGCGATGATCCAACTGAAGATAACACAAGTCTGGCTTTGGTTATAAGGGATATAACCGGCATATTGAATGAACTGTGCCAAGTTGACTTCCGAGACATCAAATCTTCCGACCTTGGGGACAAACTAGAGATAGCACTTGCGTTAGCTCCAGGTTGGGGAGAGATGTTCTGGGCTTGCTTACTTGATAGAAGAGACGGTGAACAACAACAGCACCAGCACCAACGATTATGCCAATAGGCACCATCTCATACTGGGAACCGATCTTGTAAAGATAAGGGGATAGGGCCCAAGAGGCCGCATTGGTGTTGTAGGCTTGCAGAGTCGCACCACTCCAGGAGGAATTTCCGTTGCCATTGGCGAGAAGCGCTCGATTACCTGACACAATAGAAATCATGACGGCGTAATTGATGAAGCCGCCAAGCATAGTGCCGTAGACCTGGGTCAAGAACATAACGCGGGGAGGAATCTTGACTAGATGAATGGGTCAACTTCTATCTGGAAAAAATAAATGAGATGAGAAAGAGATTATGCTTACGATATTCACCCATCTTCAAATCATTGGATAGATTGACCGCGTTGGAAATGACATTGTGCGACCAAGCAGCAAAGTACATGTTACCGACCGGACGTCCGGGGAGGGCGAGACCAGCAATCATTTTTGACAAGTTATTGGTGGCAATGCCATTTCCATAACGAGCATATAAAATGGTACTCTGGAACAGAATCTGGTCAGAGTCCATCTGTAAATGGCGACCTCCGGGAAACTCACAAAGGGCGCAACAACAATTCCAACCAACAATGAGACGACGTAAGCCCAGGCTGGGAGGGTAATATTTTCTTTAAGCACCACGATGAGACCGAGGATAAAGCTGCCTAGAAGAACCAGGCCATACCACCACCATGGCGCTTCTTTGTAATGCTTGGCCATGTGCGCATGGTGTCGATCGTCATATCTACCCTCTCTCGCGCTTTTATACGCATGCCAAATATCTTTGCCCCAGAAAAGAAGGCAGTGAAGAATTAGAGCGCCAATCTAAAAAGCACTTAGTGGTAAACTTGAAACGAAGGGTTCGCACTTACTGCAGCATTTGCCATGAACATCGAAAACGCAAATGTCCCTGTCAGCTTGGGTAGACCATATTTGACCAAGGCGGATTCATCGAGCACACCATTAGGGAATACCGCATCAATCGGATACGATGTACCATTACTCATATGAAGTGACGTCGACATGAACGGAAGCGACTTCGCATTCCAACCGTTGCCATAATAGATGCCAATCATGGCAATGAAGCAGGCGAAGAATCCAACGGCTTGGTGAATTTGAAATTTGAGAGGAAGAGCAGTTTGGAAGGATGTGATCTGGATTTGTTAGTTTTATTGATTTGAAGATACGATTGCATCAGCTTACATATTGCCAGTCAAACGAAAGTGAGAAGAGCCCTAGACCCTCGTTGGTGGTGGAGCCACCAAAAACATTAGTGAGTACGGCGGCGGTATTACCGGTTGCCTTCTGCGAAGCCAGACACTTGAAAATCTTTGCGTCAGCGATTTTGTCTGATTAAATATATTCAAGCGAAAATGCAATCACATACCGGGATAGAGACAGAGTTGAGCCATGGGAACATGTAGGCAGGAATGATCTCGTACATAGACATGCCAGTGAAGGCATACCAGAAGTAACGGAGTGGCTTAGAGTTCTTCACCTCCTGCCAGTGAAGTCCCTGGAGAACCTTAACAGTAGGCAAAGTGCTCCAGTAGACGGACTCGGTGTGCCAGACAGCGATAGGACGCATAAGACCACATAGACCGTAGCCAAACAGGCCGATAGAGATTGTGCTCAAGATGACTGTAGCCGCGCTCAGAGGCAGATTATAGAAGAGATCCTGCGCAGCAAATACCATTGAACTAGCGGCAGCATTTGAAGCCGATGTGGCCGTGATTGAACATATCGCGTGCTCCTTGAGAGTCCAAGGTCCATGATTCACAAATTTAATGAGTGAAAGCCACCAAGGGAGTTTCCCCTGGCCACCTTTCGCCCTCCACCGAGCCTCATACTTGTCACCGCGGGGAAGAAATTTGGCCCAGGCATTGCCGACAAAGTAGGAGATGAGGACAATAAAAGTTCCTTGAATTGTGACCAAGGTCGGTTTGAACTGGCAATACATGTGTCAGCCCTTCTGCGCAAGGAAATATGCAGAGTCGAGATGCTCATTGACATACATTATAGATCTGGTACATCACAGCCTGAAAACACGAAAGAATCGAGGCTAGGACGATACTGCGAAAGGTCAAGGCACTGTCAAAGTCATCTCGCAGTGGCAACAGGTGATCGGCCGCATCAGCACCCGTGACAATCACCACGTCTGCACTGTTGCGATCACTTTCGCCGCTGAGGTCGTCCTCGATGATTCGGGGCTCCTCTTTGTCTGCCAGTACGGTGAATGCCGTATTTTCGACGCTGCTGTCCTCATTGGATGTCGAGAGGCCATCGCTCTCTCTGAGCAAGTCCGACTTTAATTCCGACATGTTTCAAGACCCTTCGTTCTTCAGGGAACTAGGACGTGCGTGATACAATGGTCCCTCATGTGCGAGCCTGGACTTACCACCCTTTTATCTCTCGAACTGGGTGAAAGGCGCTGGTCTGATAATGGGGTTACTAGAAGTGATACCATCCAATGGTAAAATGATAAGAGCCACTCGGGCCGCTTTTCTTCCTCCATTTCCGCCTATCATGGGGACTAGAGTGTTGGTTGTCAAAGAAAACACATCCCCATGAATGGTCACGGGAAGGGTTAGGGTAGTACGCCAATGCTCGAACCTTTCCCCTTTCGTTTTCGACCTTAACTAGCTTGCATGCTTGCAAGGATATATTGCCGCTGTTGTTGGTTATCTTCTTCCCCCGCTTATCCAGGGAAATTAATAACGATTGGCGATCAATCATCCGTAGAATTCCTCCGTTGTCTCTCGAAGCAGATGCAGTATCGTATACACACTCTCTGATTGAATCTCTGGGTTTTTGCACACGATTCTCTGGGCATTGTTTAGCGGAAAGCTAACTGAGACGCGGTCTCATATCGCGTTATCGGATTCGCTGCTGACGCTATCTTGTGGCGTTTTAGAGTGGGAGTCTTCCGTCGCAGTTTTTATTCGGAGCAACATTCGCGGAATTTACCCACAGACCCTCGATATGCGAAAGACGAAATCCAGCGGAAAGGAGAAGAGAGGAACCAGAAGAAGCCGAGCACGTATGGAGAAACATGTGTGGTAGGACAAGGGAAATGGCAGCGGCGAAAACGAGGGTCCGAACGGAGTGATCTGGGCGAACGGAGCAGCAGGGAGTCCCGACGGGGCACCTGCGCCACACCTACATACCTCTAGAAGGTTTTCCTGAGGCAATACCACGCCATCGTGACCTTTCTGTCATCACCCCGGGTTATACATATCGGAGGGTGAGTTATGCAACTAGGATTAATCTTTTAGGGTTTAGCTTCCATCCATCCTCAAGGGAACTTTAGCCAAGTGGTACCAGACCCGGAGCGCCGATACACTGGAAAAAGAGAAGCATCATTTTTCTATTGCTATCCAGCCATGAAGAAGAGGCTTCTAGTGTCAAATGAATACTCGGATTTGCAACAGCATTGTTGGGATCAATCATACAGTTTCTGGTCTACGCCACTGAACAAGCATGAGTTGGTGGAAATATATTTCTTTGCCGGTTTAAACCTGGGCGGAATAGACAGATTTCTGATAATGAGTTTAATGAAATGCCTTTCCACCCGGATCTCATTCTATTATACAAGGAAACGGAATTAACAACTCGACAGCAAAGCTTGTGATCCTGTTATCTCCGAGGATTACATTTGCCCTAACTAGTTACCAAGTTGGGGGTTGGAACACGCTAGGCTTGTGTTCGGAGGGGTTCGACATCCCTAAACGGCGAAAGAACCCGCCACCCAGTCGCACTTGAACCAGGGCAATCAGGTTGCTGAGCGGGGTAGAAATTTCATTTGGCAGGAATCGAGAGTCATTATCGATAACCCTCAACCTGTTTCGACTATGTCGCAAGCATGATAGCCCTCGACCATGAATTCTGTCTCCCGGAAAGCAGTCCAGCGAGAATCTTTATTCGAGTTCTCACAGCCCTTTAAATAACAACATGGAGACTGGAGAGGAGGCGGCCAACCTGGCAAGCCAACCACCCGCAAAGATGCAGAATCCGAACCGGCGAAGACCCAAATCAAAGGGAGGCTGCGCCCGGTGCAAGCAGCGGCGAGTAAGTCGAGGTGAAATATGCACAGTTGACTATAAGAGGATTTGAAGACTGATTCAAATCAGCGAAGGTGTGACGAGACAAAGCCTAGTTGCCAGGAATGCGTCAAACGCGGCCAGGAATGCCCCGGTTACCAGAGGCCAACACTGAAGTGGAGGCATGTATTCAAAGAAAATCATGCAGGGGACGAGGCACATACATGTGCTGTCGGAGAGTCATCCCGTGCTGTCTTACCTAGCGTGGCCGAACTAGTGAAGGAAGATAGTGGTATTCAACCACAAGGTGCGGCGAATAACACCGAGCCTAGTTCCCTGTTTGACCATTTGCCGGATATTGACGCTTCGGCGAACGCTCTACCTAGACTGGAGTCTATGACCGATGGATTGGCCATCGTCAAGACCACTTCTCAGACAGAGAGCTTGGACATTTTGCAAGAACGCCTGGCCAACGCAGCAATGCCACCGTTTCTCATCAACATGCCCACCATCTTGGTACAATATTACTTTGACTATGTGTGCAAGTCATGGTCCTCATTTGACTCTCCCTTGAATCCATTTCGTCGGATTTTTAGTCGCCTCTGGAGTCAAAGCGCCCCGGTTTACTTTGCTATCCAGAGCATGGCCGCTGCATCCCTCGCAAACGACTTCCCTGCCATGCGTGCAATTGGAATTCAGACAAGACAACAAGCCATTGCGTGTCTCGAAAATGCTCATCGTCCTGAAGATTCTGAGGATGGTGATGATGAATATTTCCTGGCCCTTCTAATGATCGGAATGACAACCGCATGGCATAATGCTTCTGATCTGGGCTTGAATCACTTGAAAGAGGCGAAAGAGTACATCCTCCAGCAGCGACGGAGGTGTCAAAGCCCTAAGTCTGCTTTCGCAAAGCAGTATCCTCTCTTTAAACAATGTCTTCTCTATTGGAACATGCTTGCAGCATTCGTGGCGGAGGACTCGCCGCTGCTAGCCGAGGAAGAAGCCAGCGACAGCTCGGAATTGGAGCTGTCTGTATACCTTGTTGATGGGCAAATCCTACCCCATCCGTGGACAGGATCTGTGGGAAAGGTGCTCAGTCTTTTCTACCGGACTGCACGACTGATCCGAGGCGTTAGCACATTCTATCGCTCTTACTGGGACTCACTCGACCTCGGGGCGCTTGATGTAAACTATTTGGTCGAGGAGATTGAGCTTCAGCAGAGAGCCGAGCAACTCGAAGAAGAAATCCTTTCTGCTGAGTTACTGTCTTATTCCGGGCTTATTGAAACCGGCGACACCAATACACCGCCGTCTCACTTTATAATACTGGCAGAGGCATATCGCTGCACAGCGCTGTTACAAATCTATCACGTCTTCCCAGATATCCTGACTGAGAGATTTCGTCTAAACCAAATCCTCGGCAAGGAGCCCTCAGGTCTGTTTTCAATGTTATTCCCAAAGGCCCACGCCACCAATGCCTCCCATCCATCAGCCACAGACGCACGACGAAAGTTAACACTGCACATCGTATCCCTTCTGGACCAGTTATTTCCCAGCTCGGGAACAAGGTGCATGCTACCGGTTCTTCTAGCTGCCATTGCCAGCGACCTGGTATTTTCATCGGAGTCACTTTTCGGCCCTGCAGCGAATGCAATCGCTGGTCTGAGCACACTTGACGTGGAGATCGCACAGGCTAGACGGAAGGTCAGCATGTGGATTTCGGAGCTTGTTTTGATTTTGCCGAAGCTTCCAATGCAGCGCATTTCTAATCTTGTGCGTGAGACTTGGGATCGCGCGGACGACGGATGTAATGAGTTTTGGCTGGATGTTATGCTTGAGAAGAATTTGGGAACCATTTTGTAGAGTCATTGCATTCCCTTTATAGTTTTGCATCTATAGCTGCAATGGTGTCTAGCAATTTTAGATAGTTTGATTGAATTTGATTTCAAGTATCTTTTTGATTTATATACATTAGTAGAAACTAGCACCAACAACGCTATGCAAAAGCATGATCTACCGCTACTCTGGCGTGTTCAAGAGAGAGTCAGAAGCTATCAAAGTGAATAGCAAGAAGTATAAGAAGGCGAGGCCCGAGCCGATAAGCTTATCCGCTCACGAGAGCATCGGGTGTGAGAGTAGCAGACGTGTTGGCGGGCGTCCCGTTCGGAGTTTCAGTAGCGGAAGGGGTATTCTCTTGGGTTGTATCTTTCTTTTCAGTATCAGGACCCGCCTTCTTTTTCTCCTTGAGTGCGCCGATTTCCATTGCCTCCTCGGGCAAGAGTCGGATATGCGGCTGACAGATCCACCACGGCCTCCCGTACTCGGCAATAGTTGCTTTGGACCCGGTGAGGCTCTCGTCGGATTTCTGCTCAAACTTCTCGGGACATGCATCGTATTCCTTGAGTCCGGACTTGACGGCTCGCTCAATGAGGCTCAGGACATGTTCAAAGGCGGCCATGTCACCGGGTCGCGATCTGGCAAGCGCATCGCGGACGTTGGTGTGCGTGGCGACCATCGGTCGAAGGACCTGGAAGAGGTGGCCTTGCATGACTCCCAGGCTGGGAGAGTTGGGCCTCTTGGTCTTATCTTTCTTTTGCTTCTTCCTCGGTGGACCTTCAGGTTCTTCTTCTTCGAGTTCCTTGAACTCCTCCTGTTCGTCCACTGGATCTGACGGAAGATAAAGCGGCTTTCGCTCTGGGACTGGCTGCTCGAGGACGTATTTGTAGATGATATCATAGTACCGTCGAATAATGGCATCGATACGGTAGCCACCCTTTCCATCTCGTCCTCTCCAGTATTCTCGGCCTTCACTTCCAACTGGAGGCGGTTTGCTAAAAATAGTTGGGTCTGACAGGTTGCCTTCAGCGCTCATGATCCCGTCTGCACCAGTTTCCTCGAGACAGCGCTCTAGATCCTCGTAGTTGAGAATATTGCCGTTGGCAAATATCACAGTTTCTGGAGGCAGATTATCGCGCAGGTACCGGATATAGCTCCAATCCGCCACACCAGTGTTGTGACCCTTCTGTTCTCGCCGTCTCCCATGCACGGAGATTATGTTGGCTCCGGCAGAGAGAATCATCTTGGCGTATTCCAGTGTCTTCTCTTTGGTCTCTTGAATGCGGAATTTCGCAGTGATGGGCACGGACAGATCGTTGTGAAGCCGGTTGATGAGTTTGTAGATCAAGTCCCAATCTTCCTGGAGGAAGGCACCATAATGGCCCCTCTTTGCGATTCCTTGCGGACATCCGAGATTCAAGTCCACGGCATCACAATATGGGGCCACATGCTGTGCTGCCTCTAAGAATTCCGTAGGATCGTTTGCGCAAAACTGGACGAAAAGAGGTCGGTCGAAGGCCGGGTTCCCGTCGAGGAACAGAGTGTCCTTCTTGTCCTCGCGAGTGGGCTGGAAATATTGATTTCGAACACGTGCTTGTTCACCGAAGAGGCGCGCATGGAACATCGGGGAATATGCGAGTAGCGACTTTTGCTCGTCCGGTGGCATGAAGGATCGAGTGAGCATGCGCCACGCCTACGATGGAGAGCATGTTAGTGCTGTGGCAAGTGGCAAGAAGAAAGAGAGGACTCACAAACTCCGATCTGTCGACCATGGGGGCAACGATATATTTGGGACTTCCAATGCTCTCGTAGAATTCTCTACCATGAAGCTTCTTTCGCTGCTGAGGCGCAGGCACCTGCTCGGCGCTCTGAGATTGCCCCGCGTCCGAAACAGCCATGATTGCGGGACTCAATCGAAGATTTTTGGGTAAAAAACGCCCCAACCAAGGGGCCAACTGCCTCAAGACACCTATTTTGGCTGCAAAGAAAGTATGGCAGGGGATGCGACAGGCCTCGCAAATCATTCGCCGCGCAGAAAAAGCAGTATCTCGGACCGGAACAACAATATCCCCCTTATCTTATCGACGCGGGGGAAAAGCGCGTTTCTTGATTGTTGATCGAGGAAGACATCGATCAATTCATTGGTTACGGGGAAATGGCATGCTGATGCAATGGATTTGACTGTGCGGCAGAAAAATATGCCCTGAAATATCCGCAACTTGAGTCTTGGAACCCGCATGATAGGCGACTCGCATCTGTGTGACGCGATCAACAATGGACTCCTCCATCGGAGCGGGAGGTAAATCTGACCCCAAGAACACAACCCGCCTTTTCTCACAATGGGATAGTTCCAATTCACCTGTTTCTCTCCGAAGATGGCCTCTACGGTGCCCATGTGAGCGGGAAAGACCTGGTTATTCATTCAAGTCCTGCCTCTACCGAAGCCAGGGAAGTGCAAATCGCAAGACTCAAAGAGTCACCGCCAAAACTCATCAAGTACTCGCCAACAAGCAAGATCTTCAGTACAGATGAAGGCTGGTCGACCTCTGAGCAGCGACTTCTAACCGCCAACGACGCGCGCATCTCCGTTTGGCAGCCACACCCCCTGCAAATATTCGCCGATATCGAAAGCATCGAGCCAGGATCATTGAATGTCGAGTTTGGCGGCGACGGGAATGAAATCATCGTCTTCCATGCATGGCATACCAAATTATCCATTCATTTCCTGGACACCGGTCGAACCTCAATGATCAAGACGCCCAAGTTCTCACATCCTCTCGGATTCGGATATCGGCCGCAGACGCGACAACTGGCGATTCTATTGAAGCCAGAAGCTTCTGATGTCCTGACTGTGCATGAGTATCGATCTTACGACCTCATTAACCGTGCAGTACTGTCTACTATTGATGCACAGGGCTTGAAATGGAGCCCCGATGGGAGATGGATCGCGGTGTGGGATGTTGCCAGTGCCGGGACCAAGGTGTTGGTTTTCACAGCGGATGGACAGCTGTATCGAACCTACACTGGTCCCGGCGAGGTGGATGAGTCGTTTGATTTGGGCGTGAAACAGATTGAATGGAGTCCTGCAGTGGGTCAGAATGATACTTGCGACACATTGGCCGTTGGCAAGGTCAATGGACATGTTGACCTGTTGCGAACTCGAACGGTATGCTACAACCCTGACCATCGTGTATACATGGGTGCTCATTCTGTTAGTTTACATCCGCCACGACGCTGTCGCATGTTTTCCAGGTCGACGCTAATGCTCCCACTATCTGGCGTGAGCGATATATCAATGCAGATGGAGATGCCGAATATATTGAGGCATCCAGCTCCTCTGCCTTTAGCATGAGTCCGGAGTCATCAGGCCCACCACGAGGCGTTTCCATTATGGCGTTCAGTCCCGACGGGAGCCTTTTAGCTACAGTTGATTCTATGCGATCGAATGTGTTGTGGATCTGGTCTCTTGATGGCACGCCTAGACTTGCGTCGGCGCTGATACATGAGCAGCCCGTTCGACAGGCTGTCTGGCATCCGTCCACCGCGCAGCTTTTGATCAATACTATCATGACAAATTTGCCCACCGTGCGCTGGTGGTCGCCTGGCCACCAGCCGGTGATTGCTCGGGTTCCTACTCGCCGCAACGAGAGCGGAAGATACGATGTGAAGTGGCTCGTTGGGTCGGAAGAGGAAGCAGTGTTCTGGTTTGGGTCAACGGAGGAGTATGTGGTGGGCTATTTGTCTGCAGAGGATGGGCCAGTGCAGTTTGACGTGCTTAATCGAGTCCTCAACACTCCTAGCGGGAGTAGTAGTCTCATGCGATAGTTCAAACGTTCTAGTTGTGCTATACCAATTCCTGCCTCAGGCACTGCTATAGATACATCTGACATAATCACCGCTAACCGAGTCGGTCACCTGATTAGGGCTGCACTGGGTCACGCCCCACCACTTTCGCACTTGAAGAGAGCGGCCGCGCTGACCTCTTCCTTTGAACATCCACCCCAACAGTCAACATGGTGAGCACCCACGACACATCGTTCCATCGTCCACAACTAATCAACATGTTTCTATAACAGGCGCCCGCAGCATCGACCGGTGGCAAGAAGCAAAAGAAGAAGTGGTCCAAGGGCAAGGGTACGCCGTCCCTCCTCCGACCGTGATCGGTCTCGGCCTCTACGCCGGGAATCAAGAACGGGAAAAAAAGAACGAAAAAAAGCTAACTATTTTCAACAGTCAAGGACAAGGCCCAGCACGCCGTCGTCCTCGACAAGACCACCTCGGAGAAGCTCTACAAGGATGTCCAGTCCTACCGTCTGATCACCGTGGCCACCCTCGTCGACCGTCTGAAGATCAACGGCAGCCTCGCCCGCCAGGCTCTGGATGACCTTGAGGAGAAGGGCCAGATCAAGAAGGTTGTCGGCCACTCCAAGATGAACATCTACAGTCCGTTCCCACCTTTTCCCGCCATATCTCAACAATCATGTACTAACTTTTTTTTCCAGCCCGTGCCGTCACCGCCGAGTAAACGATTCCGTCTTTCGTCTTTTCGCGCGGTTCTCTTCTTTTCCTTGTGCTACGAATGATATCATTTCAACCATGGGAATGCTCGGTCGGGCAGTGTGTTGATGCAAATGTGGCCGATCACTCGCCTCAAGTATCCGCTCTTGGACAGTGTCGGTAGAAATCTAAAATGACAAAAACTTTACCAAACCCTTTTTGTTCAACGTAGATCTGGCTATGAACGTCCCTTGTCCTTGTTCTTATTCATCTGACTCCGTTTTGGCCTCTGCTTCTGCGCACTCTCACACAGCATCCTAGTCGCCTCCCCCTCTGTCTCCTCCGTATCCACCACCACCCTCCCAACGGGGAAATATTTCTTATGGTTCCGAAAGAACCCTTCCCACCTCTGCACAGTCTTCTCAATACTAGCCCTCGCATCACGGAGTTCCTTCTCGCGACGGATCTTCCTCTGCGCGGAAGACAAATCCTCCTCGACATCGTCAATAGGCACGAACATCTCCTCCACACCGCGCAGGTCAGGCGTCAGATCCTCCTTAAAGCAGCCAGTCACGAACGCGCGCGTGGCGTCCCGCCCGGCGAAGAAACTGTAGCTCCCGCCAGGGCCGTAGACAACTGGATTGGCCGAAACGTCGAAGACGGTCCCGTTGACGGCGAGGTAGATGGGCAGGCTGCGGTCGGAGCCGTTGTAGAGGGAGAGTTCAGGGGGTGTTAGGGATAGAGGGCCGCGCTTTTGTAGGAATGAGGGTTAGTATGGTTATGTTTCTGTGTCTGGAGATGGAGGCAGGAAGGAATCATTGCTTACCACCCACCGCACCACCACGGGCCACCGCGTATACCACGGCCGATACCCCCAGAGCATTGACTCGCCGGAAGTCATATAATAGGACAGTCCGCACGAGGCCACCACCAGCGCCAGGGCTACGCGGATGAGGTCCAGCACGCTGATCCCGGGATCCTCGTCATGGTCGCGCTCGCTTTTGCTCGAGGCACTAGAGGCACTCGAGGCGGAAGACGACCCTCGACGTCGTTGGGTGGGGGCCCTTGCGTGCCTGTCATGGTTGTGGTCCGATGCGACGGGGCGTTGGCGCAATTCCGACATGGTTGGTGTGTGTTTATTGGTGATGGATGGGGTGAAGGCAAGCTGTTTAGGTGGGTCATGCACAGGCCGTCATGCCTCGGCCGTTTCTATGCGGCGTTTACAGATTTACTTATTCCAGGTTGGATCATTCAATAATTGTTCATGGGGTCTTATACCAATACTCCTCCTATGTCCGTAGTTAGTCGTAAACGGACTGGATTAACTACCCATCCGACTCCAATGGCCCAGCGGCATGCTGTTCTTCCTCCTGCCCCTGCTCCTGTTCCCAACTGCGGGAGAAGACATCGTTCAGCGCTTCCTGGAATGTGCGGCAGTTCATGTCAATCAGGCCGCGCTTCTCCTTCGCTTCACGGTTGCGGATCACTGAGACAAGACACAGATATCTGCCAGACAATATTAGCACTATTGGATCTCTGCAAAAGCCAAACAAGACATACTTGTTCATCTCCATCAGGTGGATCATGGTCTCATCATGCAGGACTACATGGCTCTCAGCTTCCTGGATCTGTTCACCCTTTGGTTTTCGATCTGGATGATCCCACGAGTAAAGCTCGGAGACGTCGACAATCACATCGATGTAGTCGGAGCACATCTCGTAGCAGGCCATGTCAACTGGTCGAGTATCGGACGCGATGTAGATCTTGCTCAGTACGTCAAACAAATAGGTCTTTTCAAACCCGCAGTTATTGGCCAGGGTGTTGATCAGGTTTTCCAGAGTCGACAGGTTGGGGATGAGTTTCTGGATGACCTTGCTGAAAGCCTCGAATACGGAATAATCATAGATCGAAGTGAGGTAGTAGTGCACAGGTGCATTCTCATATCCGGCATCACTGAGTTCGTCGGAGATGCGCTGCACGATGTCCTGGAAGGTATCGGTGCGGTACTCGTCGGAGAGTCCGTCCACCTTGTGGATGAACACCTCGATGTTGACGCCCGGGTAGTATTGCTGCACCGTCAGGATTGTGCGGTTGAGTCGCGCGACCGAGTCTAGGTAGTCATCTTGCGCATCGATCACCCACACCAGCGCCCCTAGACTGCCGAAGATGTCCTCGAGGTCAAAGGATGGTTCGAGGTATTCAAGCTGGCCGGGGAAATCCCAGACCTGAAAGTCCATGAAGGAGCTGTAGGTGTCAGTCGTGCAGATGGTAGTCAGCAAAAGGGGGTGGCATACTGAATGGAGTCTTTTTGGATCCGCGTAGTGGATTCTAGGAAGAGGGTTTCATTTGGTGGCATCTTGTGGAAAACAACACTTGCGATGGAAGACTTGCCACTCCTGGAACACGATTAATTCCTGATTTTGAAAGTTGTCAGACACACATACCGGCGAAGTCCCATCAGAAGAAGACGGGGCTTAGCATCGCGGCCCTTTGTGCTGGGCAGCGAGGCCAATTTGGTATGTGCTGGTGCACCACCCACCGGGTTCGCTCCCTGTAATAAATTCTCAAGGGTTAGCTGGGCTATGGTCTTCGGGGCAGGCAATTCAAGAGATGCTCGCGAAGCGGGTGTACGAGTCGGTGGAAAGGGCATATTGACGGGCAGCCCGCAGTGCGGAATATGATCGATGGTGCGCGCATGATATACATGGGCGCATCGAGGAAGGACACGCAGAGCCTCACGCTTCCAGAAGGCATGCAGATTGGCGTGGGTGGTCCACCGTCTCAGCAACAAACAGAGTGCAACTTACCTCCATCGAATCAAGAGGCCCCGGAGGCCCGGAGGAAGCAGTGGCTGCGGACCGGGGGAAGGGAACGGTGAGCAACTCAAGCGGCGGTTAAGCGAGGAGCAATCGACCAGCACATGGGAATTGGCTAGAGCGGACTCGACAAACAAGAAGAAGAAGACGAAGAGACAAATCGAAGCAGGGGAGGAGGAGCAAGTTGAAGCGGAGTAACTGGATGTTCTTATCGCTATCTTATCTTATCACTCACTAGTGGTGGTGTTCCTCTCCTGGCTCAGGCCACTCTTCCCATCCATCCTCCCATATACTTGCTAACTGCTTGACCTTTTTCTCCAAATTACACTTCCTCCTCATCACTTTCTCCCACTTTTTCATGTCGTAGTCATCGAGTAAACACTCATCCAACAGCGCTACGATCCGATCCTGATCTACTCCTTCGCCAATAAACACCAGTTCCTGGCGCCGATCTCCCCAGGGTCCCTGGAAGTCATTCCGGATGGACTCTTGGACATCTTTATCTTCAGGCCAGGCCTCTTCGGGCACCTCAGCGAACCAAGGCCCTCCACAGCCGACAGTCAGCATACCTCCTGCTTGACTCCACTCGCCAAATTGGAATGGTCGAGTGGCCAGCCAAAAGAAGCCTTTGGAGCGGAGTATGGGACCGAATGCCGGGTGTGAGCGCTTGTTCGCCAGGATGGTTCCTGGATCGGGCTGGTCAAAGTCCTGCACGGAGTCAGAGTCTGTGTCCATTGCATCGTCGTCTTCCTCGGCTTCATCCTCTTCATCCTCTTCTTCTTCGATTTCATTATTCTGCAAGAGAATAAATTTGTCGTGAATAAGAGCGAAAAGCCTGCGTGGATGGAATGGTCGACGAGCAGAGTAGACGAAGTTGTTGATCCCATACCTGTATTACGATGAGTCTAACCCCCGTACAGTATGTGATGGATGAACTTACTCCAGTGTCTCTGGCCGTGGAGCCATGCGATCACCATTCCCAGTCGTCTGAACAGTCATCTCGTGCAAGCTGCGCAGCCAGCCAGCGCCAGAGGCAGCACGCACGAAATCAAACTTGTTCGTATCAACGATTTCGTGGACGTCGACCTTGGAATAACTCGACTCGAGGATCTTGGCGTTGGGATTAAGCAGCTTTAGCAGCTGCCGGATTCTCTCGCGCATGCGCTCGTCGATTGTCTCAATCTTATTAATGATCAGCACATCGGCGAACTCAATCTGGTCTACCATGAGATCGGAAATCGTGCGCTCGTCCTCCGGCACGATCTGGTCAGATCCATATCGGTCAGACAGGAACTCGGTCGTGTCGAAGTTGGACAGCAGGTTGAACGCGTCAATGACTGTCACAGTGGTGTCCAGACGCGCGAGGGTGTGAAGTCCGCCCAGGTTGACGCTGGTATGGGTTAGCAATAACATTGCATTTTATGTTCAAAGACGACATGCATTTCATTCAGGATCTCCTTCGCTTCCTCGTCATTACCCGCGATCTGATCCTCAGCCTCCAGCATGGCGGCGCTGAACTCCGCTGTGAAAGTCTCGGCGACTTGCATGGGCTCGCTGATCCCCGTGCTCTCGATGATAACATATTGAATCTCGTTCTGCTTGGTCAGACGTGCCAGTTCAGCGAGCAGGTCGCCGCGCAGGGTGCAACAAATACACCCATTCTGCAGCTGAATGAGCTTCTCGGTGGTTTGAGAGACCTTGTGGTTTTTAATCAGAGCAGCATCGATGTTCAACCTGTATTTAATTAGCACTAGCAGGTGATTTTGATCGGAAAACTGACTGGCTCATGTCATTCACAATGACCGCAATGCGCAGTCCATGATCGGAGGACTTGAGAATATGCTTGAGGAGAGTTGTCTTGCCACTGCCCTGTACATGGGATCAGTCTGTGTTTTTGCTGTTGTAATTGGGCAAATCCATACCAGGAACCCGGATAGGAGGGTCACAGGCAACTGTCTCGTCTTGGGGGCTTCATTGCTGGCAGCCTGGATGTGGTGTGCAACCGACTCCTTTCCCGAATCGATGACCATTGTCAAAGATTTCAGAAAGACAGAAACTCGGCAGACCTCTGCTGGGCACCTTGGTGACATGCCTCTTTATTAGTTGCTCCTGTCTCCAAGTTCCTCACCGAAACCTTTTTTGCTGGAGTATACAGTGCATACATGCGCCTCCAAGGTTAATCCGGATACAGTGGGACTCTGTGTAGTTCAATGAGACATTGATTTCCCGGAGCTGATGATAAATGCGCAAATATGTGTGGCTGGCCGTTTGGTGTTCTCCAAGGTCCCCGGCCGCTGACTGTCACGGTCCTCATTTGATGGTGGAAGTTATCACGCCACAACACTAGTGACTGTAAATCGGGGGCCGAAAAATGGCTACCGGTCTTGGTAGTCTGGCAGTGTAGGGTATCTATACACTATCACAGTGGACGAAATATTTATTTACAGCCCCAGTCCGCAGAGCATCGTAACAAGCTTCCAAGCCAGCTTTCCACTTCCGAGCTAAAAAGGTTATTCTCCTCCTAAAGCTAGACAAAATCCTCCTCCCGCCCGCCCTCTAGTCGAGGTTTGTATAGGCGGCGGCCTATGGTCGGCTTCGTAAGCTCCTAGTCTTGAGCTAGCTAACGCGGAGCTAGCTAACCCGAGCTCTCTCATAGCCAATTCCGACTGTCTTACTCGACCTCGAGAGCTCTACGACAGTGAAAATGTTGACCCTATAATCCACTCCGATTGAGGTTATTCCGGTACAGAGCATGCCCGAGAATCAGAAAGTGTCTTTAGAACTAGCTTAGGGCAAGACTTGCTCTGGCGTAGGAAGCTCGCTTGTTTGACTCTCGGCCGTCGGATGTTGATTCGCTATCACGCCTAAGCCAACTTTGTGTACCTAGTGGAGCGACCTATTCTTGTGAATAGGTCACCCTAGCTAGGAAACGCCTAAGGCCTACTAGGAAACGTGCTCAAAAGGTTTCTAGTCGACTTCCTAACCTAAAGAATCGTCGCTGCAAGCCTACGCCTTTTTTACTGTTCGCTCTTAGTTTCTGGCTATATCGGTTAAAGGTCGACTAGAGTATCTGTCTAAGCTATTCTAAGGATTCTATCGCACTATTCTCTATTTCCAAAAGCATAGAAATCACGCCTGCCTTGGGGTTTCAAGAGCAAGAGAGACGATAAGGAAGTGGTGCTTGTCTGGTCTCCATCTTCTGTTGACCAGTCGCATCGAGCTCGATAACCGTGAATCTCCGAATCTCTGGATCCTGCTCGTGCGTTCAATATTACATAAATATAAATTATAATATATTCATCAAGATTTAATCGACTAGCGTTAAGTATATTAAGCATCTGTTTTTTTCCATAGAATACGCTTTCGTCGGAGATACTTTATTAGCTATTCAAGATGTTTAAAGAGTTCACTACTTAAAACAATATGACGGCAAAATGACGGCCAGGGAAGCCATTTCTGGCGTCCATCTGCCAAGAGGAAACTGTGGCGTGTGGTAATCGTAAACACAAGTTTGATAGTCTCGCAAGATGAAATGGCGATGATACAGTGAAATATAGATCGAAATCAAGGCTCATCACTCATAATAATGATGGACCAACTTCCTCGCTTTATAATAGCGTGGACCGACAATTGCACATAGGCAGAGAGTATGTGCTTTCAGCCATGGATCAGCAAATAGTTTGACCATGCATTTGACCTGGAAATGAAATGATAGGATACCCAAAATTGTGTATGGTGGATTGGTCATGGAAGATCAGGACCTACCTATTTATGTCAAGGTTTGTTGTGGGGACTTGGTGCGTTGGGTTTACTAGGGAGGAGATTTGGGGTTGAAAAGAGCAGGATGCTAAACATGTCATAGGTTAGTTTCTCAGGAGAATTCGCTTGTACACTGGCGTTCCTGTTTTAGACACATTTCCGGATGATGGCTCGGTGGTTCTATGGAATTCTTTGACTCCAATTGCTCTCACCACATCGTCCCCTTTCCTCTCTCAATCGCCCACACTCATACGCACAGAGCCATTAGTAATGGAATGACTAAGAACATGCCAAAGTAACTCCGGATACTCTTCCGCACGCCGGCAGACGTAGATAACTTTGAAAATATAACAAAAGCTCACATGTCGAGTTCTAATGCCAATCCGTGGCTTAGGAGTAATAAGTGTCGTCCCAACCTTGAAAATCAATCTTAGGACGACAAATAGCCCTTCGAACGGCCAAACACCCCCATCACCGCATATATATAAGTACAAATATTACATAAATAAATGACAACTCCGATTTGAAAAATAACTCTTTGAGCTTTGGGAGATTGAGGATAATTCCGCCAGCCGACCCGAGTACTCCACCCGATGACGCAAAGAATGACGAATCCAGTACCGTAGAACAATATGTTATTCCTGGTCATAACGTCCATGGTTTGTTGGCAATAGTTCACTTCTGATAACAGTATAATTAGCGATTGAACCAGCGCCTATTATGTTCCGACTTACGCACGATCTCGTGATGACTGCGGAGGTGGATTGTCCGGGGACCAGGTTCATGACATTAGTATTTTTCCGAGAAACAAATTACAGTAGACGCTTGTAAGTCGGTCTACGTACCGATAGGCGTGCAGGATGATATAATGAAAACTGGCATTCCGTATCTGGGATTTGCCGCTATTTAAGCACAAGAATTGAGGGGTACAGCAAAGTGAGCCAATCATAGGTACTCGCCCCGCGGGGCGGGTCGGGCGGCTCTACAGCCCGAGAGCGTGAACGGTTCGATGACAGGCGTTAACTACTACAAAAGAGGGAAGATAACTGAGTATACTGTAAGGGTGCCAGAATGCTGTATGATTACTATGCTAATATTATCCTGGACAAAGTTCATTCCTACGAAGGCCCACGAGGCGAATCTGCCATTGCGAGAACTACATATCGTCAACAGGTTTTGTGGCCTAATAGACCAATCCATGGCGGCTAAACGGTAGATGAGGCAGGAAGGGCGCGGCCTTACGTAGGCCCGTAACTTTGGCCCAAGGTTGGTGGGGCCAGGGGGAAGAATAGCAGCTTCCAATACGAAGGATGCAAGTGTGCTATCTATTCCGCCTCAGGTGTTTTGAAGTACCCCAGCCTTTCGATTTGCAAACCCCGGTCTTTTCAATCCGATTACATAATATGGCTCGGGGAATAATCCATGAGCGTAGGTACGTGAATCTGCTTTCTACTGTCATTGAAATATGGAGAAGGAACTGTGATCATTCAGAGGGGTGTCAGAAACCAAACAAGGTCGCGTAAGCTGCTCTTGCTCGAACTCCAATGTATTCTAGTAGGTAGTTAGGAAAAACCTATCTGTTTCGTAGGGATAACTAATTCGTTTTCCTGCTCAGAAAGCGAGCATGCCAACAGCTGCGGCACCGACATAAGCGAATGCAGCAGCGACAGCTGGGGTCGCTGCACTGCCGGCGCCAGTAGATGTCGAGATCGGACCCGTACTATTAGACCCCGTAGGAGACGAAGCTGCGGTGCTCGTGGTCATCATCGTTGTGGTAGGCTTCGCGGTGATCGCAGTTGTATGTGCCGAGTCGTTGGAGCCCTTAATCTTAAACAGCGGGGACTGATTGAAAATAGAAGCATCGTTGATAGACCCAATTCTGAGGTAATACTTGTCGCTGGTCGGAAGTCTGCTTGTAACATTCCACCTGTATTTGCCCGCACTACTAGGCGTGTGGGCTACGGAGACGGATTAGTTGTGGATACCCGACAAACGATCGGAAATTACTTACCACTAATGACCTCCTCGAATCCTGCGCTATAGGTAGTCTCGTTGTTTCGCAGTAGAATATTGATCGGGCCGGAATAGCTTTCGGTTGACTTTTCCCACTCGATGGTGTATAGGCTGCCGGCTTGAATGGTTTCTCCCTTAGTCGGCTTGTTTATCGGGTCAAAGTTAGCGTCAAGGGAGAGGGCCGCGCCAAATAGGCCGAAGACGGCGGCTGTGTAGTAATCAAATCGCATGTTGAATATTATGCAAGGATTTTGTATAACAGCTTTGCAGAGGCTTCGGAGTGCAGAGTATCATCAGTGTCCTGATTGTCGCCAGACTGAAGGCTCAGGAGGGCAGTCGTCAGTATTTCAACACCTTGAAAAATGGAAGAGGCACCTTAGTGTGATGTCAAGCCGCAGCAAGAAAGATGCGGCTAACCCGTTAGCTCAGGTAAAAATGCAGGGGCCAAAAATATAGCCCCATAATCCCGCCCGGGGGACCGTGGTTGGGACCGTGGTTGCAGGTGCGTTTTCAGCTGTCTTAAAGTCCCTGTGGTAGAGCAGGGATCATAGTCACGGTTGCCAGATGATCCTGGGAGTCGCGCGCATTCCTTTCAGGGGTTTCAGCCCATTGTGGTCTCTCAGGCCGCATCTGGGGTAGACAAGCATCAGCGGTTGCTGAATCGGTTGCGGAGTCGCTATCAAGCTGTCTCCCAAGTCTTCTCGAAGGGGTATAGTTGGCATCGTTTCCTTCCTCGTGTGTCCGTCACATCTGACCTACCAGAGCGTCCATGCATGGATCCGTACTGCACTAGGTCAAGAGTAGATACGATCTACTTTCAGACCCTAAAATATGCGGGCCGAAACTACGGCACTAGGTCATGGGGCATTAACGGGCAGCGACGATCGAGGGAGAGGTGGATCTTCAAAGCCAAACGTGAGAAACCTTGCTTTCTGGTGAGGCTGGTCCGATGAAAAATACGACATTCCCAAACGAGACTAGCAATGGATCATTCTGGGAGATGATCATTTCCTGCACCAACTGCGGCTGTACATATGAAAAGTACACCATTCTACACTAATACCGGGGGAAACAGAGATATTTATGTTCAAGTTTACTCTCCCTGAGGGTGGCTGGGGTATGACGGGTGGGTAATGCTTGGGGAAACCGAGGATGGGGTAATCAGGAGGCAGGTTAACCTGCGCGAGGTTACTTGAACTGATGAAGTCAGAGAGGATCGTGATTAGGGCTACTAAATTCATATACTTGATTTTTATATTATACCATAGGCCGGAGGGTCATCCCAATTATTTCTATTGGGAAATTATTTGTTTTGTGAGTTCAGGAGCGAAAGAAGCATCGAGATCTATCTCCAACGATGCCTGCAAGGACGACGTGGAGGAGCGAGGCTCCGCCATTTATTCCGGTGAAAATTTAGCGGAGCAAAACTCCGCAAAATATCCCTAGGAAAAATCACCTCCGAGAAGTTTGACCACAATCAATCGGTGCTCCTCTCAACCCCTCACTTCCCGCGAGATACCTCGAGACTCCGGTGGGGGCGAGGGGGAACAGCGGGTAATTTCCATCAACGATGAATGGCAAAACTCTATTAAAATGCTCCATTGACATGACGGGAAAATCACCGTTACATGAGAGGCATGGGGTGGTCAGCTATTCCATGTCGATTTCCGGGGAAGGAAAGCCATGTGCATGAAGGTAAATTAATGATTGTCCGACGTGGATTGTGAGAAGTATATATTCGCCTCCATCCCTAATCGGTTGAGATAGAGATCCTGTTCTTCAGAAACGCCCTCCTTTCATAGGAAAAAATAATCAGCGCATCAAATATGCTTTTGAAGAAAAATCTGGCCATTGTTGGCTTGACTTTAGTACAGGGAATCCTTGCTTCGTTGCAAATTGTCCGTCTCTCCTTGATTCGTAAATGTGATAGCCGAATACGTTTCCCTAATATTGTCAGGTCCCAGGTGCGACGTGGACAGCAGCTGGTACAAACCAACACGTCCAGGCTCATGGCGGAGGTATGTGTATGGACCGTAGTGTACCTGACAGCTATACCCCAGAGCTCACATCTCCCCCCAAGGAATAATCGAAGTCGACTCTGTCTACTACTGGATCGGCGAGAACAAGTTGAACGGAAGTGCCTTCCAATCCGTCAATTGTTATTCCAGCTCCAACTTGGTGGAATGGGTCTTTGTTGGAGAACTGCTCTCCCGCGAAAGCAGTGGAGATCTTGGTCCGAATCGAGTCGTGGAACGCCCCAAGGTCATTTACAACGATGCAACATCCACGTACGTGATGTGGATGCACATTGACAGCAGCGACTACGGGGAAGCAAAGACTGGCGTTGCGACATCTTCCAGTGTTTGTGGCAAGTATAACTACTTGTGAGTTCCCAGGAATTATCCCTTGTCCATCAAGAATTTCTCAGACTGATTTGGTTACTTCTAGAGGCTCATTTCAGCCCTTGGGCTTCCAGTCGCGCGACATGGGTCTTTTCCAAGATGAAGATGGGTCTGCCTATCTTTTATCTGAGGATGTGAGTGTATTGATTGGCGCTCCGAGTCTTTTGTTGGATGTCGTACTATACATACGCAGTTCTAACAACTATCATCAGCGCCCGAACGGTTTGAGAGTTGACCGATTGACTGATGACTACACCAACGTTACTTCCAACACATACCTGTGGCCCCAACATATTGAAGCCCCAGCTATATACAAGAAAGACGGCGTGTATTTCGTGTTTGGATCTCAGTTAACAGGTCAGTGCTTGTTCTTTCCACTACTATTTGGGCTAACCCTGACTCGATTATAGGATGGGGTATGTCTGTCGTCTCTCCAACAACCCACTATTGATTCTGCCTAGGACTAACCGGCCTCTGCAGCTACAAACGATAACCAGTACAGCACCGCTAGAAATCTGAGTGGTCCTTGGAGTGCCTGGGCCGATTTTGCCCCTGCCGGTACGAACACCTTCAACTCGCAAACTGCATTCATCCTGGGAGTAGGCGAGAATGTGATGTATGTCCCGTGCGGTGAAAATATATATATAAAAAAAAATAACACATATACGGTTTGATTCTTTGGCTAATTTTGGCAGGTACATGGGTGATCGATGGATCTCCTCCAACCTCATGGCATCAACTTACATCTGGCTCCCACTGACCCTGTCTGGAACGAACGCCACTCTCGTATGTACCCTCTCTCACACATTCTTTCCAACTCCCTTACCCTCCCTTCATGTTCTTTGAACCCGAACTACCTCTGTGCCGTACTCAAAACCATCTAACACCCACAGACGAACGAAGAAAGTTGGGTTCTCTCCAAACAGCGGCCTTGGACGCCGTCCCCTGCTGAAACCACCCCGGAAGCCGAATCTCCCTCCAACACGTTATCCAAGGGAGCTGTGATTCTCTCCTGCAGTGGCTGTTCTGGCGGAAAATCGGTAGGATATCTCGGGGGCACCAGCAATGGAACCCTCCAGTTCAATGGCATCTCCAGCAATGATACCACAAAGACTACTGTTCAGGTGAGGTACGAGAATGGGGATACAGACCAGCGGTACGCAACAGTGACGGTGAATGGGAAATCGCAGGTTCTGGCATTTATCCCTTCGACGAATGGAAATACGCCTTTCTTGTCGACGCTGAATGTTGAGCTGGATGCCGGGGATTCGAATGTTATTACTATCAGCGGGTATGACGTGGGATGGGGTAAGTGATGCTGACCGTCTTTGGTGGTGAGATATAAATTCAACTGGAACTGGATAACTAATTGCGTTATATTTTCAGGCCCGGACGTCGATTGCTTGATGGTTCCAGAGCGGTAGATTGGCACATGAGGCGTGCCAGTGGTTTCTCTGGAGGGTATTGACCGTCTATCGGGGGTCTGAGAATGGCGAAGGTAGATAGATGCCGCTTGGGTATATTGTGCATCCACACATTGTCGGACAGGGCAGTTCTATCATGTCCGTGCACGGTGTCATTCCTTCTTATTTGTTTATCCTTGCCAATGTGAGTTAGGGGATATACTACATACAGGGTATGGAACTGGAACAAGTATATACACAGTGAAATGCCTCTAGCATATCAACAAGCAGCAGCAGCAGTAATATTCATTTACCCGATGTATATTGCCCTAAGTACAGTATATCAACAAGCATATTGACAAAAAGTTTCATATTTTCAAACACGGAAAATACTTGGTGAATAATAACCCTGTTCCACCGAAGGATCGGCATGACTTCATCGAAGATCTACAACACCAGCTCCAATTACTTTTCTCCTCACTCTTCTGTTCTTCCTTCCCTTTCCTCTTCCCTTTCCTCTCCCCTTTCCTTAACCTCAGTAAAGGCATCTCTTTTCTTCAAAAATGGACCTCTCTAGTCTTAACCTCCCAGACTGGTCCACCCGACCCCTCATCTACATCGGCCTAGCAACCCTTCTCTACGCAACCTTCCAACTAGCCAGCCAAGCCAGCGTATACTTGCACCGCGGCACGCTCAAAACACGCTACAACCAACCCAACCAATCGAACTGGGCTCTCGTCACGGGCGCAACAGATGGCATCGGATTCGGATTCAGCCAAGAGCTCTGCGAGCGCGGATTCAACGTGATTCTGCACGGGCGCAATGCGACGAAGCTCCAGCGGCGACAAGCAGAGCTTGCCCGTGAGTTCCCCGCCCAGAAAACAGGCATCCTGTGCATGGACATCACAGCAACGGACGAAACGATCGATCTCCTCGCGGACAAAATCCAGAAAATCATACATATCGCCGCGGAACAAGAAGGAAAATTGACCGTGCTGGTCAACAATGTCGGCGGCGACATCGGCACGCCATTCAGCACCTTGTCGAGTCTGAGCTACGCCGATACAGAGGCGACCATTGCGCTCAATGCATCGTTCATGGCGCACGCAACGCGCGTGCTTCTCCCGATTCTGGCGCGCAATGCCCCGGGGCTCATTCTGAATGTCTCTTCCGTTGCGGCGTATGGAATGCCCTATGTATCGCTGTATAGCGGGACGAAGGGGTTCGTGAACTCGTTTACGCGGGCGCTGGAGGCGGAGAGCAAGGCTGAAGGATGGGGGGTTGAGGTCCTTGGTTTGCGCGTGGCACAGGTGCGCAGCGCAGGGCTGGATTATGTCAAGCCGGGCTTGTTTGTGCCGGACTCGCGCACTATGGCGGCGGCGGGTCTGGATCGTGTTGGATGTGGCCAGGTTATTGTGGCGGGGTATTTCTGGCATTGGCTGCTGTGTCTCTCGCTAGATCTCTTGCCGCGGTGGCTGATGATGAAGATTACGGTTGGCAAGACGCAGGAGCTGAAAGCGAAGGAGGAAGAGAAGAAGAAGAACAAGACGACATGATGGTGTTTGTGACTACTGTGTACAGTTGTATATTTTATTTGCATGTGAGAAAATAAAGAGAAGAGAAACAGGTAATCTAAAACCCAGCTGGAGAGCGCTCGCGATCGTTCGGCCCGTGGAGGCCTTCGCCTAGATTTTCCATACACTCGGTTTGCCAGTTCTTGGGCGTGAACTTGTCGACGATCTCCTTGAAGGCGTCTAGGGTGCAGAAAGTGTCATCGCCGGGGAGGTGGTTCTCGGCCTTGGCCGCGCAGCCGGGGATGCGGACGGGGCGGTCATTGTAGCGGATGCGGACGTAGTGCTTGCGCAGCGACTCGCGCGTCTCAACCGGAAAAGAGGAGATAGGTGCACGAGCAGTTTCCGAAGGTGGCTGCACGGACGACTTGCTACTGCCGAAGAACTTCGAAAGCATGCCGGGCTTCTTGGGCGCAATGACCGGGTTCGAGAACTCCTCGAGCATGGTACCCGCATCAGCACCGCTTCGTGAAGACCGAGAGAACAGTTCAATGGCGATTGAAGAGGTAAAGGGCGGCCACGATTCATCCTGGAACCCGCCAACACTGGACAGAATTGATGCGAGAGTCGTGTCGTGACACCCGCTCATGGCGAACCTGATGTTCTTGCCATCCTCTGCGTTTGCAGACCCAGAAGCAGCGCTCGAGCTGCGCCAGCCGCCATCCACCGCGGTACTGACCATGCGGTCAACCACGTCGCCCATCAGAGCACCAATGCCCAGGCGACGGTACTCATTGCTCTCGGAGTAACCAGCAAACCACTCTTCGACGGCAATCCGGTCGATGACGGCTCGACCCTTCTTGTCGTAAAACTCAGAGGGCAGCTTTGTGGCTGGGCCGTGAGCATCAGTTGCATTGATGGTATCCATAATTCCCGAGAGACGCGGATGAGCATCAACTGCGACCTTGGGCGAGGTCTCGGGCATATACTTAGACCAGAGACTATTGAGGTAATTCATTTGCTCGGAGTCGTTCCCTGCAGCAATAACCATTAGTGTTGTCCACGAGAGAAAAGAAAAATCGAAAACATACATCGCTTTGCAGCGCGGTCAGCAAACAGCCTCGCCAGCTGCCGGAAGCGTCGACAATTCCCTTCATTTGGGAACAAAGTCTCCTCAGAAACCGAGCGGGCGACAATCACAGGAGGCGGGAAATTCAGCGTGCGCGCGCTAGCTGGATACATGCCCCAAAAAGCCTGCTGGAGCGACTCAAGCGCACGCGGGATCGGCGTTGCGCGGAGGTACATATCTTCAGTATCCGATTTGATCTGGGGCATAAACCCCAGCTGATCGACGTAGAGATGGCGCAGACGCTGGCCCAATGCATATGTTGTTTCGCGCCCCTTGTCGGTGAGCTCTCCGTGCTGGCTTCTCGCGAGTCAGCTTGCACAGTCCCTTCTTATACGTCTTGCATTTCGAACTTACCACATAGCCTCAATCTCTCCGGTGGGTCCCACGGCAACCACGGACTCGTCGTTATTCCCGAATGCCTCCATCTTCCGCCGCCATTGGAATCCATTCCATGCCGAGAGGTCCTGGCTGCTCGAGGCCATTTGGACCATACGCCGCGCGACACCGCAATACGGCCAGTCTTGAAAGCGTCAGATCATTTGGACGGTCAAAAAAAGGGATCGGTGAATGTACATGGACTCAAGCCTGTCTTGATGGAGGATTAGCAAGCAGCGCGGAGAAAGCGGGGATGATGGGGGCTAGATTGGAGGTAGGTACATTTTGGAAGCGCGAGGAGACGGGCGTTCGTTCGCCTGAGGCGCATTAGCATGGGATTGTTCAGTAAGTAGCGCAGCTCTCACCATGACGCAGGAACTATGTATATGCGTTGTCAGTCAATGGTCAATGCAGGTGGCAAGTGCAGGGGTCGGCGCGACTTACCACCTGCACGAGTTGCAGCTTCAGGTCCTTCGGGTATAGACGGTCGAGCTCCTCCCTGGAGTAGGGCTCGCGCGGAATTAAAGTGGTCATGGCGAGCAGGGAGAAAGAACCAATTGCTCGCAATTGACAGCAGAGACAAGCTGGAGAAAGAGAGAGAGGGTGAGGGGAATGACATCTTAAGCGCGGGCGGTGACGGGAACAACACAGCCAATCATGGGCGGATACGGTGCACGGCTTGATCTATAAACAGAATGGATGCTCCTTCTACCGAGGTGTAAGTATCTAGTGGGAGTAGGAGTAAGTACATGTACATAGAAATATCTCTCACTCCTCCGCGTCGCTCGTCTCCCATCCACTCTCGCTCTCGCTGGCACTCCACCAATTCTTCTCGCCTGCTTCCGTGGCCTGTTCCGTCTGGGCCACATCCGCAGCGGCCACGGCGGCGCCGACGGTGGCAGCAGCAGCAGCCTTCTTGCCCTTAGTCCATTTCTTGTTCTTCGCAGCCTTCTTGGCATCATCTTGCTCCTGACGGTCCCGCTTGTTGCGCTCGGTCTCGGCAGCAGAGACTCTATCGATGATTTCAAAGAGCTTCTCCACCGCCGGCGCATAGGCCTGCGCTTGAGCGAGATCTCCAACCTTGACGCGCATGTAGTCGAACGCCACTGTGACAGGGACATTGACGCCCGGTACGAACGCATCGCCAGAGTCGGAACCGCGCCGCCGTGATTGGGCTGAGATGTTGATGTCATCCGTCAACGAGGACGCAGCAGCAGCGGCGTTGTCCTCGGGATCGTCAAAGGGAATGTCTGCATCTGCAGGTTCTCTGGAAACGGCGACAGGGGCTTGTCTAGCTTTATCTTGAGTCGCTCCAGCACGCTGGTCAAACGTGGCAATCTTTTGGTACCGCTGACTGAAGTGCGTGAGCAAGATAGACCGAGCTTGCATCCGACGGCCAACCTCCAAGGCCTCCGCAGAAGTTGAGTGACGCTTGGCGCGGGCCTGCCCACCCATATCATCCTGAAAAGTCGCTTCGTGAATGAGGACGGTCGAGCCGCGACCAATCTCCGCAAATTTCGCGGAAGGTCGGCAGTCACCAGAGTAGGAGACTTTAAATCCATTCGGGAATACCATAGAAACAGCCATGGCACCCTTGCAGTGCTTGACTCGGGTGGTGAGAAGGTCGGAGAGACCGGTGGCAGCCTGTAAGGGCGCCGTGAGAGGATGGTTGGGGTCGGTGAATCGCATGGTCGTCACTTTGGCCGACTTGTCCCCGTCGGCAGAGGTGCCGTCAGCGCGGCAATGGCGGTAAGTAAATTGAGTCGAGATATGAGAGCCCTCTGTTTTCGAATATGCGGCCAAGGGCACGACCTTGTCGAACCCGTACTTCTCAATACCGGCGTACTCTTCAAGCCAAGAGACCATCATCTCTTCAGACACGACGAACAGCCGCTTCTCTTGGAGGATCTTCTGCATATCATTTTCAGGCAGGGCGGTCTGGTCTGTTCCCTCTGGGTAATTCTCCTCATACCAGGCCTTAATGACGGACACCGTACCGAGATGGTGATCGGCATGCAGATGGCTGATCCAGATCATCCGTAGATTCCGGAGCACTTCACGCAGCTTTTCCGGTTCAAAGACACGCTTCAGTTGGCCAATGGTGTTCTCGCCGCAGTCAAGAAGATAGTATCCATAGCCCGGGACGTGGACCAATGTCGAAGACACATTGCGATACTTGGATGGAACTGACGAACCAGTGCCAAGGGTAATGATTTCCGCTTCCGATCCAGGAAGATTTTGGCGAAATTCTTGCAATTGCTTCTGGAAAGCCGGCTTTGCGACCCGCCGACGAATGGTCTCCATGCGTTGCTCAACAGACCGCGGGATTCTTTGTATCGTCTTCGCCGCATTGAAATATTCCTTGACTTCGGTCTTGTCGACCCCGAAATCCGGAGCAATGTTAATGATGGTCCCTTGCGCTAGGGCCTCGAATGGCGAGTCACGAATCCCAGCGATAGCAGTTTCAGAGCCAGCAGTCGGGGTACCGGGCTGCGGAAGCGTCACATTGTCATGAACGGGAATCGAGTAGTTGTCGCCTCTCAGGCGAGCCAGCCGGATGGATGACGAAGCCGCACCGCCGAGCGCCAGGTAGTTCGGGCAGTAATCTGTGCTTGACACCATGTGCTTGCAGTGGGGCATGCTTGCAACAAATTCCCGAAGCCTTGGGTGCTCGCCAACCCCCGGGCCCAGGATCCAAAGGAAAGCCTGCAATTCGGTGGTGACAGCATGCGAGTTCCATTCAGGGCGACTGATCAGCCCCTCCACATACTCCGGTGAAGGTATGTCCATAATAGCGATGCCCTTGCCGAGTCGTGCCGGCCCCATGACCATGTCCGGGGTGATGGTGTGACCATCCGTGGACTGGACGGTTTCTCCCTTCGTCAGGCGCCCGAAAGCCTCGCCCTTGGGGACTTTCAGGTCCAAAGCCTTTTTTGGATCGAACTTGCCCCGGATGTCATTACTCCGGACAACATAGGAGAGGGCCTCATCAGAGGGAGTCGTGGACGGGAGGCTAGTAATCATCGCGCCAGGCCAAGGCTGTCGGACCAGCACCGTGATATCCGGCAGTGGCTTCCCATCACCCGGCGTGGGACCTTTATACGGTTCCAAATCTTTCGTTTCCGGGTTGCGAACAAATATGGCCGCAGGCATCTTGACTTGAGCTAATGGAGTCTCCATAAGGGCATCCATCTTCCACTTGGAGTTGAACATGTCCGTAACGACACCCTGAAGCATCATTTGCTTCTGCTTCCGCGGATCAAGCGGCTCGTCTGACTGGGCGGTCTCCTGGAATTCCTCCAAGCTCCGCTTGCGAGGACTTTGCGGTCGCGGCTGGGAACGAGTACCAGACTTCGAGCGAGGCTTGATCGGCATCGCCCAGACTTTGATGTTGTGATCGGACCATGTAGGCTTCTCGAAGGGATCCTCCACACCAGCAGGTATTTGTTCAGATATAGTCTCAGAATCATACTCCCTGATGAACATCGGCATGCCTGTCCGGAAGACAAACCGGCGAGCAGTAGCGAAGGTGTGCATTACATTCGTAGGTCCGTGAACAGTCAAACCTCTTTGCACGACATCATTCCCACCGTCAATGGAATGAGATCCACTGAGTTCGACCGGGGGCTCGGGCTCCTCCGCTGCGGACGATTTGCCCTTACCCTTGGCTTTTTTCCTGGCTGCCTCTTCCTTTGCCCGGATGGCAGCTTTTTCGGCCTTGGTCCGCGCATGCTCCTCACTCGCTGCAGCCGCGTTCGCAGTCACGTCCGCCAAGGTCAAGATCATCCCAATCATGCCGCCAGTTGTTCTCCATTCGGTTCGGCCCGTGAGGAAGACATCGGTCAGGTAGCCGATCTTCTTGGCGCGGTCGTTACATGCCCGCTGGGTTCCCTCTGATAGCTGACCGAAGAAGTATCGTTTGTCGGGGAAGTTGAGCTCGATGACCGTACCGGGCGTGTCGGCCGTCGGGGTCGTGATGACCTGACAGAAAAACTTCATGGGTCGCGTTATTAGGAAGTCGGAGGGGAGAATTTCGTGTCCGGGGGCCTTGAGAGAGGATGGATCGTAAATGAGGTAGTCCTGGGACTTTTTGCGATATTTGAAGAGGTGGTTCGGAGCGGGGAGGATGTACGCGTCCGAGTCGACCTGCAACTGTTTATGTACTAGGGGAGAAACGCTCGACTCTGCGGCTGACTTATTGTGCGATAGTCGGTAGTGAAAAGAATGGGACACAGGAGCAAAGCCTCTGCGCTTGAGACCGACGTGATAGGCGTTACCCAAGAAATTCAACGTCGAGGCTCCAGGTCGACAAAACGCGCGCACTGGAGTTGCGCGAGAGGCCGCGATAAGCAGCGTTTCGCGGACGCCGAAAGAAGCCAATTTGGCTGGTAAGGTCTTCAATGGGAGGATTCCCTGGAGGAATTCAGCGTGGTGTAACGAGGTTGTGAGTCCATGAGAGGTGTGACGAAGAAAGTTGCGGGAGCCCCAACTTTTTTCCATTTCTGCGCCTTGGCCGGTCGCACAGCTATCAAAAGTAGCAGGTTGGAAATAGACCCGCAGCTATGAATGCAAATCAATTAAAAGCAGAAAATGAGAACAATCATGGATTTCACAAATAAAATGAGCCAAGATATTCTTACGGTTCATAATCTTACGCTCAGTGTCAAGTCCGTATAAGCTTAAAGCCGCTAAATTCAGCCTACGGATGCAAAGAACGAATGATCGATAAGATAGCCTAGGATTTAATTCTGGACTTTTACTCCGCTAACCCTTCACATGTGCGCCTGTAGAGGAACCGCGCCGAATGTCCACCCAGAAAGCCCTACCTAAGATGTAACCAACGAGCGCCCGAAAACTCCCACTGATAGAGGCCATGGCTCGCAAAAAGATGGCAAGAAAATCTCAGTAGAGATTTATGAAGTCCATAATAACTAGAAAGGAAATATGCGGACAACAGTGGATGGATGTACAACGAAAAAGACAAACGCCTGACAGGCTGGTCGCGATATGGGGAATCACTGGAGGTGTGAAGTGACCGATGAAACCCGCTCAAAGGCGGCTTCGATGCTGTGGCACAGATGGGCGAAGCGGTTCTTTGCGGCAGTGGTGACTTCGGATCCATCGACAATAAGTTCAAAATGAGGAGATGACTTCTCCGGACGAACGCCATCAAATGCCGGAGCAACGTCCTTTGAAGAAACAGACGTGGGAGAGTCAATGAACAGGGCGAAAGCAGGATCGGACTCGTCCAGCTCGACATCCGGGTTGGCAACGCCAATGTCGCGAGTGGGCGCATCGCCGGCGGGGTTGACGATAACAGGTCTCTCATCCTTGGAGGGCTCAGAAACGCCCAGCGGCGAAGACTTGCCCGAGAGAACCTCGGCATCGAGGGCCGGGCCTTGCGGGATGTCCAGCACCGCGAAGACATTAGCATTTCCGTAGTTCATGTCGATTCCCGAGTTCCAACCACCGTTGTTCATAGCCATAGCCGCGGAATCCATGTTCGGTTGCGGCACCATCATGACTTGGGGGTTCTGCTGCATCTGAAACTCCTGCTGGTTACGGTTGGCATTGGCATCCTTGGGAACTGATGCTGGCATAGTCGGTTGCGGAGCTGCGTGCTGAGGCTGAGATGGCTGCTGCGGCGCCGGCTGGTTTTGGGCGGGCACACCGGTGTCGGGCATGTCATTGAGGAAGGACGAGAAATGAGGCGAGGCCAGGAGCATGTGGGCCAGCTCACTCAGACGGGTATTCTCCTCGAAGAGAGCCCGGTTTTGCAGGCGCAGCTCATGGGCCTCATTGGTACGGGCAGCCACTTCACTCTCCATCTGACCAATGTACTCTAAGAGATGTTAGGAGAATGGGACTTGTCCAAGATAGATCAAACATACCCTTGCGTCGAGAGCGGAAGGCGCGAGCGGATACCTTGTTCCGCAATTGGCGACGTTCTTTGCTGGTCAGCTTCTTGCCCGCCTCGCTAGCAAGAAGGCGCTCGTCCTCGTCCATATCCTGCTCATCCTTCCTAGCCTTGGCCATCTGCGGTAGCATAGAGGACGGAGTTGGAGATCCCTCGCTTGAGGCCATTGCGTTCTGTCGCATCTGTTGGAGTAGACGGGAGATGCGCTCCTCCACCACGGGGTCGGGATGGCGGATGGCACGGTTCTGCGGCAAGCCATTAGGGATCTGCTCCTCCGCGCGATGTTGCTGCATTTGCGGCGGGCGTGATTGTTGCTGCTGCTGCTGCTGCTGTTGTTGTTGTTGCTGTTGTTGTTGTTGCTGCTGAGCGGCCTGGGCCTTGGCCATCGCAGCCTGCTGCTGATGCATTCCAGGGTACATGCGACCGACCTGGGTCGACGGGCCTTGAGCCAGCTCTTGGCCGCCGAGAGCGCTAGGGTCGACGTATTGATTTTTGTTGGCGGGGTTTGCCTGGAAATAGTATGGGGTGGAGTTCACGCCGTCCAACTCGATGTCCATCTCAGATGGGTTGCGAGAAGGAGCAGCGCTGTTGAAGTCGAATGGTGCTTCCTCGCGCTTCATCTGCGAGCCATACATCTCGCCGTTCATCGGGTACGCCTGGTTGCCATTCCCATATCGCATGCCGCTGACCTGGTTGTATGTCATCGACAGGGCACCAGGGGGCAGACCCGTCTGCTGGCGGTGATCTTCGTAATGGTGACTTGGGGCCTGGAAGGCGATCGGGGATTGGCTGCTGGAAGCGAAGCTGGCACTGCGGACATCGCTGCTGAAATCGGTACCAGCTACTGATGGGCCACTAGCCAATGCAACCTTGGGGTGAGAGGGGTCGGAGGAAGAGGTGTAGGTGAGTTGGTCGAAGTTGATGAAGGAGTCAAGGTCCTGGTCGTAACCAGCGTTGATAGTCGGCATAGGCGACGCCGTCGAGGACTGGACGATCGTCGGGTGCTCGGCGAGGGTCCCCATGTCGAATGGAAATGAGAAAGAAGAGGGAGAATCACAGAATGGTGGGAATCGGAAGAATAATCAACGGTCAAATATAAGAAGTGAGCGAAGTGGAAACAGGGGGAGCGGGAAGGGGAGATCGGAAGGGAAATCAGGTGAGAACGGCTTGCGCGTCCTGTGGCTGACTCAGCGGGTCCGATTGGCCACGCAGTGTTGATGTCGGCGGTTGATCAGCGTGTGTTGTGGCTGCGTTCTAGACGGGTGGATGTGTTTCTGTTTATTCTTCTTTAGATTGTTCCTGTTCTACTGAGTCCGGGTTGATTTGGCCAGAATTGTTCCCAATGCCTCCGTTACACTCCCATACCATTGTTACCCCGCCTACGGTCCTATCTGACTGTACCAATACACATGACGCAGGTGGCTGTGTCGTGGGCCCCAGACACCATAACATTTGCCATGCCGCAGTCAACATTCTTCGTGTCGGCGTGGATGACGGGCTGTGCCCTGCTGAATGCGCCAGGCAGCATTATTGCTGATGGTGGACAAGACAAGAATCAGAGAATCTTGCGGATCCCAGCCCAGCCATGGACTAGGGCTGTCTATCCCGGCGCTAGTCCTACTCACTCTACAACGAACCCTCGATCTCCGGTACATAACTGGGCTGACGGCAAGTACCACGGTTCTCTTTGTTTCATCACAGGCAGCCAGGATCTACGTATCCTGCATCTAGACTGCGTAGTAGTGCAAAGGCTCGGCTAAACTACGGGATGTCCAGTCCGACCGACTCATCCCAGCACGGCCCTGGACAACAACAATAAGCTCGTCCAGGCTTTGTGGGCCTGAAGATCGGCCAGGTTCCGTGGCACGTGATCGATCGCGAGTTGTATTTAGGGCAGTCCGGCCGATCCTTTCAAAGTACGCGTACAACTGCAGGAGATACAATCTGTGTTCGTAGCAATGTGCAAGGCTGAGTTCTAGGCTACCGTTAACTGTGTTTCGCCTTCCGGAAACCTTCCTGGTAACGCGACCTAGTTGCAATTCGGCCGGCTCAAGTCATACCCGCCCTCTTTTCTGCCAGGAACGCATCACCGAACCAGGAAATCTGGGCCGAGTCGAGACTACTACTGCAGGGTCGGAGCCTGCCCAGTTCTGGCCGGAGTCAAATTCGAGCCAAGCCCTTGGCCACGTCAATTGACCACGCGCAAACACGGGGCTGAGCCGAGTCTTCCAGTAGTCCTTTCCACATGGTTCTCGCCATGCAGCCCCAGTAAAAATAGACAATCGGCATTTGCGGGCCCCGTGGCTCCGGTGAAGCCCTTTTGCTTGCCTTAGGAATGAACAGGGCTTGACCGACCGAGAAGCCGACCGTGGTTTGTCGGCGGATCTTTATTGCATTGGACTGACCCGAATCCCCGACCATCTGCCGGTGTAGTCAAATCTAGGGCTTCGGCTAGATCTCCCTCCACTTTCCGAGATCTATAGCCCGTCTTTTGTACAGAACATTTGTGCTATGGAGACCTCGACATCTTCAATCCATGGCTACGTTGAAATGTGCCTTACGAATGCCTTTCATCATGATTCTCGTTCGGCCTCATTGCTAAGGACATTCTGGGCCCTAAAACAAGAAAATTCTCAGGCATTCGGCCGTGAAGGCCCGCTCATACCCTGATAGCTTCGCGGTGTCGACCCTTTAAAGCCCTCGAAAACCTTCAGACCCGCTGTCTTCGTAACCACGTCGGTGTGTTCCAGATTTCGGGGGCCTTCGATCGAGAACCCACGAGGTACACTAGGATCTGGAGTCCAGGTCTTCGACCCGGGCCTATCGGGTAGCAAAATAGAAACTCGGTGTGTCGAGATCAATTTCCTGGTGCCGGTCTCGACTCGAAAGTTCTTCCAGCCAGAAATTTTGTCGAGATCGGCTGTTCGGCTGCCTTCCTCTTCCGATTATCAGATTTGACAGGCGTGCTGGACTGCAAAATTTTGATGTTGCGCGATGGCCACTTAAATAAAGATACTGCAGATCGATATCAGTTGGCCAAGTCTTTTGGATAGAGAAATCAGGTTTCTATTTAGAAATGATGGGTCAAACATCGTCACAGCCCTACGGACATGGCCTTGTATGACCTAGATGATAACTCATTTCAATCAGAAATATAGGTACATATGTTAAAATCCAACGATAGCAGAAAATACAACATCCCATGCCCTCTTCGCAACATTCCTTCTGGACACCTCTCTCCATGTGGTCTGCGGTCCGAATTCACTAAGTACCACAAACGGGACCTGAGCCGACAGCATTACTTCCTCCCTGAGAATCAAACGACGCATAACATGTACCAACTTCCCCGGCAGAAATGCAAGTAATCGGGACAAATGAGCATGAATCTGGACTCCAGGTGGTGAGTTGCTGATCACCGCCCCCTGCTGTAGTGATCATGAACGACTGGAATCCTGGCACGCCGGTGGCACATGTATTATCCCAGACATTGCGGGATCCAACTGAAGTTTGGCAGTTAGAATCACTGTACATCTCGATTATTGCACCATTTGTGAGAAGGGAGAACGCCCCCAGAATTGTCGCTGAAGTCTTCCCGAATAGCATTCTGTAGGAAATGATATGTCTGGATTAGCTGATATCACACTGCAAAATTCACAATGAACTGATAGAGGATGGCTAATATACTTGAAATTCTGAGCTTTCAACGATGAATTGGCATTCAGACAGCGGATTTTTCGTCAGTAGCGATATAGAAGACGATGAAGATTGAGGAATCCAGGAGATTTGTACACCTGGTGAGGGCAGTTTGCACCCTTTTATGTCCCAAAATTACTCGCTTACTTGTCATGCTGCAAAATACATACTATGCTTTACGGTATTTCTGCTAATAGTTTTCTGTTAAAAATAGGTTCGCTAGCCTTTAGCAGCCTTGGGATTTGTACAACTTTTTTTTGGAGACAGTGTTCCAACAATTGGGGGCTGGACAATCCTCATATCCCAAGATTAAAACTTACAAAACAATATATCAAAGGAAGGATACGTAAATTATCATAATACTCATCAATTCGGATCAGGTTTTGGCTTAGGTCAATGATTGAGGCTCGCATTATATCTACGTCTAGTTTAGCTAAAAGAGGTGCCTTCTTATGTTAACTTATATAAGCCATCTACCCATAGAACTATATGCTTTCGGGATATGACCTTGGAAAAGAATTAGTACGAATTTTGTTTCGCACTTACTGAATGTACAAAAGACGTGTTGGCCGAAGAAAAGCTGGAAACAATATCTGATCATCACAATCCCGAATCCTTTAAGGCGACAAATATTAAAATGCATTCGAACGGTGAACATTTTTCCAACCTACTTCGGGGCTAAGTTCGTTCATGCCCACGTGTAGTCTTTGAACCAAAACACTGGGCCAATGGTAGATGGGATCGTCGACCTCGCGCGGCTGGGGCTGAGACTAAGCTCCAACTGTTATGATCAGGCTGGATAGTCAGACCCACCTATTTCTCGGGGCGTGTTTCGACGACTATCTGATTCGATGCCTCATATGTACAAAAATATCAATTGAAAGTAATCCTGAACCTTCATATAATATTGCTGGACTATAGATGAAATCATGACGATCTGGAATTACAAACCGGCCCCAGAAACCTAGAATAGACCACCATCCCTGGAAAAGGGCCCCCGCAGACAGAAATATCTGTAAACAACTACCGTCGATTCTGTTAAAATCCAACAATTCTGTCTCCGGTTGGGCGCATAATAGGAGTTTCTCCAGTGTGCTCTCTCGGGAGCAGCACGTGGTTATGAATTGGACTTGCTTCGTAAAACTGATGGCACTCGGGGGCCAGTAGAGATTATGAGCAACTATGCAGCTCTACGTAATATGTACCTGCTTTTATGGATAAGGCGTAGAAGTTATATACTCAAGGAAGAGGAAGAAGACCCAATAGCCTTGAACGCGCCACATGTCCATTGGAATTATGAACGAGGGCTTTTGCAGCACATAAATAACTGATATAGAGAATTAAGCTGAGACTTTCATTCAAAGTGTTACTTTTACATGGCGTGATGCGGCTTTAGTTGAATAGAAGAACAATTTACATCTACTCTCGTTACCTCGGGATGAGGATAGAGTAGGTATACAGCACACGATCCAACTAACCGGGGTACACAAGGCGCCAGGAAACCAACACGTTCAAGTCCGAGCACGCTCAGATACAATCCTTTGTACGTTTCCACGCATCGGCCGTTATATGGCCCCCAAATTTACATCCTTCCGGCTTTTTGCGTTTTGTTTTGGATAAATATAGTCGTAATTTATTGGACTTATAAAGCACGTAAACCCTTGGACAGGAGATTATCATTTAAGAGTCATTAACTTCGAGAGACCTCTCCTATATTTATTCTCCTCGACTTTTTCCAGTGCTACTCATTCACCAAGGTATCTGCAATATCGGCATTGTCAAGTATATATGCCTATGTACCCCCATACAATTTCTAGGTCGTCAAGGCTGACCAGTATATTTTAGCATCATGCTAGGAAAGGCAACCCTCACCATGATGGGGGCATTTGCCCTCGCAAATGGTGCAATCCTTGAGATGTATAGTGATACAGCTTGCCAAACTTCAGTCGGTTCTCGCAATGTCTGGGACAATACTTGCGCTACGGGTGTCCCAGGATTTCAGTCATATATGATCACTACCGCAGGGGGCGGTGATCAGTTCATCACTACATACAGCCCAGATTCATGTGTGGGGCCTGATATCACATGTAATCAGGCGGGCTCACTGAATGTGTGCTACCAGTCCGTCAATGGTGATGGAGGAAGCAATGCCATAAGCTCGTCAACCATGTGTGGTATTGCTTGATCTTTTATAAATCCAGGCTGCGGAGGGAGATCCTGTTGATAGTTATCATACTGGCAATTCAATCTCTATAGCTAAACATCCCATTTGAAAATCTATCCACTAGCGCCAGAACGAAACTAAATAGGAACGTGTAAGGAAAATAATGGTTAGCCCGGGGTAATTATATCAATCCTTGCGAGCTCCTTTGCTACTGGAAGAAATATTCCGTCGTATAGTTTTACCAATCTTCAAACTACCGCCATGTGCTGAACGTTTTATGACAGCTGCGATCAGGCCTCTTTGGTGACTTTATTTAACGCCTGTCTCTCGGATCTTTGCACAGCTGGCCGACCACAAATGGCATAACTAATTATCTACTTCTCCTTAGTCGTTCTTAGCTATAACGATATCCAAATAATCTTCGCTTCCTAGAATAGAATTTGTGATTGTGGGCGACTTGGTATCATGCTTGAGCCGTCGAGGTTAATTGTTTACGCCTTGGCCTTGAACCGAGCCAAGGTCCTCAACAACCATACAGGTAGTGGAATAACCAAGCATTATTAATTCCAACTCCTGAAGGAATAATAGCGGCACAATCGCTTGCGTTCTGTAGCATAATAACGCTCTGGCGCTCCATGATTGATTTTGTTATCCCAGCGCAGTATGTTCTCGCGAACTGATTCGCCCTGCTTTATCGTCGGCTTGTTGAGCGATCAGAATACATGTTGATCAATCACAGACCTACAGTAATTAATTGCATTTTAAACAAAGCCAACGAGGCTAGAGGAGTGAATGGCGACTAATCCGAACCAGGTTCGTTTTCCATTGGCGGCAATGGACACTGTCTTTCAGGTACAAGGCCTAGCTCCTTAGTCTGCTAACGTGAGAACTATAACTAGAGCCTATGAAAGTATGCGGGGAACGTTAAGGGATGCTCTAACTGACTCGTTTTGGCTCCCCAGGCTTGTGTCAGAGCAAGTGGCTCACTGTATGTAGCGAACCCTGAGCCTCAAGGCCTGGTCTCTAGGCGCCAGTTTCTCATATCTCTGGCGCACCTCCCGTTCCATCAACTCCTGCAGTACAAGTGCGCTGCAACTTGACAACTATTCATTTAGCTTTTGCTCTGTTATTGATTGGACTTTAGTCGATGCCAACTCCGATCTAGGCATCTTCTTCAACCCCTCTGCCGGGGTTCTTCTTCCACGAATCTTGTCTCCTCGTGTCAACAGCTGGCCTGGAAGTTTCCCTAACGACCTTACAGACGCCTACCACCTCCGTCAAAACGACTTCTACGACAGATACTGCAGTTAGCGAAGGAAATAACCTCAGCGGAATAACCCAGGGCACCAAATTAGGTCAGCGTCGGCCTTGCAGCAGGTCTATGTGCTGCCTTCATAGGGGGATTTCTCTATTTCCGTGGCTTGGCCACAATAGCCAATTCTCGCAATGATCGACCGGCTAAATATGCAGAAGGCCCACCAACGACGGGGGAGTTCAAGTATGGATACGGACACCCCAAAACACGGCCACCTGAAACTGTGGTCGAAGCCCCACTAAATGGCCCACCACTGATTCATGAACCGCAGTCATGATTCAGGGTTTTATTTCACACTACTATTTGAGGATCTTGTGCTATACGGAGCGCAACTCTAATCAAGTCAAATTCCGAAACAAGATACTGCTCGACTATCACAAGGCCCGCCACCGCAGTGTGGCGATGAGACCTAAATTTAGTGCCAAGGCGTTCCGTGTTGCTTAGCTGAAACGCCTCCCGTTCAATGCATCATCACCCCCCTTTTCCTTCAATCAGGGCTGGCACTGTGGGTCCTGCACTGCAACTCAACCGGCCGCGCCTCGTGTTAGTTGACGAACGTGGTGGGATTAATTCGTAGTTAATTCATCGGGCTCTTCTTCTTCCCCTCCCGACCGACGTCTTTGGCTTCCATCTCTCACCATCGCGGGACCCCCAATTCTTCGCCTTCACTCTTCTGCCCGGCCCCCGGGGTGTCAACGATCGACGCGGAGACAGCCGATTCGGCCCTAAAGTGACATAATCTGCCTTTGGAAGACCGCAACAAAAGGAGGTTCGGATCCCCAGCGGTCCGGCGAGAACCTGGACACCTTCGCAAACCCCATTAGCCATTGTATGGTGGTGCCATGCAGTCGTACCACCCCTTCCGGCTTTGCCAGTCTGCAAGAGCCTTGATCGCGGCCGTTCTGATTTTGTTGCTTGTGGTCTTTTCTTTCTCCAAGTTCGAGCGTTTCCCTTCGGTCCGTGACCAGGTTACATATACCTCGTCTTCCCCCTCATCATCGAACTCTTCATCATACCCCTCCAATGCCGACAATGCACAAAGTCCCGAAAGGGAGCCTATCGAAAATAACCCAGCCGACTGCTCTCTTGATATCGACCTCCTGAAAGCCTGGGGCTATAATGAGACAATCGAATATGCACGCTGGGAAATCTCGGTGGTCCAGACGGACAAGTTTCAAGGATTCTCATCGGACCTGAGCCTATCGGCCCCGGACTTTACCACCATCGACGCGAGTGTTCCCGGCACCGTCCACGCACTTCCGCAAGAACGATGCGCTATGGCAGCCACCATTGAAGCGCCTCGGCCCAATCGTCCAGTGGACGCGTCGCACTTGATCTTTGGTGTCTCAACGAGCCTGGAGCGACTAGACAACTCGCTGGAGGCATTTGCGCACTGGGCCGGAGGAACAAATGCACGCATTATTGCAATGATCAAGGATGATTACGCGATAAACAAGACTATTGTCATGGAACATGCCGTCGAAAAGGATATCCGGTTGGAAATAATCGAGCATTCAGACGATACTCTGGACCGGTATTTCCGTTTAACGAACGTGCTTCTGCACGAGCGCGACAATGCCACGACCGAGTGGGCCGTCATCATTGACGACGATACTTTCTTTCCGTCAATGAGGAACCTTGTCAATGGGCTCAAGGAGTATGACAGTTCCAAGCCCTGGTACATCGGAGCACCTACTGAGAACCTCAACCAAATGGGCGTATTTGGGTATATGGCATATGGAGGAGCTGGTATCTTCCTTAGCATCCCCATGCTCCAGGAGATGGATCATTACTTCGAAGACTGCTACATGTTCAAGGACACCGGCGATAAGCGGGTTGCGCAGTGCATCTATGGACACACCCGGACCCAGTTGACCTGGGATCACCGACTCTTCCAGATGGATTTCCAAAACGATGCAACTGGCTTTTGGGAATCTGGGCGGCCTCTTCCGCTTTCCTTGCACCACTGGAAGTCTCCCGAATGGTTCCCCCACGATGTGATTGGCATGAGCAAAGCCGCTTCTGTTTGTGGCGATAACTGCCAACTTAACCGATGGCGGGTTACCGATGAGTGGTTCCTCGTGAACGGCTTCTCTGTCGTGGAATATTCGCAGCCGCAGGACGAGGAAGACTTGAAAGCCATGGAGGCCACTTGGGATTCCAACCCGTGGGCGATCGAGGAGGGCTATGCTTATAGTCTCGGGCCCTTGCGCCCGAAAGACTGGATGAAGGACTCCTACCAACTCAAGGGCGCTGTTTTAGAAGGCAACCGTCTTCGCCAGTACTATATTCTTGAACCATTTCTGGCTGAGAAGGCAAGGGTAATTGAAGTCGTCTGGACGGTGTCTGAGGCGAAGAAGAAAGGCATTTTCCACTGGTCTGGTTGATCCGTTTAGATTCATGTGTTTTATAATATTGTTTGGGTGGTATTCTTGGGTTATATTTCAAATATAAATATTCTCTTCAAAGATCCGATGGTGACTAGACTAGGATTTGGGCACTAGAGCATCCTCTTGTTCTATAGAATCCAGCACTAACTACTGCTGTCCATTCCAATATTGATGCCTGATGGCTTAGGCATCGCGGCCTAGTTAACTATACCCGTTCAGGACCCCGACCCCGGATTGTTCCCTTGCACTTCGTTTTGAGGTCATTAAACGACAAAATCACAAATACAGCCGTTTAGTCTTATATCAACCTGAGTTGCGCAAGGCAGCGTCTCCTCTTAGCTTGGTCTGATTTCACCCACTCGTCCACTCCCTGGCCCTTCATTTGGACCTCGACAAGACTGTGTCAATCAAGTGATGACATCTTCTGCACCGTCAATCCTTGCATCCTGCAAGCAGACACGGTTTCACCTACTAGACGACAATCCGTCTCAAGAGGTAACTGAAACGCCCAAGGCGTGAAGCACTACAGCTAACATTGGCTCCTGCAATTGTACTATCGAAGGTAGATGTCGAGGGCCTCAGTATTCTCGTGGCGTCGTCTACGGCGGACTCCGCTGAAGATGCAACAAAGACAAAGACCAAGGGCAAATTCAAGGCCAAGGCCTCGGGGAAAGAGCTCATCTCGGACGGCCATCTACGATTGAAAGCAGGCATCCACTATGGGCTGCTGGGGCGCAATGGAACCGGGAAATCAAGTATGAATCTCATTACGTTCAATCAGACTTCTTTGACTACCTGCTCACAACCGTACTTTTTCAGCGCTGTTACGGGCAATGGCCGAAAAGCTCATCCCTGGCATTCCTCACGCAACGCGCATCGCGATTCTGCAGCAGACCGATCAAGATGAGCAGGGTATTAACGCAGGACTGAGCCAGGACAGGACTGTTCTGGAACATGTTCTCAGCAGTGACGAGTCTAGAAATGAAGCTGTCCGCAAGGTAGACTGTAAGAGCACTCCCCCGTTGATCCCACACACAGCTGATAGGTTGCGTTGCCAGTCCTCTCGAAAGCGTTTGAGACAGAAGATCCTCTGGAGCCTGTGCGCGCAATTCGGAAAATTAGACACCAGGAAACGGAAAAGCACTTGTTCCTGGCTCACAAAAATGCAAGTCTGAAGAGCGGAGCGCGAGGTTTGCAAGCGAGAAAAGATTTGAAGGCTGCCGAGTTGAAAGTCGATGCCTCGCGCGAATTGTAAGATTACAACAATCCTTTACACCGACATCCTTTCTAACGCCAGGTAGATTGTCACAGGATGCAGATCAAATAGACGCCGAGACAGTCCAGACTGATACACAGGCCGCTGTCGAGACACTCCAGGACTTGCAATCTCGATTGGAAGATGTGAGTCTCCTTGACCCATAATCTCTGTTTGGCAAACTAACCAATTAAATACAGATGAAATTGTCTGATATGGAGCAACAAGCTCGTCGCATTCTTCTGGGTCTTGGATTTAGTGAGAGTGGACTTGACAAGAAAGTGTCGGCCTTGTCCGGTGGATGGCGTATGCGGTGCATGCTCGCAAGCGTTCTAATACAAGATCCGGATATTATGATTCTGGACGAACCAACCAATTTTCTTGATCTTCTAGGAGTGGTCTGGTTGGAGAAATATCTTCAGCAGCTACGGGACAGGTCCGAGACAACGATCCTTTTGGTTTCGCACGATCGAGACTTTATCAATGCTGTGTGCGAAGAGATAGTAATCGTGCGGGACCAGAAGCTCAACTATTTCCGAGGAAATCTCTCGGCATATGAGCAAGACTTCGAAGAGCAGAAACTCTACTGGGGACGCATGAAGGAAGCCCAGGAGCGACAAATCGCGCACATGGAAGCCAGCATTCGTGAAAACATGAAGATTGGAAAGAAAACCTACGACGAGAACAAACTTCGGCAAGCCAAATCTCGACAAAAGAAGGTGGACGATCGCATGGGTCTGCAGGTGAATGCCAACGGGGGCAGGTTCAAGCTGAACCGAGACTTGGTCGGATTTCATCTGAGCAGCCGTGCCGAGATTGACGTACCAACGGACGAGAAAGGCGCGTTGATGAGCTTGCCGGATGCAACGGAATTGCGTTTTCCAGGACCACTGGTCTCTCTAGATGGGATCACCTTCAAATACAAAAACAGCGATCGCATCATCTTGAATGATGTGAACTTGGTCGTTCACATCGGTGACCGTGTTGGGATTATGGGTCTCAACGGGTCTGGAAAGACGACTCTGGTTCGTGTCTTGACCGGAGGTATACCGTCTTCCAAGGGTAAAGTGACGACGCATTCGCGACTGAAAGCGGGCTACTATGGCCAGCACTCGGTGGAGGAGCTACAGGAGCGTGGCCGCAACGAGCCCAGCCTGACTGCACTAGGGCTGATGATGGCTGAGTCAGAGGGCTCGTTGAATGAAGGTGCAGTCAGAGGTCTCCTTTCGTCCATGGGATTAGCAGGCCGCGTAGTGTCGGATGTACCGGTGTCCAAATTATCAGGCGGACAATTGGTAAGTCGAAATGTTTAGTACGAGAGGGACGGAACACTGACCGGCCACGATAGGTCCGCCTGGCCCTGGCACGAATTGTTTGGAATGCACCACAACTTCTAATTCTCGACGAAATCACTACTCATCTGGATTTCCACACAGTCACAGCACTGGCATCTGCGCTTTCTTCTTTCAACGGTGCTGTCCTCCTGGTTTCACACGATCGTTTTTTGGTCCGATCCGTAATTGAAGGCAAGCGTGATATTGAGCACAAGCTGGACGCTGACTTCGAAGGACTAGAGGAAGAAGAGACAGAGGAGACGAAGACTCGGCGACGGTCAGTGTATGTGCTCAAGAATGGAAAGATGGTCGAGCAACAGAAAGGAGTGGAACAGTTTGAGCAAAGTCTGGTGAAGAGAGTGCAAAAGATGCTTGTCGGATTGTAGGTGTCTGCTATATTATGAAGCAGACTATTATCAGCCCAAGCTATAACTATTCCCTATGTGCTACAGGGCGTGAAGTTAATTCAAGCCCTCCACGATGCTTTCCTGTACATTCTCACTGCGCTTTCTGCCTTCCTCAGTATCCGCTTCATCCGTGCTGTCCCCTCTCCCCATCAGAACTGGCCCATTCTCAAGCTCCGCCACTCTGTGTGCAGCACCGTGCGTCCTGGTAGTCGCAAACTTACGAGCAGAAATATGGTTGTCAAATAGCTCGTCCAACTCTTCAAGGGACCGGTTCATAATCTCCGGAACTCGAAGGTAGGCATAACCCATAGCGAAAATACTGAAAGCACCAAAGATCCATCCAATGTTCGAACCGATCGCGTCAAGAAGGTAAGGGACCACAAACGCGACTAGCCAAGCAGCAACAACGTTAACCGTACTGGTGAAGGCCATTGTCTTCTCCCGGAGAGCAGCAGTACCAATTTCTGATGCAATGACATACGCCAGCGGTGCCCAGGTGCCACTGAAGAAGAAATTGAAGAGCATCACGCATGCGACTAGGCCATTTCCATCTGTTGTGGTCGGGTTCTTCTTCAGTCCAATTCCAGCCATGGCAAATAAGAAGACGGCTTGAAAGAAACCGCCTAGAATCAAGATGTTGCGTCGGCCGACTATGTCGAAAACGCTCATACCGATAAGAACACCGGCCCATCCAACTACTGCGGAGGCTATATTGTATTGGAAAGCATGTGCGCCCAGACCCACGGTTTTATAGAAGCGAGGGGAGTCTGCGGGCAGTGTTAGCTTCGCATTCCTCGACGAAATAAGGTTAGGCCGCGTACATTGAGAGACAAATCCTTGGCCGGTGAATTGCTGCAGAATAAAAACTGATACGGCGATCTCCGTTCTGCGTCGGTTTGTACCTTTCTAATAGTTTTCAAACGTTGTTAGATGCCATTTTGAAGCAAATAAGAACATAGGCCCTTACAAAAAGATCGATCCACGGTCCTTTCTCAACCTGGTTATCAAGGGCCTCTTCGATGGCGTCTGCTTCCGCTTGGCATGTTCCGGCCACTGTGGAAACTTGGTGAACAGGAGAATAGACAGTACGGCAATTAATATACATACCAACATCTTCCTTTGGCCGAACTCTCTCCAAAGTGTGGACAGCATCGGCCTTGCGGCCCTTGCTGATAAGCCACCTAGGTCCGGAGGCTGTCGGATAAAATAGTTAGTAATTTGAGGATGTAAGGCGTGTAAAAAGATGCAGCCATTTTGGACATACGGATGAAAAGTGGAGAAACAAAAATGGTTACAGGCACAACGGCCTGAATGGCAACTGGGATAATCCAGCCGCTAGGTTTTGTTGACGTAGAGAAGCGCTCGTTAACGCCCGCAGCCATAATCTGGCCGAATTGGATGAACAGCTGAATTGACCCGACGACAGCCCCACGCAGAGATGCCGGAACGAGCTCAGATTGGTACGTCCTGGATGGAAGTCAGTTGACTCAGAAAAGCCGGGGAAGCTGTTCACCACAGAGAGAAACTGTGGAGGGAGCGGAGACTTACGTAGAGGTATTTTCTGCCAGCCCGACACTATGGTTGTGCATATTAGTATTAGCTGACTTGAAGAAAAGAGATGTTATTGGGATGATTGAAAGACGGACCTGTAGTAGACCACAATTCTCCCCACGACAAACTGGGCCATCGTTTTTGAAGTGCATTCCAGAATGATACCAACAAAACTGACTATGCACAAAATCCAGATGGTGTATCGATGGCCAATCTTCTCCACGTAGAGGGGACAAGTCTAGAATGTCAGCGGCGCGACGAGGACATTTGTCAGGGATGCATACCAGCGTTCCGAAGAACTTGCCTACAAAGGCGACAGAGCTCATGAAGGAGACGCGAGCAGCAGAGATAGCACTGCTACCATCCGGCTTGATAGCATTACCGAACTGGTCAATGAAAGCAGGAATGCTCTGGACGCCAGAGAAACTCGTGGTGTCGAATCCAAAAAGCATGTTGAGCATTGCTGTGACGAAACATGCGAAGAAAAGAGGCCATGTCATTTTGCTCAGCATAGCTCGCAAGCTGGCAAAGGCGCCTCGCGAAGCGGGGTTACCACTCTGGATCATGTTCTTTTTGAGAGCTATAACGGCGATGGAGAAAAGGTCGTCTCAATCTTGGAAGGCAACGAGTCCTTTATAAACGGAGGACATAGATTTAGACTTCTTTAAGTTGTATGATCTCGGAACCGGGACTAGATCTGGTCGCCCAACTGACGCGATCATAGTACGCTATGGCAAGTCGTTAGCTTGATCCACCCCGGTTTAAGCAGCTGTGGAGGAGCCGCGCTTCTCCCCGGGGAAGCACCAATTCCCTAGGGGTAAGTCGGAATAGGAGGCGAGTTACGCGATATAATACCTAGTCGGAATGGAGTGCGACATACGCGACGACTCGTGTCAGGTCTGTTGTGGGGCCGTCTCACATCCCATTAATGCCATTGATTGGCCATGGTGCTTTAGCACTTCACAAGCCCATGAGCTAAACACGCGTAGAACACCTGAGGGCCATTTACCCGGCTGATCCGAGTATAATTGCCTCCACAGGTGGGGGAAGCTCTAGGTAGCATACTTAAAGTGCACTGCTCTCATCCAGCAATACCGCTGTATCCTTGGACTCTTCGAAAGGCAAACAAGACTGTATAGAACCCTATTAAACCAATGCACCATGGTTCCGAGTTCACGTCCCAACTTCCTCATTATACTAGCCGATGGTATGTCCTTACCCCGCGCGCTTTAGAAGCTCTCATTAACTGCCCACGCAATAAAGATCTCGGATATAGCGATATTGGCTGCTTTGGAAGCGAAATTCGCACCCCGAACCTCGATACCCTTGCTATAAATGGCGCCCGCTTCACGGACTGTATGTACCGTTCTGTCTTTTTCCGGGTCCCTAAAGCTGAAGGTTTGCACCGAAGACCACACTGCTAGCGCCTGCAGCCCGACGAGAGCTATGCTCCTAAGTGGTACAGATAACCATATTGCTGGCGTTGGCGTAATGAGTGAGCAGAAGGGTAGAGACCCCGAGAGGTGGAATGTACCTGGCCACGAAGGCTTTCTCAAGTATGTCATGTAGATTGCTGGCAGCGTTCAATCTGCACAACTAAACTCTCTACCTCCTTAGTCACAATGTGGCTGCCGTCTCTGAGATCCTACAAGATAATGGTTACCACACTCTGATCAGTGGAAAATGGCACCTTGGTCTGCGAACGGAAAACAACCCAGCCGTCCGGGGCTTTGACCGCTCGTTCGCGCTGCTTCCTGGGACTTCAAATCACTACGGCTGGGAGCCGCAGTTTGGCAAGGATTACATTAACTTCTTCGTCCGAATCCCAGTCCTGTATACTGAGGACGGCAAAAAGTGCGACATCGAACCAAACTTGAACCACGATAAGAAAGGCTTCTTTACATCTGACTTTTATACGGACAATTTGATTAATTACTTGGACGATCGCTCCGAAGCAGACAAAGAGAAGCCCTTTTTCGCATATTTGCCCTTCTCAGCACCGCATTGGCCACTGCAGTGTGCTAAAGAGGACCGTGACCGGTACAAGGGAATGTATGATGATGGGCCGGATGCGCTCCGTATCAAGCGCATGGAGCGGATGAAGGAACTAGGGTTGATTCCTAAGGACATCCGCCCGCATGATGTTGTGGTCGGGCCCATGAACACGGAGTGGGACGAAATGACCGACTACGAGCGTCAATGTTCTGCTCGCTCTATGGAATGTTTCGCTGGCATGGTCGACAATATCGACCAGAACGTTGGGAAAGTTGTGGACTATCTGAAGAAGACTGGTGAATTTGAGAGTGAGTCGCATATTATTCTTCATAGATGCTAGAAACGTTGCTAACATCGAGGAAAGACACCTTCATTGTCTTCCAGAGTGACAATGGTGCCGAAGGGGCAACATACGAGGCTCTCCCCACCATGGGAGCTGATCTCATGCGGGTTATCAACGAGTACTGTTCGTATAGTCTTTGAGTCTACGATGTCTCAATAGAGCTAACAGCGTGAATTCAGATGATAACTCTCTTGACAACATTGGAAATGCAACGTCATTTGCCTGGTATGGTACACGGGTAAGTATTGACATTTTCACTTGCTACATATATTCCCGATTGACACAAACCGCAGTGGGCCCAAGCCTCGACAGCACCATCGCGTTTATATAAGATGTTCACGTAAGGAAGACGATAGACTGAAACACAGTAAGCAACAGATGAGCTGACAATGCACCTTTTTCCAGAACTGAGGGCGGCATCAATGTACCCTTTGGTAAGTACCGTGTAGATTCCATCTTTCAATGATTTCGAAATTTAATCTTGGGGTTTTCACAGTGGTCCACTACCCGAAATTTTCTCGCGAGCGCCAGAATGGAACTACCATCCGCGCCTTCTCCAGCGTGATGGATCTGACCCCGACAATGCTTGATCTTGCGGGCGTCACCCACCCGGCAGCCAACGGGAAGCCAGCGCAGTTCCGTGGTAGGGAAGTTGCACCCATGCGAGGCTCATCTTGGGTAAGCACATACTGTATTTCCAGGCATTGCAATTGCTGACAGACACCAATCCGGCAGGTTCCATTCATGATGGGTGATGGCATTAATTCTCCCGATGCCATTCATGGTGATACAGCTATGGGCTGGGAGCTGTTCGGACGAGCGGCCGTGCGCAAGCTTAACTGGAAGCTCGTGAGCATTGAGAGTTCAATGGGCGGCCGGAAAGACGGTGGCTGGCAGCTATATGACTTGTCTACTGACCCGGGGGAGACAGTGGATCTGGCTGATGAGAAGCCCGAAAAGGTCAAGGAACTACTTGAAATTTGGCAGCAATACCGCAAGGAGACGGGCGTAGTCTGGGGTACTCCGATCAAATATGTCGGCGAAGAGTGGGATGGCAACGATGAGGATGGAATCATTGGCGGAGATGCAATCACGCAGACAAAGGCTTGGATGAACGTGAGGAAGAACGAGGCTCCACCAGTCAAGAGTTGAGCCATACATTACAAACTCAGTGTTTATGATGCTGGAGCTATTCTATCGCGCGTAAGGAAATCAAGGTAGCGGCGTATTCAGGCTGTTGTCCGTTCCCGCAAAAATGTCATCCAAACCAAATCCCGAACCGAAATCAAGATTCCCCCAGTCAAATTGCGCCTGGGATGCCTCTAGATCATAAGTACCATCTGCCCAGTTCGAAACAATGCGGAGAGCGTCGGGGCTGAGGGAATCATCGCTTTCTTGCAGATACACATTCGGTATATTTTCACTCGAAGGTACCGTGTACGGTGGTGGCGGAACAGTTTTCGTATCCTTGCCCGATGGTGGTTGTTTTGTGGGTTGGGAAAATATAATTGAAGACGATGCACAAGCAGACTCAATATCGTGGTCCGTCCTGGCTTTCTGGATGGATCCCAGTGTCCCATACGTATCAAGTCCTGGGGACGCTGAGCGAGAGACAGTCTCCATATGGGATGCCTCGCTTCAATTATGGGTCAATTAGCTGTTTTTGCAGATCAGATTGCAAGGGGTCAGGATTCGGTTACCTTGAAAGATCATCCAAGTTCAGCTGGAAGCCATGCCGTCCTACTAAGCGACTGATGGCAATAAGCTGGTGACATTCCGTCAGCAGTAAGCTTTTGCATATAAGGGAGGTTGAACAAACAAGCTTTCTTATTGGTATAGACCATTGAGCTGTTCTCAAAGCGCACCTGCGGCACATCTCCAATCGATCCTTGACGTCCTGGGAGCTGAGAGACACAAGTTCATTATTGCCGTCCCATCTCTCAACCACCAATACCCTGATTGCCACACAAGAACAGATGGCAACGAAAGGATCGTGCTCCAAGTTGTGATTGCGCATCCAATCAGAGACCACTTGGGTTATCCCAAGAGCATGATCAATGCGAGACTGCCTGCAGCTGAGAACAAATGGAGCAGGTGGTGAAGGGGTAGAGCCGCGCCGGCGGGCCAAGTGTGTGCCTATTCGGAAAAGGTCAACGGAAGCTACATGGAACATAGCATGCATTGTTAGATGAAGGATGATGGAGCCTGCGGGTTTTATCGGGGTGGTAGTCGGCTGGAGTAAATCAGATGGTAGAGAAGTCTTGAACTGGTTGAGTTCTTGGCAAAGCTCATAGAATTTTGAACCCTGTTCCCACGGGAGACAAGAAAATTGACTGGCAAAATGCGGAGTGATAGAAGATACGGCGTAATGCAGAATCTTCATTCGGAGAGCTACCATTCGAACCAAGTAAGCAGAGGCGCTCGAGGGTCCGCTACCAGGATCACCAGACAAAGTGCCACCATTGGCACCCAATCCCCGCTCGTAGGAATGTTCATCGCACGGTAGTCTGGCTTGAACACCAGATGGATTGATCGCCGAATGTATCGGCCTGTGGCCGGCATGAAACGCGTCCGGAACTGAGTCCATGACGAAGCAGCTCCATATCAGACGGCGCCTGGTTTCTATTTCGGTGACTGGAAGCGCAGGAGTATTCGTGTCGCGACGAACTGACGGCTCCAGATGCAACTGCAGGGCATTTGTCATGCGTACAGCAAGGCCAGAGATAAACCAAAAACCCAAGTGAGCTCCGCGGTGCCACTCAAAACGCTGAAGAAGCAAGAGACTTTGTAGGTTCACCGTAGAAATTCGAGAGAATATTTCTGTGACCAGCAAATTTCGACACTCGTCTGCCCACTGTTCTGAAAGGGTGGATCTGGGGTTAGTGTAGCGGTGGCCGCTTGCGAGCACAATGAGAAGGAAAGATCTCGGAATGAGGTTTTTTTCCAACATCTTCATAAAAGAGGGGCGATGGACGAATGCAGAGTAGCAGAAGTAATGGGGTCCGTCAAAGTAAGATTCTAAGATAGAATGTAGCACATGCTTCTGTGGGAGACCGTGAGCGACATCCTCGTCGATGGAGCCGCTAACGGCGGGTGGCTGCTGGGTCCGAGGATCAGTGCTCTCCTCGGCAAGATCGCAAAAAGCATTGTATCTTTTGCATTGCTGACAACCCGGTTCATTGGTAGAAGCCAGGCATCCCAGCTGTGGTGAAACAGTCAGAGAAAGTGCGGCACACTTCGGACGGGTCTACTCACTTTCTTTTCGCGACACCGGGTGCACGCACGGCGTTTTCTTGATCGCTGAGGCAAACGGTTATGGGAAGTCTCCCAAATACATTCAATGTTTAGACGTCTGCAGTTGCGACAAATGTCATGGCCTTCATCGCATTTAACCTATGTCAAGAATCTTAGACGACAAGAATGTAAGATGAGATCAAGATGAGCAGCTGTTACCTTCCTCTGACGACACGTTAAACAGCCGCGCCTGCTTCGCTGTTTAGGGGGCCACTTGTCAGACCGTTTGGAATGTGAGCCGTTATTGTCATTCATGGTGTGCGTGTTTAGCAGTATAGAACACTAGGATGAGAGGAGAGCGCGGGGAAGAAAATGGCACCAGGTGCGCTGGCAAGGGAATCAGTGGACTTGGCGGCACATCTTGCAAGCAAAACGATAGCCTCTCCGAATTGAACCCGGCAAAAATAATAAAGTTCGAAGTTGAAAGCAAGGGATGAGTCGGGGGAAGCATGCTTGTCCAGGACGAGGGGTTGTCACGTGACCACGTCGCCCACCAATAAATTAGATGTTATTAAGGTATTTCCCAAGTTGAACGGAGAATAACTGGTAGTGCAATTTGAGTGGGTTCGACTCTTGTGTATGCGGATTGAAAGCTTAGCTTCTTGAAGTGGCAGGGCTAACACCCAAGTACCTCCGAAAGTACATAGTTGGCGACATAAAGTTGACCATTGTAATTAGACTGCAACACCTTGAGAAACTAGTAGAAATACCCGTGCCACATGATATCCCTGTGAAAAAAAATGTTAACATCCGTTTCCCCGAATTCAACTAGCTGAAGTATAGTTGCGTTTGTACCAAGATTCTTAATCAGGCAAGAACCACAGAAGCCTGATGCATCAAGCCTTTAGTTTTTGCTTGCATAGTGATTGATCCAGTCATTGATGTGGCATTTGAAAAAGAATTATGTACATGAACAAAAGGTCCGAGGCCGGATTCCGAAATCACGATGACCCGTCCTGGGGGTGTCGGGTCGTGGGATCTGTCCAATCCTCCAGATCAATAGCGCCGCTATCCGGTCTCATTACTTGAAAGCTCGTGGTGACAAAAACATGCTGTTGCTGTCCGCTGGACCCCGGATCTTCCCTATTGAACGGCCTCAAGCTTGACGACGAGGTCTTGGCTCGAGGCGCTGAACTGTTCCCTGATGACTTTTTAACTGTCGGGTACGAAGTTCGGATATTTGACGTTTGAAATCGGGGCAAAAAGATTTTTCGAAATAAAGGTGACATGGCGGGGAGATTCACACACAAAACTCCAATACTGGTCTCGACTGATGTCCATATAGTGCCGGGAGTGGAGTCATCTAGCGATATATGTTAGTCAAAGCAAGGAACAGACGATTTTAGCGCTTACACATCGGATCAGGGTCAGTAGGTGACGTTAAGAGTACTATCCGTACAATGCTAATTAAAGATACACTTTTGAAGGCCTAGTGTTAGCATTTGAACTTCCGAAACAACCGAGGGTAAACTTACAAGGTTCCCAGAGCAAAAATCACCGTCAGCGCGAGTTTCTCGCTGATCGGACGATTTACAAGACCCCATAAGATGGGCAAAGGCAGAACAAGGACGTAGAAGTCGGTGACGAGATTTGTACCAGCAATAGCACGGAAGTAGAGAAGTCCATCTATGCAATGCCCAGGTATGAGCTTGTTCCAATATCTCTGAATGGGACTGCATTGAAATATCCCGACGAAAAGGGACACAAATGTCCAAATAATAAGCATTGCTGCGGCCAGGAATAGTGCATATCTCATTTGTTGTTTTGCGTTGAATAGCCTCCAGTATAGGAGCACCATTGCTGCTTTGATGGTGGACATGCAGACGATGTAGCAAGGTTCAATGGCGTACAGGCCCTAGAATTGGGACAAATGTCAGCTCTATTTTCTGGTCCGCGAGTGGGGACTAGAAATATGAAAACGAGACATACCTTCAAAAAGCAGAGTATCGCTGCATCTGGGTCGGCAAGCTCGGCTGTATGCTCTCCTAATCCACAATGTATGCCTGCGGTCTATGGTCAGGATGGATAGGCTATGGGTCGACTGATCAGGGCGCAGACATACTGTAGAATTGTTGAATGTTCATCGCATAGGACAAGATCTATCCAAACCAAATCGGTTAGCCTTTAGCCATCTAACTTCTCCGAGAGCTTCTTATCCCTTACCAAAGCCGCAAGGCTGCACCAGTCATCGTACCACAGGCCAGCACGCATAACATGGCGCGAGTAGAATCGGAGCACAATCGAGATCGTTGCGACAACAATCAAAACAATGGAAACCGCCAAGATCTCGAGCTGCTGCCCGCGCAATTGCATCATAAGAGTGAAGATTGAATTAAGAGGCCATTTGTTCCACCTGATGAGCTGCGTCAAGATGGAGAAGAGTGAGGTTGACAATTGTGAGAAAGATACATCGATCGATGCACCCTAGTAGATCAATAGATAAGCTTGAAAAGAATTTTCAATCCTTTGAAAATCGCAGCAAAGGTCATTCGCCCCTTTAATGTGAATGGTAGTGCACGTACCCAAGACAGTACATGGAACTATCCAAAGTTTGTTTTGCAGTAGGATCGGAAACCTAGCATCTTTGAAACCTTGGCGACCTGCCTGTTGTACTTCAATTCGTAATGTAACCCCATTGGTATTGCACATTATCAATATTTATCTATGCTCAGTAAATCAAAAGCTATAACTAGGATTTGCACAGTACGAGAAGAAATTATTCGAAATCCCATAATGGAGTAACAAATTGTGTAGCATCGCAGGCGTGCTGGGGTCGTAGTCGATCTACCCGAGAGCATGGGTTTGGCCCCCATTACTGTACTAGTCTCCCACCAACCCCCGATTTTCGTGATCCAAAGCCAATCGAGTGTGTCTGAAACGAACTGCCCCCGCTGCAGAGACAAACCGAGGTTAGCCACCGAGATTTGCGTTCGATCCGCGGGGCGCGGAGTGCTAAATAGACCCGCAACACATATACTCGAGAGGGAATGATCTTGGCCCCCCGCTCTCCTGAGTATATTCAATCCCGAGTTGGACACCTAGTGCATACTGGTTGTCTTGCTTCTGTTCTCTGTGGTCACGCGACTGCCCCTTTCTATTATTAGCCCCCAGTCCTCTCCTATGGGTTGGAGAACCGACGGACAACATGCTTGAAGACGAGAAACCAACAATTGTCCTGATTCCAGGAGCCTGGCATCTAGGCAGCACGTACGAGCCTGTTGCAGAGCTCCTCCGGAAGCAGGGATATCCTGCCCATACAATGACCTTGCTGTCTGCTGGTGGCCCTACTTCCACGACTGCTGTGGACGACGCAGAGCATATTCAGAGCACCCTCCTCAATGATCTCATTGCCCAGGGAAAGGAAGTGGTTCTGGTTTTGCACTCGTACAGTGGAGTTCCCGGCTCAATCTGCACCCGGGGCCTAACCCGCAAAGACCAAATTACGGAAGGCAAGAAAGGTGGAGTGGTTGCGCTAGTATATGTGACGGCATTTATGCTTAGGGAGGGACAATCCTTAGACTCGTTCCTAGGTGGCATGGAAAAGAGGAATACTATTGTTTTCGAGGTGAGTTTATCTAGCTTTTGGGAATACAAATAAACGTCGTTTCAAAATCTGAGCACAAATGCCAGGAAGACAAAGCCATCATGACCGATCCAGCGGCAAGGTTTTATAATGACCTTGACGAGGAAACAATAGCAAAGTGTCTTGCTTTATTACAGTATCAGGCCAAGCCCACCATGTACTCCCCGCTCACATATGAGGCATATCGTGATGTACCGGCCACTTATCTCCTATGCGAGAATGACAGGGCTATTCCGCTGGTGAAACAACAAGAAATGGTTGATAAGGCTGGAGAAGGAATTAAGATTCGTATCTGCAAAGCAGGACATTCGCCGATGCTGAGCATGCCGCAGTTGGTGACAGATGTCATTCACAAGGCTGCTAGTGCTGCCAGAGCCACACGAAGCGTCCTTCCTTGATAGTTTAGCATACAGGGACAATATATTTGACATACCTAACGCCCTTAGCAACCAACGTAGTCTGTATCCTTCAGCCTCAGAGCGGAGTTTGGCGACCTGGTCCAGATAAATAGCCAGATGGCACATGATGTGAGTTTAGCTCGCCTTGCTAAGCACGTAAATAGAGAAGAGACTGGGCTCAGTTATGTTAGTCTGCTGTTATAAAATTGCTTGCTATTGTGTACAATCTTATGGTTCGAAGAAGATACTCAAGGCCGATTAGATACATGTAGTAGGTCAATAATAGGATAATAGAACTGTTGACTCGACAAAATGCAATCCATACTCAATTTAGACGCAGTCGTCACGATAATATTTAGGTTTTTGTAGACCAGTGAGGACTGCTATTGTGGTTGTGAAAAAGAATAATGCCCTATATTGAGTGTAAGAAGGGAGTTTGGTCTTCTAAGCATTGTATTCAATGGCAAAGGAGGCGCATTAAATCAGGGAACCACATACCATTCAAATGCTCCAAATACCACAGCTGCTTGGGACACACTGCACTCAGACGAAGTGCATTGTTCCGGGGATGGCAGTAAACTAGCTTGTGCTACAAAAGCTGCAAACCAAAGTATAGTGGCAATGCCCTCCATTGCTGGAATAGAATAGCGACGTTCAATGTCATAGTAAGACACTGGGGACACGGCCAGATAGGGAACTGCGAAGAAGGCCGTCCATATCGCGCTGACGAAGAGGAAAATATTAATCTTGGTGAATTGTAAAAGGCAGAGCACTATGAAGCATTACAATCAGTCAGGTTAACCAGTGGAGAATGGAGCACAAACGGTATAAGCTTAAACCAAAAATGAGAAGTGCAAAGGTAGCTTGGAATATCCGCACTGCCCTTACTGAGTAGTTCCAGTTCACGGTAGATGCCATTGCAAAGTGTGTTTGCTCTACTCGGTCCTCGTGTTGGAGCTTGTCCACAAGGGAAGTCATTAGAGAGAGAGAGAGAGAAAAAGAGAGGGAGAGAGGATGCAAAGTGCCCCTTTAGCATTAAGAGAAACTCAGTAAATAATCTAGGCAGAAATAATCCGAAGAATTTCATAGAAGGAAACGTATGGCTATCGCACACGTGTGTTCGCAATAATACGAGATAGTTCGTCAGCGGCTGGTGCCTCCTTGATACGAATTTATCGAGTCTATAGATGCACTAGATCAGGGTATTACTTGCGAATATCGTCTGCCGAGGTTGAAAATAAGTGGAGACAACTGAGTTTGGCAGTCCTTGCGATGAAGATCCTAGATAGGCGCTTACTTACAGATTATCGGCCCGCAAGGTGATCGGCATATCAATCTGTCCGGCTGCCCGGTCGGGACAATACGTCTCCCGAAGTCCTTCCCGTATTCGGCGGAACTATTATTTACCACAAGGGTCAATGCCATTTTTGACTCAAAAGTGACATAACGTTATAGCAGAGCCTTCTCTCGGCGAGATGGCGATTGCGACAAGATGTGTTATTATAACGAAGATTAGAGCTACTCCTAGGCTTAAGAAAAGTCGAGCGCACCGCAAAAGTCTGAGACCACACTCCGCGACCGCCCTCTCTTCACCCCGAATACCGCTTGTTGAGATCGCGTGGTGGCCGCACCACGTGACACTCCCTCGCGAGAGCCGTCTAGATAGTCCTGTAGATAGCTTCATTATTTCCTCTTCAGACAATCCACTACATTTACATTTCACTCCCTGAATGCCAGCATTCCGCTCTCAAGACCGCTTTCCCAAGTTAGGGCAAGCCTGGCAAGAAGCTGAACTCAGTTATTTAGAGAATCTCTCAGAGAGTATGCTGCGTCGTCTACAGGCTATTATTAACCAGAATGGGTGGTATACGTGTTAGTTTAATTTGATTTTGGCCCTTTTAGAACGACAGAATATAGGTGGCAGAAAGTAGGCGGTCAGGCCGGGTGGTCTCAGGCTTTTGCGGTGCCACTGTAGGGCTATATATCAAGTATGCCTATCATTTACACAAGTGGGCTAATAATACTTAGAGTGTAGCTCTAAGCGCCATCATTAAAGCGGCGGCCTTTAAAATAGGAAAGCCCCGCCCGGCAGAGGATATCTATATAGAACCGCCTACCCTGGGACAGTAACTAACTACTTCGGGCAAATGAAGGCTAAGTGAGAATACCTTGACAATCATCGGATTCTGTGCGATGAACACCAACCAAACTATGATCGCATCCACCCACCGCTGCCTTGATTCTGGATTCCTACTTCCCACTGGATGCAAAATTTGACTACTGTGTAGAGCATCATCGCCTGTCTTCCCCCACCTTACATGGTAGACTTCGCCCCACAATGATCTCAGTGACTCCAGCATGACATCACATCCCGGTGCAATCACATATAAGAATGTATGAATGTCTGGCATGGACACACGACCACACAATAATTCTCTCAATCAATCCTCTAGCTCTTCAAAATGTCCCACAACAGCGGTATGCACGGAGCCGGCCAGTCCAGCGTCGGCCACGCCCCTATCTACGAAGCCGGCGACCAGCGCAACGAGCCCCAGTCCGTCATCAACGAGCGCGAGCGCTACAAGGAGGGCACGCAGGGCAGCCACAAGAACCTTGATTCTAAGGACCAGCGCTCAATTGCCAACAAGCTGGCCTCGCAGGAGGGTAAGGCCAACCCTTCGCACCACCACAACGAGGACGTCAACCCGGAGGCGGAGTTGAGCAAGAATGATCCCACGAAGCCGGTGAGTGCTTCCCACTAAGCCTGTGAGCTTTGATCAACATTTCTGACATAGTCATCAGGCTCAAATACACGGCAACAAGCCTTCCAAGGGTGCTCAAATCGATCGCGAGCTGCAGATGGAGGATGAGCAGCGACTGCGCGAGAAAGGCGTCAAGAAATAGATGATATCCAACGTTGGTGTTTATGTGGAATGCCGTCCCTGCTAGGCACTGTACGATATGACAATTGCTTGTTCGAGACGCACATCACTGGGATAGCGAGGAGTGATGACAATAAAACATTGAAATGTAATCGTGATTTGAGTGTAGGTTAAGCCAGTCGATGTGTGATTAATGCATATGGTAGCGTGGGTCGTAAACTTTGTGCAGTTCCTCTTAAAAGGTAGATGTGGCAGCTGGAGAGACATGTTCCTGGCGGAACTTAGTACCAACCAGTTTTGGCGAATTGGGAGACCGGTAGGAGCCCAGACGTCGACGGAGCGTTGGGGCATATGCCTGACATGCAGGTCATCTGGTCGGCATGTGGTCTGTAGACACCGAGTCAGGGTCTCGGCCTGGATAGTTAAGCGTTTTAAAAAAGGCAATATGCACTTGGGTGGTAACATAAATCATCACCAGTCTTATTTATCATACACGGTTTTATCAAATATAATCAGCATATCCGAGAAATTCCCGGCGATCGTCACAAATTCGCGCGTACTCCAGGAGTAACCGGTACATATACACTTCCATATCTTCCTTCCGGAGGACAGCCTCGGCCCAACGTTTGCCATTCATCGCGATTGCCTTCGCCGCGATATCGTGTGTGAGAAGATAATCCATGATACCATAAAAATCCATGAACGTCGTGTCCATGGGGATAAAATGAGCCCACGGGATTAGGCGCGAATCGTGCCATTCGTTATATATTGTGGACTTGATAGGAAGGGATGTCGATAGGAGAAAAGCCCGATAGCGCCCGCTAAACGAGTTGCCGTCGATATCTGGAAGGTACTTGTTCTGATAGTTGGACTTCATGGGTACCATTGGCGTGATTTCGAAAAACGGATCGGTATATGGACAGTGAGGGTTTCCGGTCACGGGAGAGCATGCCAACCCAGTGGCGCGGGCGTCGGCATGGTTGGCAAGTAAGGTAGAAAGCTCGCCGCTGCGGCCTGATTCCAGATGGTAGTATTCAAAATCAGGAAGCCTGAAATTGACGAAGGAGTGTTCACTGCTGTTCAGGGCAGTCCCGACCGATGTCGCATTGAGCATTGAAAGAAAACGGTGTCTTTGAAACCTGGTCCACGTTTCTTCAGTATTCCGTCCCCCTGATGCTAGACCGCGCCAGAAGAAGATGTCCTGCTTGTCGTCCCAGTTGCCTCCATGATTACCCTTCCCCCCGGTAAACAACTCGGAATCGCCCCAATAAACTGCAGGGGGGATGAGGATACCGTTGTTGATTGGGAGTTTAGATCCACCAAAAAGAGGAAAGAGCTGATGTGTCGTCGCAACAGAAGTCGGGGCCACAAAGGAGCCATGCAAAGCCTGGAACTCAGGCCGGATGCAAGGGTCCTTGGAAAGGGTCCAGTTCTTGATATATCCATCTTGCGACAGACGAATATAATTGTAGAGCTCCGGCGGCGGATTGGCGAAGTCCACCTTTGCAATATCACTGTTACGTGAAGGGCTGTCAGGAGGGCAAGCGACTCGTGCCAAATACCAGTAAGGTTTTCCACCTCCATTTGTAAACCCGGGGTCATATGATTCCGGTTTGTCCTTGGCCGGGTCAGGAAGGGCCATATATTCCGACACCACTTGCCCTGGGTCGAGGAATCGCCGGGCTGAGTGGTCTTTCTCAACGTGCTGGGCAAGGTTCTCCCACGGGACGATCACACGAGGCTCATCCATCCCGTTCAGAGGCATATCCAGGTCAGGAAGATACTGCTCAACAGTTCGCAAGAGACTAAGCCATGCCTCCATCCATCCGACCGGGGTGCCTCCCATGGGCAGAACCTTCTGATTCCGCACTATGATACGGGGTTCGAAACCACTGGCTTGTCGCCGTAACTCCTGCGGCTCCGTCCCCCAATATGGGCTGAGATCGTGGTAGATCTGATCGAAGAGCTCCTCGATTATTAGCGCGTCCTTGTCTTTCGCAAACGCGTACCATTCCGCAAAGCCCGGTGGAGGGTGGCGACCGCGGCGACGACGGTATTGCTCGGTGGCATTCGGAAGCGATTTGGTTTCTTGACGAAGGAGGATGCGCCATTGCTCGCTGGCCGCGTTGATCAAGTGGTCGATGGGATGAACAGGGGCAGAATGATGGTGAAATTCAAATTCTATCGGAGCAGGCTCTCTAAATCTGTAGAGGTAGAGGCCACTGACGATGAAAAGCAGGCCACACAGTCCCACCAGAGCGTTCAGACGAGATCTCGTCAAGTGGAATTTCCGAGCCCACAGAGGTAATGCGACCATCATGTTTGGGCGAGCGAGGTTATCAAATGAGTGACGTCAATTCCCATGGGATCGATTGTAGCCGTGCTGTCAGAACTGATAGGGGTGGACATGAGAGAAAGATAATTATGATGAATTAAAGACGAGATAATGCTGCGAACGATTCCCGACGAAACCTGGGAAGTTGGCCAGGAATGACGGAAGAGGGGGAACTAAGCTGAATCCAGAACCTGGTCCATTTCCGGTAACCACGTTGGCGTCTATCTAATCGGTGACCACGAGCGCACCCAATGATGGCCGTCAATTGATTTCCCGGTGCCAAAAACTCGCAAATTTAATAGAAAGCCGTTCAATGGTCTCATTACTAGAAAACTATGCTTGCCGATTCTGAACGGATTCCTTTTGACTGTGCATCCGCGCCCGAGGCTGAAAAACGCTTGAGCTGCTGATCAACGTGGTCGGTTGTCATAACGATGCATCTATAACTAGATGAATAAAACTCGAAGTATTGACTAAATACAGTGTCTCTGTTATAAGAAATACCCTGCGAATGGCACCACTACACATTGTACTCGCCTCTTTGAGCTGCCAAGCCCAAACGGTCGACCGTTAAGCTTCGGGGCTAGGCTGGTCACCCCATTTGGGCGAAATCTTTGTTCAGATGGATCCGCCTTAAATTTGCCTAGTTCACTAACTAGTTTCCCCAAGGCGCCTTGTTGTCGTGTTTTTTTTTAGTGTGTGATCTTATCCGTGCGGGACCCTTGGTCCCGGAGCCGAAATGGGGGTTTTTTTTTTTTGAGACAGACAACCTCCGTGTTGCCCCTGTGCACTTCATGCTCCTCAACACTGGGTCAAATAATGGGCGCTGGTATCAGCTTGGTCATTGTTCTCGACCCCTGGGGCCGTTAGCGTTGTGCGCTGTCTGGTTCTGAAAACCGACATGATCGAAAATTCTCCGACACGACCCGTTACCGAATTACTTTAATTGATTTCGACGGGTCGTGGCGTCACGATGAAAATCCAAGCGTTACTGATTCGTAAGTCCGATGTCCCTGCGATGACTGACTATAACGGTTATGCTAATGCACATGCAGCCCGGAAGTGGAGGGCGCCCGTTGGACGCGCCGTGATGGCCGTGCTGCCGCCATTCAACTTTTTGACACTACACTATGTCTACTTCATTTCCACCTGCCTAATCGCCAGCACCATATTCTATTTAATGTCGACGCCATGGCTCAGCGTCACCTATGTGGACTCATTGTTCTTGTGTGTCAGTGCCATGACCGGAGCCGGCATGAACACGGTACGTGTGCGACTTGTTCGAATAGCACTGGGCCGATTACTTACAGATTTCTTTCAGATAAACCTTTCCACGCTTAATAGCTTCCAACAAGTCATTGTGTTCGTGCTACTCCTTCTTGGATCTGCGGTTCTCGTCTCTAGCGCTGTTCTTATGGTACGCAAGCGGGCCTTTGATGCCAAGTTCAAGGGCATCTCTGATGAGCGCGAGAAAGAACGTGCTTCTCGCCGTGCGTCTGCTCTTGAGGTGAGGGGTTGTGAAACATCACCCGAGAGTACAGAAATTCCGGGCGGCAATGGCTTTGAAACTTTCAAGTCATCCAAGCCCAATGCAGAGACAAGCGTGATAGTACAGCCATTGCCAGTGGAAACTGACGACCAGATCCAATGTGTAGACGATGATCAGGTCGCCGTGAGCGGAATCAAGTCGCGCAACGATCACGATCACCATCAGCACCGAGTTTTCCCAATGGCCGGCGTGGGAGCCCGGCCTGATCGGAAAAACCACCCCCACGATACAACTCCAAAGGTTGCTCTGTGCCGAGATAACTCGCAGTCTGGATTGAAGGGCATCCTGCGAGGAAACCAAAAATACCTCGCTTCCAAAAGCCTGATTTCGCGCAACTCCCAGTTCCACGGCTTGACCTCAGCCGAGCGCGAGTCCCTAGGCGGAGTCGAGTACAAGGCAGTCTCGTTTCTGTCGTGGATCGTACCGATCTACCTTTTCATGTTTCTCTTTCTCGGCATAACGGGCATGGGAGGTTGGCTGTCACTCAACCACCCGGGCCTGACTCGGACGAATGGGCTAGCGCCTTTCTGGACGGGTGCTTTCTTCGCCGTGTCCGCATTTGTCAACAGCGGCATGTCCCTTTTAGATGCTAACATGACTGCTCTTCAACTGAACGCGTATCCGCTGGTGACGCTAGGCATGTTGATTCTGGCCGGCAACACGCTCTACCCGTGCTTCCTGCGCTTCATCATCTGGACCATGAGGAATATGCTGCCCAATCGGCCAGCGTGGCAGTCATGGCGAGTCACCCTCGATTTCATCTTGGATCATCCGCGCAGAGTGTACACCAATCTATTCCCTGCTCGGCATACCTGGTACCTTCTGGGCACGATCATCATTCTGAACGGCATCGACTGGGCCGCGTTTGAGCTGATGTCAATTGGCAACAAGTCCATCCAAGCTCTTCCCGCGGAATACCGCGTACTGGACGGGCTGTTCCAGGCCCTAGCAGTGCGCGCTGGCGGCTTCTACGTCGTGAGCATCGCCGACCTGCGTCAAGGACTGCTAGTTCTCTACGTGCTGATGATGTATGTCTCCGCGTACCCGGTCCTAGTCACAATCCGCAACACAAACGTCTATGAAGAGCGCTCGCTGGGCATCTACGCATACGAAGAGGAAGCCTCCCCCGAAACCCAAACCACGCGGAAGTCAAATTTGATTATGGACCTCATCCGGCACCGCATGGGCCGACCAGGATTCTCCGAGTCTTCGCGCGGCTACTTCGTGCACCAGCAGCTACGTTCCCAGCTCAGCCATGACATCTGGTGGATCGCACTGGCCGTGCTATTCATCGCTCTGGCCGAGTCGGACCACTACGATGCGCAACCCGTGGCCTTTGCGACCTTCAACATTATTTTTGAAGTTGTCTCGGCGTACGGCTGTGTCGGCGTGAGCGTTGGTTATCCAGGCCAGAACTTCTCGTTCTGTGGCGCGTGGCATCCTATTAGCAAACTTATCCTGGCGGCTGTGGCTCTCCGGGGAAGGCATCGTGGTCTGCCTGTTGCTATTGATAAGGCCATTATGCTGCCTAATGAGTCGTTGGCATGGGCAGAGGAAGAAGATGCAGCGATTAGGAAACAAAGGTCGCACGCCCGGGAAATAAATCGGATGCCAGTGGGATCGGTCTAGTCTTTCTCTGTTTACATATACCCATATGCGTAATGATAATGATAATCTCGCGCAGATTTAAGAAATGAACGGTTCTTTTTAACAAGTCTGCCTATTACGCCCGAATTCACCAGGCATGCCATACCATAACAGAAAATAGACACCGTGAGCATGGGTAGTCCAGTTATCAAGCATCTCGAAATCCAATGTTTTCCTTGGCGCCGCTTATTTGGAAAATAGCTCAAGTCCTGCCAGGGTCTGTTGATCGGCCACCAGAATGGCAATTTCAGAATGTGGCCAAAATCAAAAGAAAGATGAAATATGAAATATGACACTCTAAGGATAATCTAACTATCTATTTTATAGGACAAAATCCATGGTAAGCGAATTGAGCACACAGCACCCAAAAATGTCAAAAATCAAAAGCAGTTTATTGCGCTCCAGACTTCATGGATCCAGCATGCTGACATGCCCACAATAGTTGGTATTTTAACTATCTCCACACTCTTACTACTTAATTCCAGGAAAATAACTCCATACGAGTGTAAGACCTCGAATACTGTATTCTACACGAAACTGCTATACACACAACACTGCCCCTCCTTCCCCATCCGAGGCAGTTCCTAATCCATCATCGTGCTTGCCTTCCAAGGTTTTCGTATCCAACATTAGTCCAAAAACGACACGGCTCTGAGGCTCTGAGGCTCTCTGCTTCGAAGTTCCCCCCTCTTCCGTGATATGATAGAGGGCCACTTCACCACGTCTTAGGCGGCCGAAGAAGCCGAATACAACAACCTTTGGTCATCAACATTCGCAGAATTTGCGATAATATTTAAATATACGCACCCCAATCTCGAATATAACGGGACTATGACGCAGCCGATGATAAAAGCCCTGCGGCCGCCTATTTGAAGAGCCCGGTCTACCTGAATGAGATGCCTATCATCCTCTGGGATGAATTCTAAACCCCAAATACAATCTCCAGCATCAGAACAGCCCTTGTCGCGAACGGCTGGTCCAAAAAGTCTGCTCGGTAACGTGTTATGGAGCAAAATGCCCATTTGCGGGACTTTTATCTACATCACATGTTAGACTTTCACCCGATGGCCAGAATGGTTAAATTCGACCACTCAATGAACACATTGCAAGGAACCATCTTACCCCGGGGGAAATGGGTGTTGCCTGCTGGGAAGGTGGGCAGGGGTGTAAACCGGTTTCGCGTAAAGGTTTATCATTAGGTAATGCCGGTACAGTCTAAGGATGTATGGTGCCATTTGGTCTAGCGGTTATTTTGCCCTAATTCTGAACGACATCTTGTAAGAAGGAAATAAATTACGTGTCAAATCTAGCAGGTCCACGTCCCATGATGAAAATGCAAATCACGAATGAATAAATTTTTGATTAGAAACAAACTGGGAATGCCCAACAATTTACGGGCGTAACTAACTAATAATTGACAGGAACTGGAGTCCAACCCTTGACATTATTCATTCGATCTCATCATGGATAGCAACATCTCTTCGACCTCTGCGTCGGCCGGGAACGAAATGTAGTCCGACATATCGATATCAGTGTCGTACAACGGGAAAGGATTTTGTAGGGTGCCCATAGGAGGTTGCACACCCTGCGGATCTTGAAATAGTAGGTCGTCACTTCTTTCACCTTCATATGAAAGAGGAGACTCCGCTGGCTCTGAAGGTCCTGTAGCAGGGACGTCTTCTATTTCTTGCTGAGGTACCGCCTCGTTTCTTTCTTGTGAATCTGGAGAAGTTGAAGAAGAGGTGGCCGGCGATGGAATGCCGCTTAGATCGAGATCTTTATTTGCGGCCATGTGGCGGATACAGGCATTGCAAAATCGGAAAGACCGTCGAGCTGCCTCCGAAGTATTTCCTAAACAATTCAACCAGAGAAGTCCTTTTTTCACTCCGTTCAAAACTTCCTTGGCTGATTCAGCAGCCACTGCAGCTTCCTCTGACCTCGTTGCCACTGGATCGACTGTTGCCACTGGACCGATAGAAACATCGAGGAGTAAAATCACAGTGGCCTGCGTGAGAACGTGTACAAAATCCCACCACTGTAGGATTCCATAGCACCAAGCGAGATCCGTCTGGTCTGGCAGTAGTTTCATGATACCTAAGGAAGCTTGGAGACAGCTTAGAGCAGAAGTACTACTAAACCGTGAACGAGTAAGCCTTGTGATACTCTTCTTTCCACTTCCGGGCCGTTTAAGGCAAGGTCGATTGAGTATAATCCTGGCACTATAATAACACAAGGCTAGTGACACCTGAAAGGCTGATCTACTCCCCGGTAGTTGATTACTGTGACTGTCTTCGAAGCGGAAGGAAGGGTGTAAACTTAACACCCAATGATCCATCTTCTTGCCGTAGAGAGCTATGCGGCTTTCGACCCGACTCCAACCTATCCGAGAGATGTCGGACGCATATATTCCATTGCTGATGGCATGGGCAATCATAGACAAGTCTACCATGTAGAAAAAGTATAGAGATGGACTCGGCGGGAAAGACTTTAACAAATTGCTTTGGGATTCCATTTGCTCTCTATCCAGGTGTATAGACCATTGCAAGGCACTAATCGGAGCCGATGGCGCACTGATTGGCTGATGGAGATTATATCCTGCGTGTGCCAGATAATCAAGGGCTAGCGGCGGAGGCGCAGAGCTAGAAGCATCCCCAAGGCAAGAAACCCTCCCAGTCATGACAGAGAGAAGATGTTCTAAGCGGAAAATTGACCACCATAACTGATTTCGAGCTTCACCTGCTTTCACATCGAGTCCGTCATTCTTTTTCTGGAGATTAAGTCCTAAAGTGATGCCCGATCGTGAAGCAATGCCGATCATCTTCCATGACCTAGGAGGAATATTAACAAATTGACCGGTACATATGGGACCACACCAGATGGACGAGCGTCTTTTAAGACCCACTCAGATAGTGTCATACCTATTTATCTGCGAGACAACCAGCAAGAAGAATGCCATCAGCGCTTCGGCTTGAACTTGCTGCAAATCATCATGATCGTAAAGAACGTTTTGTGAAAGGCTGAGCGATCTAGCCCGTGAAAAGAATATGTCCTCATTGCCATTAGGGTGTATATCCTGCTGGGAAAGCCGAGAAAACGCACAACCGATGGCGAGGATCAGATTGAAGATGGCCAACCATTTCCTACCGGGGTTTTTGTTACTGGCGTAACAACGATGATACTGATGATGAAATAGGTCCTGGCGAATGAATGGCAAGGAAGTTTGTACTTTATCCAGATAGACCTGGAATAATCGATCTACTAATCCTTTTGGAGGTAAAACAAAAGGATTGGACACGTCTTGGTCAGAGAGGCTCCGATGATCAAGATGATAGTTCACAGATGCGATGGAATCGTCGGTCGGAAGCCGATGTGACTTCCGACTCGGACGGAATTTGTTGGCAGCCTGCCTCATAGCCTCAGATTCCAAGCGCTGCATCCACACAACCTCAGAATTCTTTCCAATATACCCAGTCGCTCGGCTCTTTTCATCCCGATTTATATCTTCACTGACGACTTCGTTCTCGTCTAGGGAACCGAATGACGAGGAGGAGGAGGAGGCGCTAGAAGTTTTACTTCGGTGCTTTGTGCTGCCGGCGAACGGGTCCTGTTACATTTGCATTAGTTTGCTGATAATATTATAATTGCGCGATCCAGAATTCTAACGCACCTTGAGAGCATTTGCAACACGATTTGCGATAGGCCCTTCGAGGTCTGTGGAAATACTACGAAGCAGTTCCTCATAACGCTCGACTTTCCTTCGCACCGATTCGAGTTCTTTTTGCTGTCGGACGAATTTTGCCTCCGAATAAACACAGTGGGATAGGCCCATGGAATGACACTGGGAGCAGACAGGCCTGTTGCCATCGCATTTGGTTTTACGATCTCTGCAAGTGTCGCAAGCCCGGCTCGTACGTCGCCCGCCACTGTCACGCCTTTCGCGTTGTAGGCGTGGAATGGGGAGTTTGCTTGACATTTCCTCTTTGTAAAAATATATCCTTCGGGTAGTAAGAATATAAGGAAGAGAATGTGGTTTGTAGTAGCCGTGGATCTTGCAATGTATCCGGATGGAGAAAAAAGTATCGGGAACGGGGGACCGTCTTTAGGGGAACTATTTTAAGGGGCCCGCGTGGATATTTTCACCTTCGTAGGTCACGTAATAGCAAATTGCCAAAACGCTCACTGATTCGCACAGCCCGACCATGGGTAGAGCCCAGCAGCATATCTGTTGGGTACTCATTGGAAGATCATGCCATAAAAACCTGCAATGCGCAACAGCCAATTGTGTAGACGTGTCCATCATTGTGGAAGAAACCTAAAATAAATGCCGCAATGCTTCCTTCCCGTCTACCTGTGTTGGGTTGCAGGGTGGTTCGAAGCTATCCAACCAGCAGTCGGTATCTTCTGCTACCTGCGGTGCAAACTTGAATAATCCCGCGCTACGGAGGGGCTAGTTACATTCGGAGACATTCCGGTGAGGCCATTTATCGTGGTTGATGACCAATCGTCGGTACCATGATGGCGTGTTGAGCGCCGGGTGTATCAAGATATGGATGATATACGACCATTTACAGTCTGGTCATTTTGGTATACTAAAATACAACCTTCATACCTAAAACGAACGAAGTAAGAGTAATTGTTTTCCTTCGTGCGTAGGAGTATCTTTCTTTTAGGAAGCTTTATCAATGGAGTTATAAACAAATGTCCTTTTGTATGTTCTCTGCTTCACGGTGGTTGCCCTATTATCACGTGACTTCTCTCGACCGGCTTTTACCCTTTTGTCACTGTCTTCTTTGACCATCCTTTTCCATACCACATTACATGATTCATGTCTACTGTAAGAGTATGGTGCGCCTTTTATTGAACCATAGCTTGCGATCTAGCGAACCCATGGATACCAAACCGGATAAGGGTATTGATCACGGGACTGTTGATATCACACTATGACGTTATTCAGCCGCAATATATAACAATGTATCGAAGACATGAACTCCGTAACAAACTTAGCAGCAACTATGAGAAGACTCTACTTTCCACATCCTCGTCGAGCCCTCGTATACTCTACTTTACCGGGAAGAAATATTAATTCCACCATACATGCAGCAAGATTTGTCAATGACAATATCACGGTGTCCAAAGACTCCGATGTGAAGTTGACACTCAAGGATGAAAAAAATACGGATGAAGCTTGCACTTTACTTTGCCCTGGAGAGACCAAAAAGAATTTCACTGGAAAGACTATCAGGATTGAACCTTACGAGACTTATTCCACTAGGTCCTGGCAGCTTTCGGAGGATGTGGACTTCGATGCTAATAAGGATGTTACTGTGACGGATGAGAGTGAGCAATTTATACAAAATGATCAATGGGTAATTACTGACTAGCCAACTAAGCGCTCGAACAAGGAAAGAAGGTGGTTCGGTTCGGTTAAGGAACAGAAAGTCGTGTATGTAAGAGAATCTGTTTTCGGCCTCAGCTGTATACGCAACAAAGTAAGTGAGATCAGACAAAGACATATGACCGCTTTGCGAGCTTTGTGACAAAGCCTATTGCGGTGCTTTTTGCGAAACAATATTTAGCGAATATGAGTTCTCATGCGACGTGAACTACACTATCAAATTTGAATACTCAATTTCCACGGCCCATCATTCGTCAGAAATCGAAGTGTTCTCGTCGGTCTTAGACTAGGCGATGTACAAGTGGGCTCGGTTGTAGCATGTAAATGGGCAATATTAAAAGACTTTGGTCAAAAGAACACTGTATCTGGCATCAAATGTAGCCACTTTCGGTGATCCGTCTACCATCACTTAGCGTTGGCGTGTAACGCTTGAATAAGGATAATCTCGCGCACATACAAAATAGATAACTCTTTTGATAACTCGGCCTATTCGTCCGAATGTACCCGATATGCCATAACAAAGAAATATACACAGTAGACATGAATCTAGTCATCCTCCATCTCCAGCTCGTCCTCATCATCATCCTCAAGCTCTGCCTCTTCCTCGCTCTCCAACTCTTCCTCGTCTTCGTCGCTACCCTCATCGCTACTAGCAACGCCATCCATGAAATCGTCGCCATTGCCACCCTTCTTATCCTCAGCACGGCGCTTCTCTTCCTCCCGACGACCCTCCTCAACGATAGCGGCACGCTCTTCTCTCAGCTTGCGCTGCGTTTTGACAAACGCGCCGAGAGGCGTAGACTCCCAGTCAACATCCTTGAGGAAAGACTCAACCTCAGCACGTTGGCGCGGGGCGTAGGAGACATTGAGACGGCGCTCCTCAATCCAGCGAGAATTGGCCTCGATTTTTTGGACAAGGAGCAGAATCATCTGGTTGATCTTTGAGTTCTTGTTGCCGGAGGCGCGGTTCGAGACCTGCTTCAGCCAGCGCTTGAGCGCGACAACGACGGGGACCGACAGCTCGGGAAAGGCGATGTGCTTGGACCACAAGACGAAGAACTCCGACAGGAGCTCGGCTACTTGTTCACCCACTCCATCTTGGTAGATGCGCGAACGCAGGTAGGATTTCGGAGCGCGGATGGCGGTGTTGAAATCCAGTGGCCGGAGAGTGCTGGTCTTGGGCGGCTTGCGCATCTCGGCGGAGGTGAGCACCTCCAGGAGTGATGATGCCAGCGGGATGTATGTGCCCGTGGCACGAGAAACGCGGAGTAGGGCACGCGTGAGTTGGAAGCGAAGAGGGAAATACTGCGCTGTTGGGATCAGGCGCATCGCGCCCAGCGTGATTTGCACGACGGGGTAGATGAGAGGGCGCAGAGCCGACTGCTTGCCGGACTGTGCTTCGACCAGCCCGTCACAGTGCTGCGCCAGCACGCGAGACCAGAAGTCCAGCGAATGCACGTATTGCCAGTTGTAGATGGTTTTGTACGAATCCTTGCTCGTGTTGGTAATGCTGCTGCGCAGGTGCATGGCCAACTGCCGGATGAAAGTGAAGCCCGTCGTGTAGGAGACATTTTGGTCGATACCCCAGATCTCAGCCGCTGAGTTCTTCATCAGGTTGACGCCCGCCAGGGTGTGCACGGTTGTATTGCGACTGCCCTTGACCACACCCTCGTAGGTAGCCTTCAGCACCGTCTCCTTGATACCCGGGTCGCCCAGAACCATGAGACGGCGGAGGAGTAGAAAAGCAGTGATACGAGTGGCGTCCGCGATGGACACATCGGCCCAGATCCCGACAACAGTCTTGATCAGCACCTTCAGCAGTTTGCGGAACTGCAGCAGGTACGGGAGCATGGGCTCAATCGATGAGAGGGTTAGCTTGAGGGTTGAGGGGTCAGACAGGTTGGTGAGGAGCTGGTGGACCGAAGAGGTGTGCGATTTGATCAGGGGCGTGAGTGTCTTGAATTTCTTCGAGTCCAATGACACCTTGATCCTGCCCGAGGCCGTCTCCTTAATGGGGAGATGGTGTGCCAGAACCTTCGGGACAACATTGAGCGCCGTGATAAGAACCTGATGGTACACATTGGGGTCGGAAATGGAGTATTTCTGATCCTGGGCCTCGACCTCGTTGACGTAGGCTGCGGCACGGAATGCAAGCACCACCTGACGCATGGCCCGGATCGAGTGCTGCTCCTCCATCAACTTCTGCCACTTCTTAATCATCACGATGGTAAGGGTGTTGTCTTCTTCTTTCTCTTCCTCCTCTTCCTGGCGGACCTTCTTCTTCTTCTTCTTAGCGGGACCCTCCTCTTCCGCTGATTCGCCCTCGCTCAGCTCATCAACTTCTGCCAGGTCACCGTGGTCCGCGAAGTCGAGCAATTCCGCATCGTTCTCTTTCAGGTACTTGTAGAACTCGGGGTCCTTGTCCTTCAATGCCTCGAGCTGGTCCTTGTGCGCATCGAACGCGTTGCCATCGTCCTCTTCATCGCTCTGCGTAGCATTGTCCTCGCCAGCCTCAGACCCTGACTCCTCGCCCTCTTGTTCTGTCTGATCCTCCGAACGTTTCCGCTTGCCGATCTTAGGAGTAACGTTCTTCTTGCTCGCCTTTTTGGCATCTTCGGGAATGTCAAATCCGCCCGCGAAGAAGTCGTCGACATTCATTTCCGCAAAAGCATTCTGCTTTTTCGCTTCCTCGGGGCTTGGCTCATCCGCATCTTCAGCCTCTGCGCGCCGGCTGGCATTCTGTGCCTTTCGCTTGTCATTCTGCTGGTGCCGCTGCTTGATTTTCGCGGCAGCCTTGCGTCGCTCGAGAGTATCCTTGAGGTGCTTCTTCTCGAATTTCTTCGTCGACTTTTTCATACCTCCGGCCATGGCGACGGTGTCGGACTCGTCTACAGGGGGCCTGCAGTTGAACGAGTGCTGTGTACTGGGGAGTGTATTGCTTGTTGCCGGCCCAGAAAAAAAAAATTTAGGAACCACAATGACCGCCTTCCCGACCGCCCACTGTCCGAAGAAGAAGGCGGTGGCATAATCCCTATCTGTCTGCCTCCGCATCGCTTCTTCCTGCTTGACACTTCGTTAGACACATTAGACACACCCGTTGCTCCTCTTGCTTCCACGATTTACGAGTAACGACATTTACGACCATCAGTCCAGCATGTACTCCCAACAGCGCCCGCTATCCTACGCCCCGACGCCTTACAGCTACACCCCGAACCCCGCACGCTCGGCCTCGATCAACCTAGATGAAGTACGCCTGCAGTCACAGAATCAACCAATTGTATGATGCTAATGAGTATTCGTCCCTAGGAGGTCAAACTGACTTCCAGCGCCGCGGAGCGTGACCTATACGAGTCACTGGCCGAGATCTACAGCATCATCGTCACACTGGATGGACTCGAGAAGGCATACATCAAAGACGTGGTGACGGAGGCAGAGTACACCGAGACGTGCACACGCCTGTTAAAACAATACAAATCCAGTCTGGGTGACGAGTCTGTGGCCCGGGAGTTTGGGGATCTGGAAACCTTCAAGCGAACGTGGGGGGTGAGTGAACTTGTCTACCCTACATCCAGAACACGGCTGATGGAGATGATTGTTGTGTCTAGTTGGAATGTCCCCGAGCAACAGAACGCCTCCGCATCGGCCTCCCTGCAACAGTCGAGCAAGCCTCCCACAGCGCCGCCGTGCCCAGCGGCAGTACAGCTGCCGGACCCGGCGCCGGTGCCTCGGGCAGTCTCATTCTCGCAGCGACCGAGAACTTCATCACCTTCCTCGATGCGCTGAAGCTGAACATGGTGTCGAAGGATGCGCTGCATCCGTTGCTGTCGGAGGTGATCCAGTCGGTGAATAAAGTGACAGACGGGGAGTTTGAGAATCGCGGGAAGATTATTCAGTGGCTTATTGCGCTGAATCAGATGCGGGCGACGGAGGAGTTGAGTGAGGAGCAGGCGCGGGAACTGTCTTTTGATATCGAGCAGGCGTATCAGGGCTTCAAGGCGACATTGAACTAAGCGGTTCAGTTGATGATGATTGCATTGGGCTGGTGTTTGGGTATTGATTTTGTTGCTCTATATTCATTTATCGTTTATTATACCATCAATAGAATTTGCATGATTGAAGCCAGCCACACTGGAGATGTATTGATTGTTGATGCCTGAGGCCACCATCAACGGAACCATGGCCGGCGCCTTTCCTAATTGGGCTTTTTCTTTTTTTCCTCCGTGGCGGCGTCGAGGTTTTCTCCCTCAATTGTACCAGCCCGGTCTGGTCAATCCCACAGCCGTGGTCACCATGATCTCTGTCACAGAGGATGAGCCTCTCCACGGTCAGTCCCAGTCTACACCCCATAGTTATGATCATGTCGCTGATAAGTAGCCAACAAACACAGTGCTGGATCTCCCGCAGACCTACCAGAAGCCGTCCGGGACCGACCTGATCAAGGCGCTGGCGTTATTGACCCTGCAACCAAGGTCATTCGCACTCAATGCCACCGACACGCCTAAAGGTCCGGCGGTGCAGCCGGCCGGGGTGACTCAGTACCTCACGTCCATCATCTCCAGTTCGCTGGCATGGCTGGACACCGAGGAACTCCGGGAAGCCGTGTGGGATGCCGCCGCCGCTCGACTCAGCGAGCGGTCTGGCCGAACAGGTTAGATTGGGTCCTTGGTTAGTGGGTGACTTTCGTTGCTGACCGTACCTGTCTAGCAATGCCTGCCATGTCCCGCATCTTCAGCATTCCCACGTCCTCGGGCGAAGATTACACCCTGACGCTGCACGAACCATCCCTCACGGCTGACAATCTCGGCATGAAGACCTGGGTGTCCTCCTACCTCCTCTCGCGCCGACTGCACAACCTCCTCGAGTCACCCCCGCAACTCGTGCCCACGACATCGACCGACCCCTCGCTGAGGACGGAGCACAAACCCCTCCGGGCTCTAGAGCTCGGGTCCGGCACAGGACTCGTGGGACTATCCTTTGCCGCCCTGCGCGGCAAGTCCGCCACCGTCCATCTGACGGACCTCCCTGAGATCGTGCCGAACCTCGCACACAACGCCGCGTTGAACGTCGAGCTCCTGACCAAGACCAGTGCAGACGTGACAACGGGTGTGCTGGACTGGTCAGTCACGCCGGACCCGCTCCCCACGCCAGAGGAACGATTCGATGTGATTCTCGCCGCAGACCCGCTCTACTCACCAAGCCACCCGAAGTGGCTGGTCGACACGATCGGTCCCTGGCTGAGCCGTGGGCTGGACGCGCGCGTCGTGGCGGAGATGCCCCTGCGCGATGCGTATCTGCCTCAGGTGCAGGAGTTCCGGCGGCGCATGGCGGACCTTGGATTGGCGGTTGTGGAGGAGGGTACTGAGGTTGGCTATGACGACTGGGAGAGCGCGGATGGCGGTGCGGTGGCTGTGAAGTGTTGGTGGTCAGTGTGGGGGTGGAGTGAGAAGGTTTGATCTTTTGCCGACATGACGAGTTAATGACTAGACGATACATACACGATAGACGAAGAGGCATGCTAGAATAGATAGAAATACAACCGTTGCCATTATCATTCAAAGATCGACGACCATTAACCCCGGATCAGCAGTCACCTGACGTCAATCATTCTGCTTTACTTCGAAAACCCACGGTCTGCAGTATGTCCCAGCACTATCGCATTACGCCTTAGATACTATAGCGACCAATTATAAATCTGATATTCAAGCAAGAAACATTAATTGCCGTCTGTAACCCCAGATCTGTAGACAGTCACCTGATGATACCCGATGACGTCGCGCGAATATAAAGTTGGAATTAGATTAACTAACCGCCACATTCTAACGATATCTTTTCTTACCTTGACCCACTTCTCTGACAGGAGACATAACCCGTCGCAGAAAAGTCATTCACCACGAACAGCACATCCGACTCACTCACTACCCGCAATATGGTGATCGGCCTCTTAAGCATCGCCTCCATCCCCACCGTCACCGGCGTCGCATTCGGGGTCAGCGAGCAGCGCAAATCGAACCAGCGCAAGGAAGAAGCGCGGCGCATGGTGAAGTTCAACATCGAGGCCCGGACTGATGGCGACACGGACGATGATCGCGAGATACAAGGGAAGGTCGTTGTCGTCCGCAATGAGAAGGTGAGTGGCATTCCCAGCCTAATTGTATTGCCTGACTGACTGACTGACCACCCCGTTTGCTATTGACCAGGTCTACCTCGACAACCCTGATCCCTCAAGACGCACCCGCCCCGCCTTCACAGCCATATCCTTCTACATCGAATACCCCGAACTCGAAGAAACAAAACACCTCGACCGTGGACTCGGGCTGCCGACCCATGTCTCCGACAACCCACCACTACTGAACTGGGTGTATGTGGATGAGAAAACACACGAGCTGAAGTACGGGAATCGGTCGCAGAGCGTCGCGCACCTCGTTGGACCGTGGGACTGGACGGATGACGAGAAGGTGATCACCCTCGAAGAGAAACGGAAGTTTGTCGCCGTGGAAGAAGAGGACGAGGGTGAAGGCGTTTGGGCGCTATATTTTGATCGCGATGGGGATGAGTTGGCGGCTGTGCTTGAGGAGCAGGGGAGGTTGGACAGTGCGTTTGTGCCGGTTGAGTTGGTGAGGAGGGTGGTGGAGGAGGAGAAACCGCCTGAGCAGAAGCAGTCATGATAACGTTGGATGTGTATATGGCTGGATGAATGGACGGATTTATGCAGTTATGAATGGCATGATGGATATGTGTTTATTGTTTGTTCATGATACATAGTTACCCTGTACAGTACATAATAACAGATCAGTTAATCCTCCAAACCCTCCCAGCTACTATCATTCTCCTCCGCCGTCTCCGCAGCCGCTTTCCGACTACGGCTCGCCGCAATAGCGCCCTTCTTGCGATTCTCCATACGTCGCTCAAAGCCGCTCTTCGTGCTGATCCTCGCACCCCGCTGGCCCTTCTTATCATCATCCCCCTTGCCTCCATGTCTAGAAGCCCGGCGAGCCTCGACGCCATGTCTCTTGAGGTCCTTTTTACTGTTCTTGCTCAGATCCGGCAGTGCATCGAGCAGCCACTGTTGAATAGACTTGCCGCCCTCTTTCCCGCGCAGCTTCTCGCTGACATCGATGATGTTGGCGATGCTCTTCACGTAGGGAATATCTTCCTTGGTGTAGAACGTAACGGCAATGCCGCCCTCGCGTCCGGCGCGACCCGTTCGTCCCACGCGGTGCACGTAGACAGCGGCCGAGTTGGGAATGTCGTAGTTGACCACCCCGTTGATGCCGCGGAAGTCGACGCCGCGCGCGAGCAGGTCCGTCGTGACCAGGATCCAGATCTCGCCTTTGCGGAAATCGCGCATGATGTCGGACCGCTGGCTGTCGGAGAGGTCAGAGTGCAGGACGGCGATTCGAGAGGACCCGCCTGCTTCGGCGGGGATGTCGTATTTCAGTTCGGAGTGTAGGGCGACGGCGCGGGGAATCGTTTGTGTGAAGATGAGGAAGGGAGGTCGGAGACGGACGTCTGATGCAGACGCCGCGGTTGGGTGGAGGAGTTGCCGGAGTCCGAGTAGCTTGCCCTGCTCGGTTGCGGCGTAGACGAGTCGGTGGTCAATGTTGGGGATTGCAGAGTCCTTCAGTCCCACCACGAGGCGGACGAGAGGATGTTGCTTGAGGGGTTTGTGTCCGAGCTCTTCTTGTCGCTCTTTGATGGTCGACCGGCTGAGGTCTTCGACGTTCGAGCCCATGGTGGCAGACCAGAGACTCACTCGGAGGTCGGGATGCGAGCATGAGCGCCAGATATCGAGAGTCTGCTCGCGGAACAGCGGGTCCAGTAGGACATCTGCTTCGTCCAGCACCAGGTTCCGCACGAGTGGCAAGCTTGCCATGGTCTTCGTACGGTTGGCGGATAGAGAATTGACCAGCATCAGCGGCGTGGTGACGAGGATATCGCTCTTGGTAACCGGGGCATTACTCCCGCGCTGTTTCGCATGGTCATCCTCCTCTGGCTCAGAAGACCCCTCGCTATCTTCGTCCAGGGCATTCGTGTCACCCTCATCATCGCGCTCGACTACTCGCATGCCCTTCCTCATCAACGTGATTTTGACTCCCGTGCCAGCAACGAGTTTCCTTCCCTCGTTGACAATCTGGCTGGCCAGCTCCTTGGTGGGCGCAACAACCATCGACAAAATACCATGCTCATCGGGTTGGGAGTGGTGGTGTCTCACAATTTTATTGATCACGGGGATCAAGAATGACAGCGTCTTTCCACTTCCCGTCGGCGCCACAACCAACAGATCTGGCTCAGAAGAATCATCGCTGAGACCAGTCGTTGCCGAGGACTCTCCCAGCAACAGAGGCAGACTTCCCAACTGCACCTCCGTCGGCACCGTAAACCCTTGTTCGGCCACATTCTCCGCGAGCCGTCGAGAGATCCTGTATTGTGAACGCAGCTCCCTGAAGGAAAGCAGCGGTTGCGGGTAAAGGCGCCGGGCGCGCTTCTGTTCTTTCTTGCTCAAAGCAGGCGTTTCCTCTTTCTTTTGCTTCTTCTTTTTCTTCTTGGACTCTTTGGTCGGCACCGGCTGCGTTTGGATCTCCTCCAGATCACGTAGATCTGTCACCTTGATTTTGTGGGAATTGAGAATCGTGCGCCGTTGCACGTCGTCCATGACATCGTCGTCGGATTCATCATCTTGTTCGGCATCGCGTTCGGGCGCAGTCGATGTGGCTACCGTCGTGGTTGCGGCAGGGCGCTTGGATGACTGGAAGAAATCCAAATTCGCGGTATCATCCTCATCTTCCTCCTCCACAGCGATTTCCCTCTTTCGCTTCTTGTTATGCTCGAGCTGGTCGGCCTCCGCCGTCCGGAAGAGCTGCGGGTTCGCCGTCTTGCCTGTTGAGGGCAGACGAGCAGAGGCAGAGGTCGATGCAGATGTCGCGGCAGGTTTCAACTTTGTTGACCGAGTCAACAGCCTGAAGGCGTCCATCTTCTTGTGCGTGTGAGAATGAAAACGAGAGAGAGAAAGTTAGTTCAACTGCGACGGAGGAAAAAAAGCGGCAGAATTTCGTGTCGCACAGGCCAATCGGAGTGCCGCATCTTCACCATTTCGAAAACACTTCGCCGAGAATCCACAGCACGACATAGGTGAGAGAGAGAGGCATCGGGCTGACGGGGACATGGAAAATGGCTACAGTGCAGAGCGTTATGATGCTTAGGAGTGCCACCCACTCAGGATTCATGGTGAAAGTGTGGGAGAGAGAGTGCAAGTGTTTACCGATCATGTACAAGAAAGACATGCAAAGCAAACATGCGAACAAATTTCATTCAAAGCGAACCAATCGCAGACCAAAGATTCTATCTCAGACAACAGTTTATATTCCATCGTCTATCATACAGAGTACACAAGAGTCAAAGATAGAGAGAGAGGACAAAAGAAAAAAAGGGAACCGTTGGGGTTTTCTCCATCTAGTGTTCGTGCACAGGCTCGCCCCGGTATCCGACAATGTTCATGCGACCGACCATCTCGCCGACAGTGAAGAAACCAATGACCTCTGCGGCGGTGACACCGGCCAGGGCGATCTCCTTCTTGTTGGCATTGCGCACGCGAGCCAGCAGGCCCTGGGGGAGGGCAGGTTGAGGTTCTTAAGGTTGGCAGGGTTGCGGGTAGCGTTGATCAAGGGCTGAAAGTACGACTGGAAGGTGGCCAGGTTGCTGGAAGGTTTTGATGTTAGTGTGATACTCTTGGAGGACCCAATGGACAGGGTGAATGGACATACGGAGGCGTCATGTTCTGGCCACGGAAGACCAGGCGGGCGAGTGCCATGCCGACTCGTGAGTAGTAAACCGTAGGGGGAATCATGGCTGGATGGTAGATGCAGGGTCAGCGATGCACATGTTGAAAATAATGCAAAAGTGAATTTTTTTTTTCTTTTCGAAGACAGCGAGGAGGGAGGTCGACGGCCACAGGTATGAATCCAATGGGCGTCCCGCTCCTTTACTGACAGAGCACAGAGCCAGCGTGGGGAATTGGGGACAGCGAATATCCTTACAGTCAACGAAAGAGACGACCTTGCCGACTGGCCCACCGACCTTCCGCAGGGCAGACGCAGCATTGGAGACGGCAGGGCCGGCAGCGGCAGTGACCTTGGACAGACCCTCCTGGGCCTTGGAAGCCGCTGAGGAGGCCGTCTGGCTGGCCTTGGAGGCGGCCTCGGAGGTGGACGAGGCGTGTCTAACGGCGGTCCTCCGGGCCAGGAGCTGCGACTGCCGCAGCAGCAGGGCACGGGCGGGCATGGTGAGAGTGGGAAGAAGGAGTGGATATGAAGACAGCAAGCAAAAGAAGGCCCCGGGGCAGCCGCTGGTAGTCGGACAGGCAAGTCCAATGGTTCACAGAAGATGTCGTCGCAAGGGCCAGAATCTGCTTCGTTCGGGAACTTCAGGGAACGGATCGGGTCACGTGATACACATCCAGGTACTTGGGTAAACAATCTATACGACCCGTAAACAAGGAGAGACGAGAGATCAATGTAGAATGAATATACCACCAAGAAGGATAGGTATTGTCGATGCGATGCCAGACGGATGTGTCTATAGCTTCTCCATGGTACGTGCATCCCCTCCATCGTCAGTGCCAAGAACGATTGTTTGCTGGGACTGCCAATCCCTGTCGCGCAATGGCATAGCTCGAGGTCGCATCATGGAGTGACATTATAATTGAAAGAGTCCTGCATTTCTATTCGTGGGACTAAATCGGCATAACTGTTAGCTAGTCCCAGCACCCCCGACAATTACCCGTTCTCCGCATCTGCCAAGTATCAACCGGCCAAGATCTTGCTGCAGCCGAAAGTACCGCTCGGCAGGTACGGCAAGTGCAACCATTCACCTGGAGCTGCTTGCTTGCTTGCCCCAGGTTCACCCCCCGCAACTCTTCATAATTGCCCTTCTACACCCCTTCCTTCTTCACGCTCTTCCCCCGAGCACTCCACCATACCACTGCCCAGTGACACTGTGAACGCTCAACATGAAACCATCGCTGCTCTTCCTGGCTCCCCTGGTTGGCGCTGCGGTGCTGGGCGCCCGTGACGATGACCCGTCTGCAACTCAATGCCCTGGCTACCGTGCGTCAAACGTCCAGAAACACGGCCAATCCCTGACGGCAGACTTGACCCTCGCGGGTAAACCCTGCAACTCATATGGCTCTGACCTCAAGAACCTGAAGCTCCTCGTGGAGTACCAAACCGGTATGTAGCCCGAATCGAAATGGACCCAGCCGCTGATCGGGTTGCACAGATGACCGCCTGCATGTCATGGTCTACGACGCCGACGAGCAGGTCTACCAAGTGCCGGAATCGGTGTTCCCACGTCCCAGCTCGGACTCTGGTGTCAATCCCAAGAAGGCAGCTCTCCGATTTGAGTACCAGGAAGATCCCTTCTCTTTTCAAGTTGTCCGTGAAGAGGAAGTGCTGTTCGACACCTCGGGTTCCAATCTCGTCTTCCAGTCTCAGTACCTGAACCTGCGCACCTGGCTCACCAATGAACCCAATCTGTACGGGCTCGGGGAGCATACTGATTCTCTGCATCTGCCAACCACTAACTACACGCGTACTTTGTGGAGTCGGGATGCCTATGGGATTCCATCCGACACTAACCTGTATGGCAACCACCCGATCTATGTGGACCACCGTGGCGAGGCGGGCACCCACGGTGTCTTCCTGTTGAACTCCAACGGCATGGACATCAAGATCGACCAGACCGACGAGGGCAGACAGTACCTGGAGTACAACACCCTGGGTGGTGTCTTTGATTTTTACTTCATGGCGGGTCCCACCCCGAAGGATGTCAGCATGCAGTACTCTGAGATTGCTGGCACTCCTGCGATGCAGAGCTACTGGACATTTGGGGTGCGTTTTCTCTCTTGAGATTTTGTGATCGAAACTAACGGCGTCTAGTTCCACCAGTGCAGATACGGATATCGGGACGTCTATGCCGTTGCTGAGGTCGTGCTGAACTACAGCCAGGCCGCGATCCCGCTGGAGACCATGTGGACGGACATCGACTACATGGATGGCCGGAAGGTGTTTACTCTGGACCCTCAACGCTTCCCGCTTCACAAGATGCGTGAACTGGTGTCTTACTTGCATCATCACGATCAGCACTACATTGTCATGGTCGATCCGGCCGTGAGCGATAGCAGTAAGTTAACCTTGTACCAGATGGCATATTCATGCTGACCGGTGGAACAGACAATACTGCTTTCCTCCGAGGAATGGAGCAGGACATCTTCCTTCACCGCAATGACACGCTCTACCAAGGCGCTGTCTGGCCCGGCCTGGCTGTCTTCCCAGACTGGTTTAACCCGGACACTCAGGACTACTGGAATGGGGAGTTCAACGATTTTTTCAGCCCCAAGCATGGTGTCAACATTGATGGGCTATGGATTGACATGAACGAAGCTTCCAATTTCTGCCCATGGCCGTGCACCGATCCTGCCGCATTCGCTGTGTATGATAACTTGCCTCCGACGCCGCCACCAGTTCGCTCCCCTCCTTATCCGTTGCCTGGCTTCCCGCCAGATTTCCAGCCCTCATCGTCATCCTCTTCGAAGCCATCTGGAAAGAAGATGCATTCGAAGCGAGCTCAGTCTGGAAAAGGAAAGAAGACTGGCTTGCCCAACCGGGAACTCATTGATCCCCCTTATCAGATTGCGAATGCTGCCGGGTCTCTCAGCAACCTGACCATTGACACGGACATTGTCCATGCCGGTGAAGGATACGTCGAGTATGACACGCATAACCTCTATGGCACCAGTAAGCAGTCTCCCTCCCATCCGAGTCGTTCTAAACTGTTTCAGTGATGAGCGTGGCTTCCCGCGACGCTATGCAGCAGCGGAGACCATCTGTGCGACCTCTTGTCATCACACGTAGCACCTTTGCTGGAGCTGGAGCCCATGTCGGCCACTGGTAAGTGTTTACATGACTAGAAGTCATCTTCAGAGCTAATGTGCGTCTAGGCTTGGTGACAACCTCAGTACGTGGGACAAGTACCGTGTGTCGATTGCAGAGATGTTGGCCTTTGCTTCCATCTTCCAGATTCCCATGATCGGTTCCGACGTGTGCGGATTCGGTGATGACACGACCGAGCAGCTCTGTGCTCGATGGGCCATGCTTGGCGGATTCTATCCGTTCTTCCGAAACCACAACAACTACGGCAACGTCCCTCAGGAGTTTTATCAGTGGCCCACTGTGGCAGATGCGGCCCGGAAGGTGATTGATATCCGGTACCGTCTACTCGATTATCTGTACACCTCGTTCCACACGCAGACCATGACGGGCGAACCATTCCTGCAGCCACTGTTCTACCTCTACCCGAAGGACCGTAACGTCTTCACAAACGAGAGGCAATTCTTCTACGGCAATTCGCTTATGATCTCCCCCGTGACCGAAGAGAATAGCACTTCTGTCGACGCCTACTTCCCAGATGATTTGTTCTACGACTGGTTCACCGGAAAAGCCCTACGCGGCCACGGCGCAAACATCAGCCTGTCCAACATCGGCCTCACTGACATTCCCATCCACATCCGCGGCGGAAGCATCATCCCCCTGCGCAGGGAGAGTGCCATGACGACAACCAAGCTGCGTCGCCAAGGCCTGGAGATTGTCATTGCGCCTGGTCTTGACGGCACCGCTTCCGGGGAGCTGTACATGGACGATGGCGAGTCACTCAACCCGTCCCGCACGCTGGAGGTCCAGTTCTACTACACCGGCGGTAAACTGAGCATCCGGGGCCAGTTTGAATACAACCCCGACGTGGCCGTTGAGTCTGTGACGCTGTTGGGCCAGACTAGCAAGCCTCACAGTTCTCGGAGCGACGTCGAGTACAACGCCCCTCGGAATAGTGTGACCAAGAAGACGAATATTAAACTTACTGGGCCGTCCGAGGTGCATCTCTAAACGAGGTCGCGATGCGTTGAGCTGGGTTTTATCAAAGGGGAAAGTTTTGTTTCTAATATTTCGATAGTTGTTATTTGCGCATTACATCTGATTTGCATTCCCTATTGATGATCAATGGTGTGAATCATCGGTTAACTAGCATGGAGGCAGATTCTAAAATATTCACACTATTATTTGATACTTCTACAACTCTCAAAATCGGAGTTCAGCGTTTTATCAACGAAGTAATATGTAGGCCATCAATCTGGACAGTATGTATAGATAGATAGCGGATGGGGCAAAAATGACATTTTTCTGCTAACTGGATTCTCACATTAGTCAGTTTGAATAAGCTCACTAACTAATATTGTTTGCCGTAGGGACATAATAGTAGTACTTTAGGGAAAGGTGGAGAGCAAGTTCCTCGGCCCGTTAGCAAGCTTAACAAACTTTCGGGCCAATGCGTTCATCCGACCCGGTGATCGGCATCTCCCTGGTTTCTTAGACTATGCAGGAAGCATCTACCGTTTCTCACCAGAAACCCATCAATTGCACTTTGTCACTACAATGCTCGGAATTGGCATTACCGCATACTCCAAGCCGGACGGGTACCGTCTCCTGGACTTCGAAACTCCGACTGTGACCCGCCCGAAGGATGTCCTCATCCAGGTGCGCGCAGCGAGCATCAATCCCGTTGATGTGAAGAAGGCGGCAGGGATGCTCAAGATGGCGATGCAAGATGAGTATGTCTTGTTCTCTACTGAAAGAAAGAATGGTATGACCAGGACCAGCTGCTGAGGGACGAGGTATCTAGATTCCCGTATAAACTTGGATACGACTGCTCCGGCGTCGTCACCCAGATCGGGACGGAGGTAACCCGCGTCAAAGTCGGTGATGAGATATACGTGCGGATTCCAGAGAGCGATCGGGGTGAGTACACATTGGCGGAGCTCCGTGCTTGTGGAAGCGTGCTGACAGGAGACAACAACAGGGTCCTGGTGTGAGTATGCCAAATGCAGCGAGGACTTTGTCGCCTTGAAGCCGGCATCCATGTCCTTTGGCGATGCAGCCGCCCTGCCATTGGCTGCCATGACCTGTCTGCAGGCTCTGCGGCGGTATGAAGGGGATCTAGCTGGCAAGACGGTGTTTATACCCGCCGGATGTATGTCTTTGTTCTCCCTGCATATGTGTTTCGCTTCAATAACCCCAAAATAACAGTAAGCGGCACTGGTTCGTACGGCTGCCAGATCGCCAAGCACATCTTCCAGGCCGGGCGTGTGATCACGACGGTGTCGAGCAGCAAGGTCCCACGCGTGGAGGAATTGCTGGGGGCTGGTGTTGTGGATGAAAGTATGTTGTCATAACAGCTCAGTTTAGGTTGGTTCACTGATTAGTATACTCCTTTCAGTCATCGACTACACCAAGTCCGACCCGCAGAAAGTCATCCCGCGCGGCTCGGTGGATTTCATCCTCGACACCGTTGGGGTAGCCATGCCATACCTCTCGCTCCTCCGACCAGGCAGCGGGAAGGTGGTCTCCATCTCGACAATGCCCTCAGGTGACCAGATGCAGTCATCTAGCGTGATGCGCGGGTCCGGGTCATCGGGGATGCCGAGACATGTCCGGTTTGTATTGAATGCGCTGGATAGTATCCGGCGGTACCGTGCGCGGCGGTGGAAGGTCAGCTATGAGTACATGTTTCTCGAGCCGAACGGGCAGGATCTGGAAATTTTAGGTAAGGCGGCGGAGGAGGGCCACTTACGGTCCGTGGTGGGGACGGAGACTAAGTTTACGGATGTTGAGGCGGTGCGGATGGCGGCGCAGATGGTGTATAGCGGGAAGGGAGGCGTAGGCAAAGCGGTTATTCTTTTCTAAGATTTGGAGCTAGGCTAATAATAATCATAGTCAGAGGAGGGAACTAATAATAATGTTACTCCTACTGTCGCCCTTTTTTTAAAAAAAAAAAAAATTTCGGCTAGTCGTCTGACAGTAATCAGCTTCATTTGTCCCAAACTCCCATCCTACGCTATTGCGTTGTTAGCGCAGCTAAATATACCATCGGCTATGCTGACTGGGCCCTCGGACCCTGACTAGGACGGACCCCGTTAGCCCGGTTTCACCCCAAAGGGCCGCCAATAATAATCGCTCTCAGATCGCTCGCTTCCTCTTCTTTGAACACAACACGACATATGATGTCTCCGCGACAGATCGGCCGGGCGACCGACGCTGATCAGTCGATCCTACTCATCACCCACGGGGTGCAGCGTGGCGTGCAGTGTCTTAGGCATGGTTTTGTCGGTGCTTTTCTCTGTGCATCCGTCCATCCAGCCCCTTTTTAGATGTCTCGATTTTCTATTTTCTTCTCCAAGCCAAGCACCACGCCCTCCAGCCAAGGACCGCCATTGCTCGCTTCCCCCGGCGGCTCCTTCGATGTGACTCCATCCGGCCCCATTAGGCTCCACCCGATTAAGCCCAGTGTCTCAGCGCTTGCCACTCATGAACCAGGGGAGGCGTATACCCCTGCTAGTGACTAGTGTCGCCTTCTTGGCCCAATGATCCAGGAGAAAGTACAAAAAGTAGCCTCGTCGCTCCCGGCAACAACCGCCCCTGCTCTTGCTGTTGCACATCATCTGTCGTTTTTTGGGTCCACTCGTTTGCCCGTCTATATAACTTACCACTGTCGCTCCCGTCCTTTCTTCTCTATTGTGTTTATTTTCCATACTTCTCCACAATGTCCTCCATGTTCAAGTTCGCCGCGGCCGCTCTGGCTGTGGCCGCTCCTCTGGCCAATGCTCAGACCTACACCAAGTGTAACCCCCTGACAAGTAAGAAGAAACATGCCCCTCTCTCAATTATTTTTTGGTTTTCACTGGAGAATTCACGCTGACTCGCCGCACAGCGACCTGCCCGCCTGATGTTGGCTCCACGCAGTCGCACCTCAACTTCGACTTCACCCAGGCCTCGGCTCTGGATATGTGGACCACCACCGCCGGCACCGTGAACACGGGCCCCAACGGTGCCGAGTTCACCATCGCCGAGCGCGGTGATGCGCCCACCATTCAGACCTCGTTTAACATCTTCTTCGGTGAGGTTTCCGTCACCATGAAGGCCGCCTCCGGCCAAGGTATTGTCAGCAGTATCGTGCTGGAGTCGGACGACCTCGACGAGATCGACTGGGAGGCTCTGGGTGGCGACACTACCGAGATCGAAACCAACTACTTCGGCAAGGGCGAGACGGGCACCTACAACCGCTTCACGTGGGCCCCCGTCTCAACCCCCCAGGAGGAGTTCCACACCTACACCGTGAACTGGTCCAAGGAGAGCATCATCTTCTCCATTGATGGCGCCGTCGTCCGCACCCTGACCTACAGCGAGGCCTCCGGCGGCTCGCAGTACCCGCAGACCCCCATGACCGTGCGCCTTGGTGTCTGGGCTGGCGGTGACCCGGCCAACGCCCCCGGCACCATCGAGTGGGCTGGCGGCCAGACCAACTACGCTGACTGCCCCTTCACCATGTACATCAAGGAGGTCAACATCGTCAACTCCAACCCGGCCAAGTCGTACACCTACGGGGACAACTCCGGCTCGTGGGAGAGCATTCAGATCAACGGCGCCACCGGCGGTGGCTCTGACACTGGCTCTGGCTCTGGCGGCGAGACCACCACCAAGTCCACCACCACTACGACGACGACCACCACCACCACTACTACTACTAAGTCCACCAAGACCACCATGTCGACCACCACCACCTCATCTCACAGCAAGGCTACCGGCTCGTCCACCTCCCGGGGTTCCTCCTCGGGCTCCGGCTCGGCCAGCGGCACTGCGACCTCGTCCGGCGCCTCCAGCTCCGGCGGTTCTTCAAGCTCTACTGGCGCGGCCCCCGGCAGCACCCCGACCACCTCTCACAACGCCGCCGTCAACATGGTTGCGAACTACGTGGCTCCGCTCGGTCTCCTGGCCGTGCTGTCTGCATTCTTCCAGCTGTAAATCTTTTTTTAAATCATGGCTTGTTATTATAGCGCCTGCTTGCTTGCGTCTTGCTGACCGTCCCTGAGGAGGAGAAAAATACACTGGGCTGGATCCGGGACGGGGGTGTGCGATGAGGGATCATATTCTTTACTTGGATATTTTGTGTACTTTGTTGTGTCGTTCTTCACTTTCGTCTTTCTGTCTTTTTCTATCTTTTGGATGGATAGACAGATTCGTGGGAGGGTTTTGAAGGCGGCTTCCTTTCTGTGTATCTACCTCTCACTCTTGTTATCTCTCCCATGGTCGTCATACAGCGACGGATCATATCAAATACCTACAGTAGATTAATTCGATTTGCAATGCAACTGCATCCTTTTCATCATGACTGGTCTTTTAGCGTCGCCGTTTTTGCTTGTCGCTGCCGTGTAACTATGCAGGGGTATCTGCATCCCGCATCTGCATCCCGCGAGATCCATCGGAATCTACTGTGTAACCCCACAGCAATATATCTATCGATTTTGGATTTTTGCTGTGCTACTCACAGTGTAGACTTTACTCATGCTAGCGATCTAGTTAGTTATGTATGCTATTTAGTCGGGTGTATCCGGCTAGGAAAGGCAACTAGTGCGTCTTCTGTAAATCCGTCCTCTTTGTTCAAAAATATATCCTTGGTTTTACGTCTACCTTCGTTATCACTGTATCTTGTAATGAAGCAGTTCTGCTTTTGACCCGGTACATTTTTCGTGCTCCTCGGCCGAAAAAAGCAGGATATATTGTTAAAAAGTCAAAAGCTAGAGGATGGATACCCATCATTGATTACTCCGAAAGGAAAATCCTACCGACGCTAGATGAAATCAATTGAATCATATGATCCAAATTGTATCCGCATTGGCTGCTACTATTGCCCATGTGGACTCCCGGTGAGAAATCGCAATGCGTTTCCGTGGTTGTGAAGGGCGGGTCCACCGGGGGTTCCGATGGATCGGCATTGAGTTTTGGAAGCAACAGGAACCCAAAAGAAGAGAGAGATATAGAAGTGGGTTCAATTATTGATCATGAATTTGCACTTAGTAAACATCCGCTGGCTATGAAGTGGGAATCGATCGCTGAACGAGACAAGCAATAACTTCCGGACAAATCGCTGGATGACACAAACAAACTATCAAAAAAATGCCATTAGTGTATTAAAGATTAGTATCTCCCCCCAGACAGAACAGGCCATGTATCTCGCGACAGATGCTCGAGCAAGTCTTCTGCTGTCATTTGATAGCTCACTGTCGCACCGCCGTAGTATCTCTGCCGACAAGCTTGGATGAGCCACATGAATTCCTCGACCTCGCCGGGCGCGATCATCCCTGGAACTCGGACTAAGCTCCAGAATTGTAGGCGTCTGTGGGGGTCTGGAGAAAAGCAATCACTCCCGGAATATTGGGAAAGCATTCTTGGTAGTAATCTTCGACAGATTGCATCAACGCCTCTTTGTCGGCCGTTGTCCCATACGCCTAAACTTAGGGCTCTGTATATAATACTGCGAAGGTGAGAATGCGATTTAGTGTGGGGATGAGGTACTCACACATTATAAAGGTCAACATTGGATCGTAGGCCGCAGTCTTCCCTATTCATCTTAGTTAGTTTCATGCAGGCACGTGGTGAAGGGGATCTATTACCCGTAGACTTGTCGCAGGATTAAGACCGAGCCATCATGAAGACCCGACACCAGACGGGCAAAGTATGGAGACGTACTTGCTATATGTCTTTGTGATCGCTCAAGTCTTTTCAAGTCGGTCAGCCCCGTGCAGGTCGCAGACTCTCAAGCTTCAGGAACTTACACATCACCGTTGCTCATTACTAAATAATAACTCGCATTCGTTGCAACACCTGGCTGGAATCCTGGAAGGTTAATGGTTGTCCCGACCACCATATTCGGGTCCATGTATGCCATCTTGAATGGAGAATAATAAGCTGGTTCGCGAAGCGATAAATGAGCTCAACCTGTGATTTTCGGAGCTTTATACCATAGCAGCCATTTAGAGGATAGTCTTACTCAGGGAACTGTACAAAGTCCCGAGTGTTGCCCGAGTGTTGCCGCGGGCACAGCTCATAGCTTCTGGGAAATATCAGCCTCCTCGAACATTGACGCACGCACGGCGGAAATGGGCGGCAAGATTGCGGACGTGCTTGTTCAGCAAGAGCTGCAGTGGTTAATGTGGCTGACCCTTATGCACTGTTTGTCGGCATGCGCTAGAATCAGTGTATAATGGAAGCTTTAAGGGTCCGAGAGTGCAGAAAGCGTGTTACATTGGCGACTTTTAGCGTGGCACGGCTTATTATAGACAGGGGTGCAGCTTGATCTGCAATTTTTCAATGCCGGAAATTTTATCATCTGATCGATTCGCACGTTTCGTATAGTTAAAGTCACAGTTTGAGACTATGATAAACGAGTTTTCACGCCGATTATTTCTTAGGTGTCGAATTTGAAGTTTTTTACATCCCCAGCGAGCCACAGCTGTATCTGTTCCAAGGCATCCAAGTCATTACTCGGAAGTGCGGTTGTCGCTTTCTCGTCGTGCCACTGATATGTCCTCCCGATCGAACTAACATCAGTCCCGTGGGAACAGCATGACCCAAAATCAATGATCAACGCTTTATCCTTTTCGAACATGATATTCGATGGATTGATGTCATTGTGAATAATTCCCAAAGAATGGAGATGTCGGAGACCTTCCTTCACTTGGACCATCCATTCTGTCTCTTGACCTGATAAACCCCCACTTCTCTCCTCAGCAAACATCCGCTTGTTTCGGCGGCTGGGATTAAATCTTTCCATTAGAGTCTGGTCATACTTAGTAAAGTAAAGGCCGGTGATACGGCCATTTTGAACGTCACAGCCATGGTACTGGGCGATGTTGGGATGGGGTTGTTTTCTGAGAAGTTCGCAGATCCGACCTTCGTGGAGTACCTGGCTTTGAACTTGGTTCGGGCTGTCGGGGTTGTAATCCGACAACTGCGGCTGTTTAAAATACCATTTTTCGTTGACATTGCCATAAGATCGTGTGAAGGCGTTATCGTATACTGGATAGAACTAGTGCGTCGGGATCAAGTCTATGTGGTAGAAGTCGCTGGGGTGGACATCATCTTTTGAGAAATACCGCTTCTTCGATAAGCCTCGGTAGAATTGACCATCTTTTTGGTAAATGACATAGGTGAATTGAAAAGCGACTATGTCATTAGGTCTTCCAAAGTCTTCAAGATATTGAATGACTTCCATTGCAAGGGCAGAAGATCTGGGTAAGATGAAATGGCTTCAGAAGATGGACAGAAAGATTTTTCAAAACTATGGGAATAAAGAGGCTCAAATTGTATTGTAAAGAAACGCATTGTTTTTGAAACCTGCAAGATCGAGCGCTAGGTCCCCAAAGATGACAGGGATATGACCGGATCTGTATGTTGCTGGAAGCTTCGCGTGTGGCTTTCTCGGTGTCTGGGAGGGAATGCTATCCCTCACTGGTATCACTCGTTTGACATGTCCAATCCGAAGCGAAATGACTGCATGAGGCCCCTGCCACTTACATTTTGTGGCTTGTAGTCGGATCCCAGAACCTGAGCCAGAGCGGGGAAGGTGCATGAGTGCACACAGAAAACACTGATGATTTAGTCATGGTACATAAACCATCCAAAATCTCACCAAGTACCATTCTTCCCACCGTTCCGAAAACATATTTTCTCATTGACGAATCATGGAGACCACGCCGTTACCGTTTCTCCACGAAATCGAGAAACTCAAGCACCTACCGCGCACAGGATGGCTTAGAACAATGCAGCACGTCGAGAGCGTAGCAGCACATAGTTTCCGAGTTGCCATGCTGGCCTATCTCGCGCCAGTAAGTTGGTCCCTGTCTATTACATGACTCAAGCTAACTTGCATAGAATGATCTAAATTTGGACATATGCAAATGCGTAAAAATGGGCTTGTTCCATGACATAGGAGAATCGATAATTGGAGACATTCCTACATTTATCGGGTTTCCAGAAGGTGAAGAAAGCGCACACAAAACTCCCGAGGTCTCAAAATTTACTAATTCCAGCCAGACAAGAAATACAAAATGGAGCAAAATGGAGTACGATATCTCGAAAGTTTACTACAATCCTATAGTCCAGAAAAGGCTGCTGAGATGCTATCCCTGTGGGAGGAACATGAAGAAGGTAAAACACCAGAAGCCCAATGGGTACGAGAGATGGACAAGTTCGAGTGCCTTTTGCAGGCACATGAATATGAACAGCGGACTTATGGCGAAAAAAATCTCGACGAGTTCCAGGGCCAAGTGGCCAAAATTCATTCTCGGGAAGGAAAAAGGTGGGTGGAGGTATATCAACGAGAGAGAAATGCTCATCTTGCGAGACGGAAACACCGATTTCCTATAATATTACTGACAGGTTTGTTTTCTGCTAGTCAGAACAATTATCCCACATAGATGCTCATTCTTAAGAGAAATAGGAGACTCAAATGCAACTAGCAAAGTCTCGGAATATCTTTCAAAGCAATTTGCGATAACGCATATTTCCGTGGATGGAATCCTGGATGAAAAGGCTAAAGACCAAAGCTATTCTCATTCTAAAATCGTACGACTCTGTGTTGATGAGCAACTCAGCGTTCCAGTGAGCTTATTGGTTGGGTTACTTGAAGCAGAGATCGAGAATCTTGAACAGCAAAAAAAGCCGATTCTGATCTCTGGGTTCCCGAAGGATAGAGAACAACTCGATGAGTTTGAAAGAAAGGTTTGTGTAGACGTCTCCCTCGATTATTTGGAACATACCTGCTCATACAATCAGATAGATTCAAAGGTCAAATAATGTCATTTTCTTGGCCGATTTAAACAAGGATATCGCAAATGTGGAAACTGAATTGCAAACCTGGAAGGCTCCAGTTAAGGATTTTGAGGCTGATCTAGAAAGGTCAGCGGCTTATTTTGAGAAGGTAGGTCGGCATTTGCCAAAACTGGAACAAGTACTTATTGCGAATTATTCAACAGGTTACCGGCTCATATGATCAGCTTTGTGAAAGGAGCAAACAGGCGATGAGTATTTTGATTGGACATAAAAAGACGCAATAGTGCGATTTGCCAACACGTACCATTCGGAGGGAAGGCAGAATGCATACTTCCCAATGCATCCAATTTGCATAGCCATCAGTTCATGTTCTTATTTACATGGTTACAATTGTCACTAAGCATAGCATAGTAAATCATATAAGTGTGATTACCTGAAGTTGATAAGCCGATGGTGAATCACAGCGAACAGATCATGGTGTCTACGAGAAAGAATTATGTTGTAGACTTCAATCGGGTTTACAAATCACGTATACCATGCACGTCCACGTCGGCACGATCATCCTATCTTCCAAGCAGAGCCTCAACATCACCGTTGAGAAGCGGTATTAAAGCAACTCTGGCGCTAACTATCTCCGTTTCCACCTGGTGGCCCACGGGTCTGGCCTCTCGCAAGGCCTGTGCGTCCTTTTCTCCTGCCGATAAAGCGTCGGGCATACAGCCCTCGGCGCCTAACCTGCTTCGCGGATGGATCTCAGACCGTTGATTTGGGTGGGGAAACTCGCTGGAACTTGCGAGGCTACGCGCATCCCTGTCGATAATATGCAACTGCGCCGTAAATAATACTGTTACAGGTCTACTTTTTTTACTTTCGGCAAATGGATGTGCGAAACGGAGCGGTCAGATACGGAGGTGTGTGTGTTGATCTCTTTCGAGACGTTCAAGAAACAAATTGTTCATTATCTTCGTGAGCGTTAACCCAATTGCATTATCCCATCACACTCGTATGTTCCCGAGCCAGTCGGAACTCATCCCACTCGTCACGCCTCACCATGCGGGCTCGGATTGGCGACGAGACGCTGCCCGCAGCTGGCGTGACAGGCGCTGCACCGAGTCCGCGATAGGGCGGTGGTGGACCAGAGCCTGGCGAAGCAGCTGTCGGATCGTAGCAGGCGATGGACTGGACACTGAGTCTAGAGATGGGGACATCGATCCACGGACAAAGAATGCGCCCAGAGATGATCCGTGGAGCGTGTCCATGATCGAATTGAGAGGCCCGAGCAAAGTACCAGACCCGTCGGCCGAGGGATGAAGAATGGCATTACGCTGCTCCCGGGTCACGATGCCCTCGACTGCTTCCAGATGGTCGTCCAGCGTGGCCAACCGGCCGGCAAGTGAGTCGGCCTTGGTTAAGATCTGCGAGCGAAGCCGGTCAAGGTACTGCTCTTTGCGTCGGAGCTGCGTCACCAGGCGCGTGTCTCGCGCGATAGAGCCGCCAGATTCTAAGGTCGGGGGCGATGCGAGCAAACTATCGACCGCAGAGCGTAGGTCTGCGCGCAAGGAATCAAACTCCCAAGCCGCTGCCCGCACGGCCTGATCACTGCCCTGAAACTCAAGATCGAGAGCATGTTTGGCACCCGGAAACACGGCCTTCACCTGGTCCTGCAGGTTGCGGAGTGTACTCTCGCTTTGTTTGAGGACGACCGCGTGTGGGGTTAGGATTTGGAGGGTGGTGTCGAATATCGACTCGAGCCTCTTCTGCGAGGTTGCGAGGGCTTCTTCGGGGGACTGAAAGGGGTTGCTTGGTGGGAAGAATATCGGATCGGGGGATGTACAGCTGTTGGAATAGAGTGTCGCAACCGCGGAGATCTTGCACAAGTCGCGGACTTGGTAGACTAGCTCCGGGAAGACCAGCAGGTGAAGCATGAGAGTGAGTAGGACTACGTTGATTGTCGTACGGACCGAGGAAGGTAGCTGGCGACAGAGGGCTGTGAGCTTCGCGACAAGACCCATGTGCCTGCTTTGGGCCGCGGCAGACGTGCCAGCGTCTGTATTCACAGCGGATTCACTTGGCTGAGGCTGTTTCTGCGGCGAATCTGCGCCTGAAGATGATACCTGGTGCCGTTTCCTCAAGGAGGAGGAGGGCTGGTCTTTGGCGCGCACGCCCGGCGCAACCCACGAGGCTTCGGAGATGGCCACTTCGTAGATGGAGGGCATGATGAGCTCCGGGCCCGACACTGCTGTAGACGAAAAGGCAACCGGCGACTCAGTTCTTGTATTTGCTGTCGCGCCGTCTTTGTCGCGCTCCTTGTTGTCCCTGGCTATAGACGGATTGGCGGGTGTTGCGTCCTGCGCGCCTTGTTCTTTGAGCGACGAGGTCGACGCGACCACCCAGGAGTCACCCAGAACTGAGTGATCTGGAGTGCGCGGTGGGTCTCTAGACATCGCGCGGACGGTGACAGAATCATCGCATCGTAAGAGTGCGCCAAGGTGGTGTTATCAGGTGTTGATCATCCACGGGGCCAAAGCGGTGGGAACCAAACAAACGCTGCTTTTACAACCAACGATGCGCCCTTCGATTCGGCTGCGGCCACTGATTATTCCCAGAGCGCAATGGCAGAAAAGGCCATGGCTGCCACTCGTTCGCCCTTGTTCATGCTCTGCGCAGCCCAAAAATGAGCTTCCTCCCACCGACCACCGAGCTCTCGGCACCGCGCAGGAGCTCTTCACCTCGTCCGTCTACAGTCCTGGCTCGCCCCTGTTTCTTCCCAATGGTACGCACATCATCAACAAACTCGTCTCCTTCCTCCGCATCCAGTACCTGCAATATGGCTTCCGCGAAGTCCTGACCCCGTCGATCTACAAGCGCTCCCTGTGGGAGGTGTCGGGCCATTGGCAGAACTACAAGGATGACATGTACGAGGTGACCGGCCGCGGGGCAAGCGGGGACATGGACGGTGAGGCAGGCGAGGACGAGTCATATGGCCTGAAACCCATGAATTGTCCGGGTCATTGCCTGCTGTTCAAGTCGCAGACACACTCCTATCGCGACCTGCCGGTGCGCTATGCGGATTTCAGCCCGCTTCACCGCAATGAAGTTTCTGGGTCATTGACTGGTCTGACTCGCGTCCGTCGTTTTCACCAGGACGATGGGCACATCTTCTGCCGTCCGCAGCAGATCAAGACAGAGATCGCGTCCGCATTGGGTTTCGTGGACATGGTGATGACGACCTTTGGGCTGGGCCCGTATCGTTTAGTGCTCTCGACCCGGCCCGAGAAAGATTTTATTGGGAATATTGACATGTGGGACAATGCGGAGAGTCAGTTGCGCGAGGCCCTGGACAGCACTGGGCGTGAATGGGCGCTGAACGAAGGCGACGGCGCTTTCTACGGGCCCAAAATCGACATTCAGCTTCAGGACCAAGCGGGGAAGTACCATCAGCTGTCTACTATTCAACTGGACATGAACCTACCTCGGCGGTTTGAACTGGAATACCAGGTTGCCGAAGGCGAGGAGGATTACAACCCGGCTACTCCAGGAGTAGCCACCCCCGTGCTCGTTCATCGCGCCATTTTCGGCTCGCTGGAGCGGTTTTTGGCATTGCTGATCGAAGAAAATGGCGGCCGGTGGCCGTTCTGGCTCTCACCCCGCCAAGGCATTATTTTGACCGTCAACCAGGACGATGCCGTGGTGCGCCAAGCTAAAGAGGCCGCTGCGAAGTTCTCCGGATTCCGCGCATTGTTGAACCACGGGGATTCTCCTCCTCGACCATTGTCCTCCAACGATTCGACCTTCTTAGTCGATGTCGACACCAGCCCGCAGACTCTAGGCAAGAAAATCCAACGCGCTAAGCAGATGAAGTACAATTTCATATTCATCTTGGGTTCGCGCGACTTGGCCGACGGCAGTATAACCGTTGATGTCACCGGGCAGATGCAGAGCAAGACCGACCCAAATGCGCAACAGTTTCAGACACTGATGGGAACCCGGGTTGGAGCAGAGGCATTGAAGAACCCGCGCGCCGTGAAGCTCAAGGTCGACGACGTGCATTCGCTGCTGGTGCAGCTTGAGAAGCGCTTTTTGTGAGCGACGCTGCTGTTTGTTTGTACGATAGAACACTATATTCCCCTGAATGTACCACCATGCACAATTCTTATACTCTAGACTATGTTTACTCCACTTGTGCACGGAGCCCGGTTAGCTTCGGGCGGAGGTTGTGACTCAGGCACATTCTTGCTCCGAGGTCGGGGACGTTGTATTGAGTGCTTCCCCTAAGGATAGCTAGCAATGGCCACACTTGCGGCGGGCAATGAGCATCACTGCACAATAGAATACTATTTCCATATCAAAAGCATTCATCCAACAGTGCCGCTGCATTAGTTTGCATAATGCGCCCTATAGATGGCACCCGGGGGCGAGTCACGTGCTCCGTAGTCGGCGCCGAAAAAACTCGGCGTCATCGACGGCATTTTTCTTTTTGAGTCACAGAAATTCCCCAGATCTTCAGTGGCCTGAGCTTCTTGGCTATAAAGCAACGCCTCAATCCTGTACCTGGTCCATTCGAATCATCCCGACTGGCCATTTCCTGCCCTGCTCGTCTTTATCGTTTCTTATCGACGTCGTTCCCCGCGGTACCCCGCCACGCCGCCATGCCGATGTATGTCGGTCGAATTGATTGATACGGTTGATTCAACTGCTGACTCCTGCCAGGCTCAAGGATCCCTCTGTTAAGTACAAGCCGTTCAAGCCTCTGAACCTGCCGAACCGCCAATGGCCGAACAGGGTCATCGACAAGCCGCCGCGCTGGATGGCAACTGATCTGCGCGATGGCAACCAGAGTCTGCCGGACCCAATGGTATGAATGGACTGCTCGGGGAGAACACTGCATTAGAAATCTAACAGCTCCTTGTCTCTAGGACGGCGACCAAAAATACCGCTTCTTCAAGATGCTTGTCGAAATCGGCTACAAGGAAATTGAAGTGTCATTCCCGTCCGCCTCCCAAACGGACTTTGACTTCACGCGCCGTCTGGTCGAAGAGCCCGGTCTCACCCCCGACGATGTATGGCTGCAGGTCCTCTCTCCATGCCGTGAGGAACTGATCCGCCGCACGGTGGACTCGTTGAAGGGCGCCAAGAAGGCTATCCTGCACATCTACCTCGCCACGAGTCCGTGCTTCCGCCAGATTGTTTTCAACATGGACCGGAAACAGAGTCTGGAGTTGGCGGTGCGCTGTACCAAGTACGCGCGGTCCATCACGAAGGATGACCCGTCCAACGCCGGCACCGAGTGGCAATTTGAGTTCTCGCCGGAGACCTTCTCTGATACGGAGCCTGAATTTGCCGTTGAGGTCTGTGAGGCTGTCAAGGCTGCGTGGGAGCCTACTGTGGAGAACCCGATTATCTTTAATCTCCCCGCCACCGTGGAGATGGCCACGCCCAATATTTTTGCTGACCAGATCGAGTACTTCTGCACAAATATGACGGAGAGGGAGAAGTTCTGTGTGTCTGTCCACCCTCACAATGACAGAGGTTGTGCCGTGGCCGCGGCCGAGCTGGCACAGATGGCCGGTGCGCAGCGGGTGGAAGGCACCCTTTTTGGTAATGGGTATGATAAAGCGCCTCTATTTGACGAATCACTGCTAAATGTTTATCTAGTGAACGCACAGGAAACGTCGATCTAGTCACCTTGGCTCTAAATCTCTATACCCAAGGAGTCTCTCCTCAGGTAGACTTCTCCGACATCAATGCCATCATCAAGGTCGTGGAGGAGAGTAATAAGCTTGCTGTCCACGAAAGAGCTCCATACGGAGGTGGGTCCCCCCAAGTCCCCCAGTTTCCTCCCAAATCTTCTTCAGTATCGAGAAACTCACATAACTCACGATAAACAGGCATTTTGACACAAGTGGCATACTCGGGCAGTCACCAAGACGCCGTGGCTAAGGGCTTCAAGCTGCGTGAGAAGAACAACGCAACCGACAAGGATCTGTGGCAGATGCCATATATCCCGCTCGACCCTCAAGATATCGGACGGACATACGAGGCAGTCATCCGCGTCAACTCTCAGAGCGGCAAGGGAGGTGCTGCATGGGTTATTCTGCGCCAGCTCGAGCTGGATCTTCCCCGCTCGCTCCAGATCGAATTCAGCAAGGTCGTGCAAAAAGAAACCGAAGCCGTCAGCCGGGAACTCAAGCCGAACGAGATCGTCAACCTCTTCGAGCAGGCCTACCACCTCAAATCCAACCCGCGTTTCAACCTGGTCGACTACAACATCACGACAGACCGCTCGCAGTCGCCTGCTCCGCCGGAGCCCGGTAAGGCTCTCAACACCCGAAACCTCAAGCGCCGCTTCACGGGCATTATCGAGATTGATAACGTGCAACACGGCATTACCGGCGTGGGACCCGGTGCCATTTCCTCTCTGGCTGCCGCGCTGTCTACCCTCGGCATCGATCTCGACGTCGTCGACTACAAGGAGCACTCCATCGGTCTGGGCCGAGACGTCAAGGCAGCCACATACATCCAGTGCACAGCTGATGGCAGCAAGCAGCAAGTCTGGGGTGTTGGTATCCACCAGGATGTGGTGCAAGCCAGTCTGATCGCGCTGCTCAGCGCAGCCAGCTCGGTAAGTTGGTAGACTGTTATTTTTGAGGGTTAGTGTTGTTTTCTAACTCAGCCAGTTCCTCACTTCTCGCGCCGGCTCGCCTGCTCCCTTCCGGCCAGTACGCTCCAACACCTTTACCAACGAGGACTTGCAGGCTCTGGAGCAGCTGGCCGGCTCCAACGAGGCCATTGCTTCCAATGGTGGCTTGAACCCCAAGGTGGACATTGAACAGCTCACGAAGCAGGCCGAGGCCCAGTAAATATCTGAAAAGTGTTTGTGTGTGTAGCACTCGGGGTGGGAGTGACCAAATAATGCATTTATCATTGGAATTAAAGAATTTGGACTAGATCTACTGTCTTCTTCCTTGGATGTCCCCAAAATACAGACCTTGGGACTAGCCCGAATCTGACTTTCTGCCTATTTGCCGGATTTAGAGTAAAGATTTCTACATGGAATCAGATCTGCAGCCTTGCCTAGGTGGATGCGGCTTGGCATACGATATCGCGAATCCAGTGACAAAGTAGCTTAACAGGTCGACTTTTGGCCCCCGATGGTGTCAACTTTTTCCCCACGTCCAACTGCTAGGCATAAATAGGTCGCTTGATTTCCCAATAATCAGCTTTTTTTTTTCAATTTCATCAGAGCACCAAAAATGGAGAACCCAAACCCAACCGCAACCTCAAGCATGAAACAAGCGTTGTATCTCGCTTATTCACAGTCCAGCTATGGACTGCAATCTGTTCAACGCGATGCAACGAAGAGACCTCTGCTGTTGCTGACTGTCTTAACCGACCTGGAGGAAGCAGGTGAATCAGCCCTAGTAAATCACATCAATAAGTCACCTAAGCAAGGCGAAATCCAAAAATGGAAAGCCTCTGAAGAGCTTCTGCATTCAATAACTACTAAAAGTGATCTTCGAGACAGTATGGCCAGCCTGTACGGTCTTGCAATCCTGGCCTATCAAGTGGGGCATTCACGACTTGTTGTGGCGGACAACTTGACGAAACGTCAACTGGAAGGGATGCCTGCTCAGGGAGAGAGTTCACGAGTCTCCGTGGTTATGGTTGCCATTAAACCAGGCAAAGCAGATGGTCAGGTCCGCGTTATTGCCAAACGAGATGCAGTTGGCGAAGATGGGCAATGGCCCCTGTGGGATACGCTGGAATACTTTGATATCTCTCAGGAGTACATCTTGGGCAGGTTGTATGGTCGCCCTGATATATACGATACTTTCGGGTTGGAGTTGCATGATCCAGATCGCACTGTGTTTACGCCAGAAATTTTGACATCTCTGGGACGAGACGATCGCCGTACGTTATGCCACCCCCTTTGTGGCAGAGTTGAAATCTAAATGAATGTAAGAAGAAGATATGCAACAGCCCATTGTGCTACCTCCGTGGTTACGATTCGACAGGGATGAGCTAACTCAGGACATTTTTCTCTCATTTCCTTCCACTGTGAAAGAGAGAGAGAAGTTGCATTCAGTTCTGCAGGAGGGCTTGCGCAACCAATACCTAAAGACGAAAGAAGAGATGGAGAACCGGCGTAAAGAAAACAAAGACGGTGTTGACAACGACCAAAACTCGGACTCGGACGAGATCAAAGCGCCCACTGTCCGACTGCTTCCGTGGGAACACGACCACATCGCCTCGCGCCGCGATTTAATGCGCATCCGAGAGGCTTGTCGAAGCCGTGATTCTTATTTATACGGTCCCCGTTCTCTGAATTTCTTGTTGGAACCAATCAGGGGCGACAATGTCACGAGCGCCCAGTTCGGGACTTTACTGAAAGCTCCCACAGGAATTATTATCCTGCGAAAATCTTTGGACCAGGTGGTCAAGGAGGTGTTGGACTCTGACGTATGCGGATACGAGGAGATCAAAAAGGAACTGGAAAATAATGGGCGGGTTGACCCATCCAAAATGGAAATCATGCAGGACCCAGCTCAACCGTTCTATCCCAATCTTCCGCCATGGCTCCCTATTGATCGGAAAATGAACGGGGCTCCCCTGTTCTACCTCACAAACAAAGTCACCAAGCAAAAGCAACGCGCCCTTCAGGACGAGATCCAAGCTCTTAACAGCTTTGATGTAGACGACCATCCTTGGGAAAAGGTATGTTGCTTTGTCCCTTGGACAAGCGACGAGGATGGCACACACCTGCACATATGTGGGACAGCTTGTGGAAAATGTGTTATAACGAATACCGGCTATACCGCTACGATAAACCTGCTCTATTTGTTGACCAGCAATCATTCGTTGACAATACCGTCGTTGTGGCAGACACACTCTATTATCACTTGCCATGGGCCAGTGAAGAGGCTCTCAAGCTGCTCGAGGATGTTCCCGAGCCATCGATTAAAGGATTCGCCTACGGCCGGATCCCAGGCCGCGATGCACATACTGTCTACGCAAACCTCTCGATCGCCAACATGCAGTTGGATGAATTTTTTTGGTGGCCGCGAGGACGAGATCAAGCAGTTCATCAGGCCTGATTGGCCACAAGGTATCCCCGAAGACGAAGAAGATGACTGAAGTGGGAGACAATGTACAATAAGGTGGCAAAGAAAAATAAAACTAACAAATCTATTGCAATTATCTCCTCATAAACGTCGTAGATATAGACATTATTAGGCTAGGTATATAGTCATGATCAGCACTAATAGCTACCATCCCCAGAATGCATCAGCCCAAGCCCAAGCCCTCTTCCCACTCCCCGTGTGTCCATACACATCAAACCGCTGGGCTCCTTCCTCCTTAACAATATATCCAATCTCACATTTGGAGAACGTGACCTTGGGCTGCTTCTCATAGAAGTTATCATACGAAGAATGGAGTGCTTTCGCAAGGGTGTCGACTTTCCCGCCAGGATGCAGCTGGTGCCATGGATATCGGCAGGAGTTCCCTTCACACGACTTGAGCACCATCATTAGTGCGTCAAGTCGATTCATGATCTGCGGCAACTCGCGGTCGGCAATGCGATACTTGTTGTGTTTGGCTGGGTGAGCGGCCAGGTTGACCGTTTGGGCTGGGTCGTCCTTGTGCAGTTGTCAGATTTTATCCCTGGTTTAGGACTGTGGTATTTCTCACCTTCAAGTTGTAGAACTCTTTCTCATTTGTACACCACACTGAATAATAGAGACTGTAGTCGTCTGCGACCAGTCGGATACCCTTGTATGTGTTGTTCTTGTAGGCGTTGCCAGCATCACCGAGCCTATCACTGGCATATCCATAGACTCCTTCGGGTACAGCCTTTATTTCATAATCAGTAATGTGATTTAAATATGAGAACGTATAATATCACTTACCAGACCCCAGTACTCAATAGCAACATGCTCGGTCTTGTTTTGTGCTTGGCTGCTCGCGACTGTCGTCGGAATCTTCTTGCCATCCAGCCCAGGTTGGGTAGAGTCAGCAATGGAGAGGAATGTCGGTGCCAGATCTGTGTGGCTGGTAACCACGTCAAGGGTCTCGTTTTCAGGGATGCCAGGTCCCCGCACGATAAGAGGGATGTGGATATCAGTATCTACTAACTCGTAAGTATACTATAGTTAAACACCGAAGATCCTGAGTAAGCTCACCATATCCACAGTTCTTGCCCGGCTGCATACGATGCTGACCCAAATGATACCCATTGTCCGTCGAATAGAAGATGTAGGTGTTATCCAATTCGCCTGCCTTCTCGAGCTTGGTGACCAGTTTCTCAATCAAGTCATCAACGGCCTGCAGTGCACGAAGCCGGCAGCGCTGGAACTCATCGATGTAATCAACGACAGTCTGGTTCAATTCAGGAATACTGCCAACCCAACTGACCGCGCCATCAATCAGCTTGTTGAAGCTTTCGTCGCGCGGAATTTTGTAATCCTTGAATAGATCCGCATGGCGATGCGCATATTCAGGCTCCCCAAACCAGTGGACACCGTTTTCGGCTGAGCCATTAGCATGCGGTGCATTCGGGGCCACGGTCAGCATCCACGGCTTGTCATGCTGCAGTGCTTCATCCAAGAAGCCTTCAGCCTTACTAGCAATGACGTCGGTTGAATATTGTCCGTCGTATTTCTCGGGGGGCCGCCGTTGCGCGACATCCGCGCAAGGTAATAGCGATATGTCCATGGGTCCAGCAGGAATTCGGATCCGTTGAATCCTCTGGGATGAGGCTTGTTGTAGTTCTCTTCTGTCTGTGCATTCCACAACTTGCCCACGTAGTACGTGTTGTATCCGGCGTCCTGCATCCATAGGGGCAGGTAGTTGTCGTTCCAGCCGGCATCCACCACTTTGGGGTATCCACCATATGGTGGATTGACATCGGTTACGTTAGTGTTATGTGGCATGCGTCCAGTCCAGAGATTTGCGCGCGATGGACAGCAGATCGCGACGGAGCAGAAGTGCTTGGGATAGCTAGTTCCTTTTTGGACTAGGAGTTCCTGTTGTATGTTAGATATTGATAGAAAAATAAATACACCTAACAAAGACATACCTGAAGCTTGGGCATATGTTCTAGGCCTCCCACAAATTTGCCTTGGTCGTCCGTCAAGATGAATAGGATGTTGGGCTGCTTCGCGGCGGCGACAGCTAGCCAGCATAGCAACAGCTGGGTTGCCAGGAGAAGCTTCATTCTTCAGAGTAATGTTTGAGTTTAATTTGAAAATAAAAAAAAGAAGAAGACCGACAACTCTGGAGATTCCATGGAGGCCAGAGTGCCCATCCTATATACCCTCTTCTGGGTCCCCTCGTACGAATTCCCCCTCATCACGAAGGGAAAAAAAAGTCTTGTATCATTTCTCCACAGCATTCGCACAGCGGTCATCGGCAGCGATCACAGGGTAGATTGCCGTAGAGAGTATAGCAAAGCCGAGTGATCGTCGACTATAGACTGAAGCTTGTAGAGCTCGGAGAAACCAGGAAGCTGGAAGATGGACCAGCTGGCCAGAGCGCGGTGGGCTCAATATCCTTCGTAGAGACTTGCATGGCTTAAGGTGAGGGATCGGCAAAGACGCAATACCAAACAGCGTGATATGGTTGGTTGGAGTATGGCGAGATTTGCACGGCGATGATGCCAATCTGCCAGACTCTGCATGGTATAAATGTGGGTCTCCATGACGCCTTCGGCTACCGTGGTGTGTACTTTAATATCACGACATCGTGGGAGAGTATATGCAGCGCAGCATGTACGGAGTATGTAGGAAGCTCATTCCGAGAATCACGAGATGTTATTTGTTGGCTTATCCTCTAGCGGAGTGGAGATCAGAAGGTAAATGAGGTAGGTGTGCATACGAAGCATAGGACTAGGATCATCCCCCATGCCATATTTTTACTCGATTCAGGCTTTTTGGCGCCATATAGGTGGTAACAATATTATTTACCTAAAAGTATGAGCTCATTAAATTCTTCTTGGGCATGAAAATGGGTGGTGCGAGACGGCGATACCCGATCTAGCCGCTGCACGTGGACCTGACCGGTCACCGCATAGTCCTACTTCGACCCTTCAGCGACCAAACATGATTACTATAACTACTTCTATTGGGCTATCTCCCTAATATTTCCCCTCTCGCTTATCACTACAGCTCAAACTAGCCTACCCATCCATGCTCTATCCAGCATAGAAACATACCAGTAACGACTGCATGCGACACTGCACTCTTTCTCGCAGTCAGACGTCATTTCAGAGTCACAGGGTGTTGTGCCTCGAACTTCGTCAAAATCCTCACTCCCCTTTTGCAGTCGTTATTGTTTGGATCTTTAGGCTAATGCGAGGGCTGGTCCGTCCTGCTCGAAGGGCTTGGAAACCAGCACCATACACTCATTAGGGACAGTTTGAATGAGATTTATTGACTAGTCACCAGAAGGACAGGTCCTACTGTTGCTTAATTAATTTTATTAATGGGTTTCCAACCTTTCATCAAAAGCGGGATGCTTACAATTGATTATAGACTAAGAGTGCCACAGGAGAACTTTTCTTCAATTTTCTATCAATATTCGCCGCCCATTCGCGGCTGGAATCCTTGGCATTTGTCACCCATTCGCGACTGGACCAATGCATCAATTGTGCACTATAAATATAAACCTCTCATCTTGACGACGTGGCCTCCTTGATCAGGTCGGAGACTTCGATACAAAAACGGACAACGATTTTTGCCAAATGCCGCATGTGCTTGTGATCATCAATATTCCACGGACCATATTCCTGCATAGTCAGGAATCCAGCTGGTTCGGCATCCTTGTCCTTCAAATGCTGGACGTATTCATCCTTGTATGATGCCTCGGTGATGTAGATCTCATTTCGATCTTGCGAGATTATGAGCCGCCTAAGGAAAATAGGGTTAGTACGTTTCAGATTCTGTCTGTGCATGATAGCTCAACTTACTTGGGAAGTGCGACTTTCCGGGTGTTCTTCTCATCGTGCAGGATCCATCCAACCATTTGCGCCGACTCCTGGTACTGGATGGCGGGGTCCCCCTCCCGATCCCGAACTCGAGGTTTGACTTCGAGAATGGCAAATGCTTCCTCCATGCCCTCGCCCTTGAGAAAGCCGTCAGTGCGTGCTTCCATGTGGGCCTGCCCAAACTCGGCCTTGAACGCAAGTCTCGCAGAACTCCAGTCGCATTGCACCTCCGGGATGTTAACCGTAAGTGCGTTCAGATACTCGAGAAGGGCGGTGTTCACGATTTGCTCGTCTCGGGTGGGAGTCCAACGAACGTCTCGCATTTCTGCAGCCGCAGATGTGTTTGACACGCTGTCGCGCATCTGGATATCTTGCGGTCCACTCGATTCGCGACTCAGTGAATCGCTCTCGGCGTAGTCGGGGCGCGCGATGTTGCGTTGAGGTCGGACGTCTCGGAATTCGACCCTGTCTGACAGATTATCGTCAGTCTTCGAAATCTCCAGTTGGTACTTTCGAACAAGCTGGAAAACCCCCTGTTGTCTGCCCATCGTCCCTTTTTGTAGGGCTGGATGTGCGTCTTGTTCCCCTGGATGTGTTTCAAGTATGCAGCGAACGGAACGAGCTCTTTCATCACATCATCAGCCTTTACTTTGAACCTCTTGGGGCCTACTTCGAAATCGTCAATGACGATAAGGGGAGGCCACAGAACACGCAGTTGCAGGAACTGTTCTTCCCCAAGCTTGGAGCCCGATTTCATCGGACTTAGGGTGTGGATGGTAGGGTTGATCAGCTTGTTGCTCTGGATTCTAGCCTTCCAAGGACTTTCAATGGGCGGCAAAAGCGAACTGTCATTAGTATTGGCCATTTTGGTCAAATTTGGAGTACAAGGTGGATTGTGAAAGGTCAAGTAACGGCCTCGAATGATCCTGGTAACAATCCATTTCGTCTGGTTGCTCCTTCCCGCTGGAAGAGCAGCTTGTACCCTTTCAAAATTGAAGCCTGCAGACATCGCCACCAAGCGCATTCACGCATTTACAAGGGCCACAATATAGAAGGAGCGAAATAAGTTCTCAGGCGTTAAAACTCGCTGGCAACGGTCTATTCAGGTACAGAATGGCCAGTTGCTCAATTGGATTTCTCATTGGTCCAATCAGTAGTATAAAGCGGACGTCATTGGTCTCACATGACCTGCATCAGCATGACTCGTTTACCTAGGTTCTAGGCACCACCACTCCTAGCCATTTCAATCGCACAAAATGAACGCCGAAACAGAGGCTAAGCGCCACGATGATATCAAACGTCTACATCAGGAGATTGAAAGTTGGCCTAGCGAGTTCCTTTCACCCAGCGACCTTCAGCGGCTTGGAATCCATGCTCTACAGGTTGACACGAGTGATGACGGCTCCCTTCAGCTAGACCCATGCTTTTTTCAACCCCTACGACCTCAACTGCTGCGCGACTATCCAATCTGTTCTGACTCTGAAAGACTCGCGGAATTAGATCTCCCCTTAGACTGGGAAGGTACTTTGAGGCGGACGAGGGAGACTTTTCCGCATGAGAAAGAACTTGAAAAACGCGCAGCACAGGTATTCCAGAATGTTCAGGAACTATATACTCCGGAGGATTGGTGGCGGCGTGCTCGGGAAACCCACGATCATATATGCAGTCAACTAAATGTCTGTCGAGATGGTTTGCCTGGGGATGGGTATCCGTCTTTGAGGCAGTTCGAGACTTTGAACGGGCCGAAATGGAGGTATGCCTCGTATTGTTTACGATTATATTCCCTGAGCCCTAATTAGAGACAGGAATACATATCGACGAAGGGATCAACGGACGTTTGAGGATGGGCTATGTGCTCAAGCGTGGCGCATCCCCCGCGAATACGAGGATAAGGCAAAGAAGCACGCTATGCCTCATGCTCTCTTTACAATCATCGCTGACGTCCGGGCCAACAATTATCCTCAGAGCCTCACTCGCTGCGAGATGAAAGCCATCATAAGAGTGATGCGGGTACGAACAGCAGTCAACCCATATCAACGACATCTAATTCAGCCGGTGAGTTTTCTCAACTTCATACAGACCTCTTTCCACTGATTATTTCTATAGGCGTTAGTTTTATCGTACATGGGCCGGAAGCATGGGCGAATCATTCAAGCCCATCATGATGGTGAACGAATGACGATTCAATACTCGCCCCTTTGGAGCTTCGAGGATGAGGATACCGCACCTGTGGAGTTGTTTGTTCGCTACAATCTGAGCATCCCTATTGGACTACAGAAGGAGACTCTGTGTATTAGATGATATGTTTCAATATCTATCGTGTGAGCTACGTGGTTAGTTTTAGCTCGAGACAACGAGGTAGGTTAGCTATTGCAACGCTTTTTTCCTGACAGCTAAAAATAAGCTTGGCCAAAAGAGAAGAAACTGATAAATCAATCCATCCAGCGTGCAAAGAGACCAACGCTCCTAATGTTGATGAGGATATAGAATACAAATATTTAACGCGACGCTTGTAATCTACCTCACTGCTATCAATCTTACCATATCCGATGAATCTCTTCATTTGTATGACCCACTTGGAATGTTGGGTCTCGGACAAAGTCGCATATACATTCAAACATCGGGGGCCAGCATTATGACGAAGAGTGCTACTACTGATGCAGTTACAATTTTCCCTATTGGATAGTCGTACAGCAGATAGGAAAAGATACCAAGCACAAGTTAATATTCCGGCAGGTATGTACAGACACAACAGAATATGTAGATTGTCCCGCATAAAGCAGGGAGGGAAGACAGACAAAAATTCAAAGCTAAGGAGGTATTCGAGGGGAAATGAACAAGACATTGTAGCGGATTAGGGGGGAGTGTGGGTCGTGTGTAGGGGAAAGGCGAAAGAAAACGCACAAGGGCCATGCTAAAAACGAGACAAGCATCAAAACACAAATTTGAAACCTCATGTAGTGAGAAGGTGGAATCTAAACACCAAAGGGTTGGTTGGAGGTGGGGGACCATATACAAAGTGGTGTTTTTCAGGGACCATATTCACTTCCGTCGTAGCGCTTCCGCACTGCGGCACTCATGTTGTTTGGTGAGCGCTGAACGAAGTCTGATCCGTCGTCCCCGCCCAGAGTGGACTGGTACATTAAGGCTTCTTGTGGCCAGTCGTCCATTGTTCCGCTCTCCTGGGTGCCGGGACGAATTTTTTCTTCCTGTCCTGGCTCTGCGCCTGCGGGGACGCTGCTGAATCGCGTCTGGCTGGGCAGGGCGTCTCGTCCTGTCGAGGGGGACTCGGCCGCAGGGACGGTTGATTCGTACTGCTGGGGCTCAATGGGCGTGTTGACCATGTCAAAACTGAATCGGAAATCACGGTTATTGGCAGTTCCGGTCCCAGAGACAGGATTCGCATATCCCACATTGTGGTCATCGGCGTCCTCTGTCACGAGCGTGGCTGACTGGGGCTCTGCAATGTGAGGGAGACCGGGACTCGGCTCACGGACAGGCGTCCCAGCGAAAGAGCTATCAGCATCAAGCTCCTGTGGCAGGCCAGAGGAAGACATATCCTGGTAGGAGTTGATTTGAGCCTGCTGCATTGAGTCTTCATGCACTGGAGCCGGAGATCGCGGAACTTCACTCTCGAGGTTGGCCAGTGTCGACTTGCGCAGACTGCTACCCATGGTGCTCCCGGGCTTGGAACCTCGACTGACGCGATGCTGGGGCAGGTCCGCAAATGGACCATCCGCACCGTCTGAGTCACGGATACTGAATTGAGCGATTGTCCGCAGCTTGCGGGTTACCCATGATGCTAGAACCTTGCCACGCTGTTTTTCGCCGAGGCGTGAGCGGGGGAAGTCACCATGAGAGACGAACGCGACAATGTCCACGACAACTTGGTGCTCGTTGAGAATGGCATCGACAATGACTGGGACAAGAGATGCCAGATACGCTTTTCGGGTGACTTCGACCACGACCACGATCATACCGCCTGCTTGGAAAATCGCACATCCACCAGGCAGAATGTTCCGGTGGCACCTTTCAATTGAGCTTTCAATATCCATCGGGAAATGGCTAAGCCCGTTGACCTCGAAAGTCTCGCCAATACCTCCCAGGACAAAGAGAACTTGCATTTCGACAGGTTGCCCACCGGCGCCGATTGGCCGAGTGACAGTGTGAAGGAACCCTAGATCACCGGTGCGAATGTAGGGCACGTTCGGGTCACCATCAGCGACCCGACCATCCATGCGTTCATTGTCAAATTCCTGCTTGGATTTGTAGAAGCCCTTAGCACAAGCGTCTGACTGCACCCATATCTCGCCGTACTCTCCTACATGGGCCAGCGTGCAGGTTTCTGGATTGACGATGGCAATCTGCGTGTTGACCGGCACCATTCCTGAGTCTTGGAGTAGTAGGGCGGTGGGGTCTGCGTCTGGGTCCACAGGGTAAATTAGACCTCGACGGAGACTTCGGAGATCCAGCCACAGCTCAATCGGCTCTATGCACATATATGACCTGGTGACGATCATGGGATTGAGGACGTGTGAGTACACGATATTAATCGAGGTGCGGTCCAGGGCAGCGGAAGCAAAGTGCAGGCGCACTTTTTGGTCTGTGTGCAAGACATTAGTAAGTTTGTACGATTTTCAGGGCAGAGAGTGCATACATATATCGACTCTCGGCCGTCCTTCCGCGGATATCATCAGGTTCTTCAGCTCTTGAAGCTGAAAGCCCTTTGCACCCATAACATTCATGGCATAATCCAACATCTGGCTAGTGGCGTAGGTGTCCTTGATCTTGTACCGTGAGAGAGTCACGAAGAGAGTCATCGGGTTCTGAGCAAAGTCGACCGGAGACACGAGGTAGGTAGGCGCGCCTAGAGTTCTCATTAACCCGAGGAAATGTTCGAAGGTCAGGTCAAAAACTTACCAACGTAGATACCCATCAAACAGGTGTGCAGGAATCCGAGACCCAGTGTACTACGCACACTACCGAGCACCGGCCTCGAGCTTGTCATTTGGCACGTTTCCTTCTGCACCTTGCACATACCCATAATGGTATCATGGCCAATAGCCACAGAAATCCTTCGCTGATCGGGTGTCCAGTACGTCCAGACCAGGGCAGGCTGGCCACCTTGCAGCCAGGCGTCTTTCATGGTATATCCGAGCTCGCGGCATCCATGAGACTGCTTGGAGGGCTTGTTCGTGTTGTATATAGCAGGCACACCGATGCGGAGAACCTGTGCGGACTGCTTGACATGCTGGGAGACGAGCTTCAGCCTCATGACATGATCGACCTCGGCATTGACAATGATTGCCTTGACGTTGAAATCGCTGATGACGTGCAGGAACGCAGGCGCGTCTTCTGAGAGGCGGTTTTGGTCAATGGGCGCCATTGGAATGGCAACAACACCCAAACAGAAACAAGCATGAATGGCATAGATATACTCCTCGGAATGGGTATACATCAACACCAGATGATCTCCGGGGCGGACCTTGACTTTGTTCTTCAGGTATGTTGCCACTGCAGAGACCTTCAAGTCAAACTTCTTCCAGGTGAGACCCTTGCCCTCCTTACCACGGCCGTCGATAGAGCAGTAAGCCAGTTCTTCAGCTTGGCGCGAGACCCGCCACTGGAGAAGGTCGACAATTGTCTTGAAGTTGTTCAGAGGTGTGGAGGTGCGGTCGTCCATGATAACATCGCGGTAGTCGACGCCCGAGTACTGTTTCTCTTGATAGGCGAGCAGCTCTTGCCTCGACTCGACAGCAAGGGGGGACCAAATACCGCCGACCGGGTCGACACCAACAGGTAGGTTCATCACCGCTCGCTCGACTCCGAATTTGACATGCACAGCCTGCAGCGTACCAGCATCGAATTCCTTGCGACAAAGCATGTTGCCGATCTCCTGTCGACCGTTCTTGGTGACGCGCGGCAGCGAGTTCGGGGCCGTAAGGAGCACGCAATAAACGCGAAGATGATGTTCCTGATACACAACCTCCATACACCTCTCTGCCAGGGACTCTAAGAGAACGGAGTCAAGCTGGCGGGGAGGTCCCCCAGAGGTTGTAGGTGCCGTTGAAGCAGCATAAGACTCTAACACGATGACTGGAAGATGCTCGTCATTCACAAACACATCAAAAGCTGTACAGTCGTGAATCTTCGGTACTTTCTTCAACAGACTGACAACTAGATGCTGAACGAAGAAATAGCGGTGCTCTGCGATCTCCTGCCCATGTTCAACCCACTCGACCTTCTGACGGAGTCGGTCTTCGTAGAGACCCAGCACGAAGACTTTGCCCTCGATAACGCATCCCAGCAGACCGGTGCGCAGAAATTCAGGCTCCACAAGCACCGGAGTGGGATTGTTCTCCTCGAACTTGTAAGGACGGGCGTGGAAAATGGCTTCGGTATGCTTTGGCAATGCCCAAAAACCGCCAGACAGGGAAGGCGAATCGACCCAGATCTCTCCAATGACATTGGGCGTGCACAGAAGATTGGTTTCAGGATCGACAATGGCCAGAGTAGCGTCAGGGATGGGATAACCGAAAGAACCGACGCGCACAGCATGAGGCATACTAGCAGCAAATTTGCGAGCATTTTCGCCCATAGCGAGGACGACGATCTCATTGCTTTTCAGAGCCTCCTTATCCAAGAGAACCTCTCCCAGTTCGTTCTTCGAAGTCTCCTTGGGTTGTGAGATTCGGGACCCGCGAGACCCACCGCCGAGAAGACTGCTGCCGAAGCCAGTATTGGTCTCGGACTTTTCGAGTTTCGTGTCTTCTTTCTTGGAGTCAGAGTGAACCGCCGGGTCCATCTCATGGGTCAAGAGGCATCCCATGCGCTCTTCGCCGCCAAGCCAATCGCGCATGCTAATCACCATACCGCCATGTTCGGGCAAGCACAGCATTGGCGTCACAATCTCTCGAGCGCGCGGGTTCCGCATGGGCCGCAGCCATCGGTCTGCCAAGATCTCGTGGAACTCAGAGTCCAAAGTGAGCGTATCAATCAGACACATTTTGACACTACTGAAATTAGGCTCCGAATTCTTCTTGTAATGTCGAGTGGCCATGGGGTCCTGCTGGTAGTTGTACGCCGCAATCTTCAAGCCAGAGTAGTCGGCAGCCATGATTGTTGCCTTGTACTTGGTGACAACGTGAGCATAGAGACCAGCCGTCTCCACTACTCGATCTTCAAGCCAAACGGTTGTATGGCCACCATAGACGTTGAAAAGCACGGCCAGGATCATGCCAATGCCCTGTCGCGGGTCCAGGTAAGTAACGATAGTCTCTCCCTTGGCGTATTGTCTGGCACTCGAATCAGTGGGTGCAGCGGTCACGATAGCACTCAGGCAGGACATCTGGTGCATGATGGTCCGATGGCTCATCACCACACCACGCGTGTCACCTGTCGGGGCTCGTGCAAACTCGATATACGCAAGGTCTGGAACGACCAATGGGGGCGTGTCATCCTTCTTCTTCGGGTGGAAACTGCCGAATTCGTTCGTCTTCCACCATTCCACTCCGCGGGGCCAATTCAGCTTCTGTGCAGTGATGTCGCGTTGGAAGTTTTTCAGGTTGTTTTCAGTCGTCAAGGCCAAATGGGCTTGAGTGGATGTGAGCACCAGGTTCAAGCTCTGATAATCATCCAACTTGTTGATTGGAACCGCAACAACACCAGCAATGAAACAGCCTAAAAGAGCGACTGCAAACTCGATAACCTCGGCATCGCGGTAGATCAGGGCCACACGATCTCCGCGATACAGGTTGCTCTTATCGCGAATCACTTGAGCAACTTTCTCGGCACGGCTTGCCAACTTTTCCCATGTAATGGACGCAATCTCTTTTCCTTTCTGGTCCAATACCCAATACGCTGGCTGCTTCCCATGCGCTCGAGCGCGATGCCGCAGCACTGTCGGAAGATTATCAAACTTGGACATCGGAGTGCTCTTATCATGCGGGTCATTGACCGAAAAGGGGATATCTCGAGGCTCCAGAGGATGCAAGTGTTGGAGGGTCGGCGCATATTGAAGGTCCGAGGCGGGCATCAAAGGCGGTGCCATATTCGCTGTGGGCGAAAAAGCTTCTCCCGACTGAGAATACCGGTGGAACCCACCGCCATAGCTCTCCCGGTAGTCCTCATGCTGCTGACCGGCAAAATCAGAGAAGAATCCCTGTTGTGAGTCCAGCATCGTTGACTGTCGCGTGGCTCCGCCCGCCGCAGGATCGTATGCCACGGTATCGTCCACGTACTCGGGATGGGCATTCGGGTTGAACGCATAGTTCTGGCTCAGCAGTGTTGCCGTCCGCGAACCATCCTGGCCTTGTGATCCCGGAGGTGCTGGCTTGGGCAAGAAAAGTGAATCGTACGATGAGGACGACGGCATCCGACCAACCCCGCCGCTACTTCTATCGTAGGGCGCAGCCGGTGTTGGCGACGGGTTCCGCATGTCCATACTACCACGGTGGTCGTATCCGAGTCCTCCGCCACTCTGTCTGCCATCGAAACTGCCGGCATACGTCGGAGATGCGAGACTTGGCTGACGGGACTGGCCCGTTGCCGGACCAACACTCAGAATAGCAGGCGGAGCCATGTTTGAAGGATGTGAGGTGGCTTCATAGTCGGAATTCGAGTGATTGACGATCTCGAGGGGTTTGTTTGGGCCGAGGAATTGCGCCAGAAGCATCGAACGTCGCTTTTGGTATCTTTGTTTTTGGTCAGTCCGGTTGAGCTCGTTGACAGAATGATAATCACGGCGATTTCTCCGTCCACCCAACAATTGGATTGCGCCGTGGGGTGGCCGAAAACCTCGGTCTGGCGGGAAACTGCTTACCCTTTCTCGGTGATATCGCCCTCCTGTCATGGAACCCAGCATGTCAGCGCATCTTCACAGTGAGTAGCAGTGAGGACAATGCCTACCTCCAATTCCCGATCCAGGTCGCGCAGTGCGGCCTGAAGCTCGGGGCTCTCTTCGGCCATCAGGACGGTGGGCCTCGATTCGGGGAAGTGAACGGAGTGCGGCGGGGGGTGGAGGAATAGGGCGTAATCAAGGACGCCTCATCGCAGTCCGCGTCGTTCCAGAGGTCAGACGGGGAGGAATGGCTGGTGAATTGCGATCTTCTGGGAAAATAATAATCGAGCACAGCGGGAGATGTTCGATCGACTTTGGCTCGCTGTCAAGCTTCATTCGCGTTGAACGTCACCTGCCCGGGCGGTCAAGCCAGCCGAAGGCGCAGGTGAGACATTGGACTCGGCAACTATCTATAGGAAGTGATTCTTTACACATCTACGCCGATACCTACTAGGTGCTATGGATTGACTGGGTTTGAACAGTTTGGTGTTCAACAGAGAATGGCAAATAATCCTGCTGACTACCGTACTAGAACCAGTTACTCGGTCCATCCATCGAAAAAAGTGATTCCTCAGGCACCCATATAGTCAGCAACCACGTGATCCCACAAATCTTTAGCGAGTCTGCCGCACCGCTATTTTCGACCCGCCGAGAATTGAGCGTTCATCCCATCCAACAACACCCGGTCGACCACCTTTCCCACCAATCCCTCCCTCGACCACAGTCAACATGTCTGACAACGGGGATGTCGAGGTTGCGACCTACCCGGTCCTGCCCAAGGAGGTTCTGGCCGAGCAGGGTCAGGTCAAGCTGTTCAACAAGTGGAGCTACGAGGACGTCGAGGTCCGCGACATTTCGTTGACGTGAGTTCTTCTCTGGCTCTTCGTTCCCTGTGTACGATTGGGCATCTTGTTTCGCTTGATTTGAGGCATTGGATGGGAAACGCAAGAAGAAAAAAAATTCAAGACTTACTGACTCCCGTTCTTCAGTGACTACGTGAACATTCGCCAGCCCGTCTACCTCTCCCACTCCGCCGGTCGCTATGCCGCCAAGCGTTTCCGCAAGGGCAGCTGCCCCATCATCGAGCGCCTTGTCGGTTTCCCTCCATTTTCAGGTCTACCAAAGTGTTGCGGCTAACTCAGTGATTGCAGACCAACTCGATGATGATGAACGGCCGCAACAACGGAAAGAAGCTCATGGCTACCCGCATTGTGGCTCACGCTTTCGAGATCGTATGTGCAAAAACACTTGGGTGGATGAGAAATTTGTTGCTAATTGTGTCCCGCAGATCCACATCATGACCGACCAGAACCCCCTCCAGGTCGCCGTTGACGCCATCGTCAACTGCGGTCCCCGTGAGGACAGCACCCGTATCGGTTCCGCCGGTACCGTCCGTCGCCAGGCCGTCGATGTGTCCCCACTGCGCCGCGTCAACCAGTCCATCGCCCTCCTGACCATCGGTGCCCGCGAGGCCTCCTTCCGCAACATCAAGAGCATCGCTGAGTGCCTTGCTGAGGAGCTGATCAACGCCGCCAAGGGCAGCTCCAACTCTTACGCCATCAAGAAGAAGGACGAGCTGGAGCGTGTTGCCAAGAGCAACAGGTAAAGGGATTGTGTTGGGTTTGTTCTCCGTTTGGTGCTCTGTTTATGTATCCGGAGTGGACGGGGGTTATGCTAGGATTCAGTGGCACGTTACCGCGCTGGAGGGAGCACGATCCCACTAGAGCATGAGGACGGCTTTCGTTCCACTGTAGTTGCGGTGCCATCCTGAAGGCCTAGGGCCATTAGGCCTCATTCCTAAAATGAAAATTTCTTTTCAATTAATCCTATCCACCCAGTAGTTACAGAGAAGGCAGTCCGTAAACAAGTATAAAAATGAAAAAAGCGAGTTGGGTCAAACTGAAGACTGGGCCGCTTATCGATAGGCGAAGAAAAAAGTTTCGCCCGATTCTCCCCCAACCTCCTCCACTCACCTCTTTCCCGCTGAATTGCTGCGTCGCACTCGGGCGCTGAACAGAAAAAAATGGTGAAGAGAAAGATCGGGGCCTTGGAAAAGGTCGAAGCAGACCTGTAAGTGCGCTTTCTGCGGCGTGGTCGCGGCCGCCGCTCAGAAACTTCGGTTCACGACACTGACCTCAACCTTGCGCTTCGCAGGCCCAATCTACAACACAAAATAAGGAGAGACCCCAAGTAAGTCAAATGATTCGAACTCCTAGATTTAGAGCTGACCGGTCTGTTCTTCTAGATCCTACATTGAAGATTTCCGCGCCCAGCACTACCAATATGAATCCCACCGAGAAATTTTCATGGCGGCGCCCTCTGCGGCCACTGATACTGGCATGATTTCGCTTCGCGATCTCATTGACTTCATCTCTCATGTCGCCGACTGCTACCCGGAAATCTTAAAGGATTTTCCGCAGCAGTTGATTGACATGCTGATGCAACACCATCTGGTGTTGGAGCCCGAGCTGCGCGAGAAGATCGTGGGTAGTCTGATGCTTCTAAGGAAGAAAGAACTCATAGACTCGGCAAGGTATAAACTCATGGATCAAATATTTGAATCACGACGCTAACTGAAGTTTCTACAGACTACTTCACACTCTGTTCCCGATTCTCATCTCGACACCGAGCAAGACTCTACGGGCACTACTGTTCCAGAAAATCCTTTCCGAACTCCGCTCCGCCAACTCGAAGACTATCAACCACAAGCTCAACCGGACTATGCAGACTGTGCTGTTCAATCTGGTCACATCGGACCGTACATCATCCAAGGGTGTTTGGGCAATCAAGTTGACTCGCGAGTTGTGGAAGCGTCAAATCTGGACAGACGCCAAAGCCGTCGAAATCATGAAGGAGGCGAGCTTGTCCGAGCACGAGAAGGTCATAATTGGTGGCGTCCGCTTCTTCCTCGGCGGCGACAAGGAGCGAGAAGAAATGGAAGACGAGAGCAGCGATGATGATGCCATCGACGTTGGCCGTGTCAGACACCAACTGGGAATCAACAAGAAGACAAAGAAGAAAGCTCGCGCTGCCCAGAAGGCGATTGCAACGGTCAAGAAGCAGGAGCGCAAGAAGAACCAGCCGCACCCACTCAATTTCTCCGCGCTTCATCTGCTCCATGATCCCCAGGGTTTCGCGGAATCTCTGTTCTCAAAGCACCTTCAAAACACCAAGGCCAAACTGAACCTGGAGCAGAAGCTTTTTGTGCTGCAACTGGTCAGCCGTCTGGTTGGTCTTCATCAACTCCACATCATGCCTCTTTACTCCTACTTTCAAAAATACCTGACGCCCCGTCAACCTTCCGTCACTTCTTTTCTGGCATCACTGGCGCAGGCTTCGCATGAGCTTGTGCCCCCAGATGTTCTCGAGCCTTTGATCCAAAAGATTGCGAACGAATTTGTCTCTGAAGCATCGGCCGCGGAGGTTGCTACCGCCGGTATGAATGCTATCCGAGAGGTTTGTGCTCGCCAACCGCTGGCGATGAATGAGGCCTTGTTGCAGGATCTTGTCATGTACAAGAAGAGCAAGGACAAGGGCGTCATGATGGCTGCCAAGGGACTGCTCAGCCTGTATCGAGATGTCGGGGCGCAGATGCTCAAGCGTCGTGACCGTGGCAAGGACGCTTCCATAAGCCTTCGGTCCGGTGACAAGGAAGAAAAACGCTTTGGTCAGCAGGAACTGGGAGGAATCGAGGGTCTTGAACTCTTGGAGAAATGGAGAGAGGAGGAGCGGCGCAAGAAGAACCTGGAGAAGGGCCTCCCATCCGATGCCGAAGATGATGAAGAGGAAAATGAAGAAGACAATTGGGCTGCCTGGAATGTCGAAGACGACGAGGACAGCGATGACTCGGGTGACTGGATCAACGTGCAGAGTGACGTTGAAATTGATCTCAGCGATTCCGACGACGACAACGACAAAGCGCGTCCCTCCAAAAAGGCCAAGCAAGATGGTGATGAGACTGAGAAGAAGCCAGATGCCGAACAAGAGCAGCAGAAGCTCAGCACTCTCGCAACCACCCGGATCCTCACACCAGCCGATCTCGCCAAACTAGCCGAGCTCCGGGCCCAAGCGTCCGTCGATTCCCTCATGCCAGGCGCCAAGTCCCGTCGCCCAGGACAGACCTCGACCCGGCATGCCGACGACCCGCTGACAGCCGAAGAAATCGAGGGTCTGGCAGCTCTCTCCGCCGGCAAGGCCACTCGCGAGGAGCGCATCGCTCACGCCAGGGAAGGCAAGACGGAGCATAAGAGTAAGGAGGCTAGGCGCAAGGAGCGCAAGCAGCAGCAGGGCAAGAGTACGACCAACAGGGAGAAGGCACGGAAGAAGAACTTCCTTATGACGCTTGGCAAGGCGAAGAGTAAGAACAAGCGCAGTCTTATTGAGACACGTGCGGTCTTGAAGGCGCATCATGATCGACAGAAGCGTGGAGGGAAGAGAGGTAACGCGGGTATGTAATGGTTTTGTAGATAGCTTCAAAATATACTTCGCCATAGAATTCATAAGTCGCGCCTGCCTCAACAACAACAACAACATGCACTTTCCTTCTCGTCCTCCCATCTCTGTTTACCTTCCTCTTCTTGTTCCTGTTCTCCTTCCCTCTTCCTCTCTCTCTCACACGCTCATCATCCATCTTCTCGTCTTCTTCATCCTCGCCGCTTCATCCTCCCTGCTCTTCTCATCCTTGCTGTTGTTACCTGGCAACTTGCTCTCACCTCTTCGGCAGGATCTTCTTTATCCTTGCTGTTGTTATCTTGCAACTTGCTCTCAGCTCTTCGCCGGGGTCTTCTTCATCCTCGCTGTTGTTATCCTGCAACTCGTTCGCTCCAAACGGAAACAAAAATGTCAGTGGCTATATCCATCGGACAGTTATATTAGAGCTAACTTTGAAATTACGGAATATCGGATTTCAACCACCTCCAACAGCAAATGCACTCGATGCAATTCAAAGGCACACGAGGGGGCATGCCGTCCTCGGTGCCGCGGTTGCGGGAAACCTCATCTGGGTAAGTGCAATGCCTGGTGCAACCGTTGCCGCCGCCGAGGTCATGCTGCCCGCTTCTGCTCCCAGCGCCGTCCGCAGCACGGCGGCACTGTCGCCGTTGCCACCGCACAGACAGTGATGTACAACAATTTCCAGGCAGGAAGCTCGTTTGTTCTTCAGAATGCGGCCCCAGTCTTGTACCAGCAGACCCAAGCCACCGTTGCCGGCAACAAGCCCCGCGCCCAGGAGCGCAAGGCCCTGGAGGAGGATAGGAGCGCGGAGGAGAAGAAGGCCGAGAAGGAGAAGGACAATGATGACTTTGAGATTGTCCTTGACGCTTGAGTTTATCCTGTACAAATTATCCATGTATATTTAACCATGTATGTGTATTGCAGATGCGAGACGAGAATCCAGAGCTTGCTTTTTTTTTTTTTTTTTTCTTTCTTTATTCTGGCAGTTGAAATGAGCTGAATGATTCCTCGGCCATCCAGACATAAACAGATGATGTTGTCGATGCTCAGATATCATATTGTGGCCTAAGGCACAAGGACTTACATAACCCTTCGCTAAATTGAAACACGGAATCACATGACCCATGATCGCGTCGCGTCCAGCCTCTTCATTCTTATCGTTTTCAATTCTTATCTGCCTCTTTCCTCCCCCCTTCATATCTCTTCACGAGGAGGAAAAGGTTGCCTGCATCGATCAACATGATGCCTTCCACCGCCAACGTCACCCTGTCCAAGCGCCGGCGCTTCCAGCCCCCCATCACCAGTTTCTTCTCCTCGACGCCCTCCGACTCGACAGACTCGCACGCCTGCCACGTCTCGCATAACCACTACTCCGCCGCGACCTTCTCAGCCCATCCCGTGGTCTCGGCAAAAGTCCAATCCAACCTGCTGAACGTTGGCATGCGAGTCCGCAAGTCCGTCGCCGAGGGCTACAAAACCGAATTGAAAAAGTTATCGGCACCACCACCAGTGATCTCAGCACCCGAACCACAGAACGTGCGCGTCGTCCGCCCCCACAGCAGCACGAGCTACGCCGAACTCGCTCCATTCTCTGGCATCTCCAAACACTCACGAGACATGCCCAATGACCGTTCCTACGCCATCAATCCAAATCAATTTGTCGTCGACGACGACGGAGACGCCTTCTCCCTCCCGCCGAGCAGCCAGGAGTCCACGTCATCCTACATCACATCCTCGAGTCTGAGCCAGAAACGGGCCCTCGATCCGGACAGCGACAGCGAATTCGTCGTCATTAATGACGACCCTTGTCCTCAGATCCCGGATGCATCCCTAGCACGCCCGATCCTCTCCCCGGTCGGGGTGCAGCGACGGAATACGCTTGCCGTGCAGCACCATCAGAACATCATGAAGTCGTCTGCTATGGACACCGATGACTTTGAGGAGGCGGTTTTCCTTCGCAGGCGGGAGGAGGTCGATGCTGATTATGTGCAGATGGACTGCGCTTGATTATTTTGGATTGTATTGGAATCTGGTCACTGGTTGGCATTCTGTTTTTGTTTTTTCCCATGTACAACATCCTTTTTTCTTCCCTGTGTTTTGATTTGTTTTGGATTTACTTGTTTTTTTGTACAAATACCCATCCCCGGCTCGTGACTTTCAAGTGTTGAGGTCGAGCCATCTGCTAGGTCCAGATCTTGGCGATTCTATGCGTCTATTACCACCAACATTGTTTTCCGTCTCTTCTACTTAGAAAACCAAATGTTCGGTTCAAAACTCCATGGCAATTCGCTCTCTATCTATCTAAAGACAACAAAGCAAGATGTGCAATGGGAAGTTGTGCATGGTAGACGAGCTCCAGAACAAAAAAAAAAGTAAGATACAATAGAGACAGACATAAGATGATGCTTCTGTACTTCAAAAACGACAAAGGGGAAACCCCACAAATGCAAGATATGTATTACCACCAGGTCCAACGAAAGAATCAAAGCTCGTCTTTCCGTTCATCCTCCTCCTCCTTCTCCTTGGCCGCCTCCTTCTCCTTGGTCTTCTTATCCTTGGCCTCGGACTGCTTCTTGGTCTTCTTTTTGTCGTCTTTCTCCTTCTTGGCCTGTCGTTCCTTCTCGGCCTTTATTTTGTCCGCAGCTGAGGTTACCTTGTCTGCGGCGGCGTTCATTTTCTTGTACAAGCGGTTCAGAACGCGTTCGAACTCCTTGATGCGGGAGTCGATGTCCGCCAGAGTCAGGACGGGGTCATCCGACTCCGTGAGCTTCTCCTGCTCGGCAAGCTTGTTCTCTAGCCAGGGGTGGGCGTATTCGTAGGCCTTTGACAGGATCGAGAGCTCGGTAGGAGTGAAGAGTCCGTACGATGGGCCGGTAGGCTTGGCCGCGGCGGATTTTTTGGTGGAGGTCGGGGACGACGAGGTGGAGTATGGGTCCTCGGCGAGATCGTCGAGCGGATCGCTCGAAGCGGCTGGAGTTTCGGTGGAAGAGGAGGTGCTGCTTGATTCCGAGAGCGAGGACGAGTATGCCGCCTCGTCCGCCTCGAGCTGTCTCTTAAGTTTGTCCTGCATTGCCTCGGCGTTTTGGATTAGTTCCTTCAACAGCTTTACGTGCAGTGGCCGGGCAGAGTTCTCCTTCATTCGCTTCTGTGCCGGTTCGACAATGTCCTTCAGATCCTTGAGTTTTGACTGGAAGTCCGCTGTCTTGGCGTTGTCGCTGTCCTCGTAGAGCCAGTCGCTGTGAGTGGAAACCTTTTCGGACAGAATGGTTAACTGGTCCTTCTTGACAACCTTGACAAACTCTTCGTTGTCCAGCAGATCACGGCTGCGGTAGATGAAAGACTCAAGTTCGTTCAGGGCTTCTTCACGCAGGACGCGATCACGGTCCGACGCATCGAACGCAGCCAGACGGTCCCGGATTCGAGTCATCTCAGAAGGGGAAGGGGCCTTGGTTCCAAGCGGAGTTGACTTCAGGCCGATGGGAATGATCTCTTCCTTGGTCTGGGGAGTTGCTTTCTTGCTATCTTTGCTGGCAGTGGTAGTAGTAGAAGACTCGCTGGAAGACGACGTTGTAGAAGACTCCGCCTCTGGCTCAAGTGTGATGGATTCGCTGGGTTCGTTTTCTTCGCCGCCGAGCGGTTGCTGTTCATCCTTCTTGCCGAGGCCAAAGAAGCCTTTGACATCGTCCACAACGCTGCCCTTCTTCTCGGACTCAACTTCACAGCTCACAGTCCCACCGACAACTTCCGGAAGCCCGTCAACGGGGCTGAGGCGGATCGAGAACTTGGTGGTGATGTTCGCGGTCGAGCATCCAAAGGAATCCCGGAGTCGGGCCACGGAAGCCGTGAGGTTCTGGGTCTGCACGCTCAATACAGGCAGCTCATTATCTTGGTCGACGAGCTGGTAGAAGCTGAATTCGAAGTCGTCCAGGTTCTTCACAGTGACCTGCTTCTCTGGGCCAACCTGAGAAGTAGCTGTGAACAACTTCTGATTCCGCTCTTTACCGTCAGAGTTCCATTTCAAGGCGATTGGATAAGAGGCTGCGTCGCTGGAACGGATGTCTCTGACGCGGAAACTGGAGCTGAGCGCCGCGCCCGTGAAGGCGGCGCCAAAAACGGCCGCCTCATCGGCATTGACGTTGGTCCGGATCTTCTTGGAGGAACCACAGACCGTCTCCAGTTCTTTTTGGACAAAGGGAGTCCGAATGGCACCGCCGTGCAGAACAACGGAGTCAATGTCGCTCAGCTGCAAACCAGCGGTGGACAGAGCCTGCTCCAATGGGGATCGTACACGGGCGGCATGTTGCGAGGCCATCTTCTCAAAATTGGCACGGGTGAGCTTGTACTTGAAGTTGACATTCTCGTCATACAAGCCTTCCAAGCTGGTGTGGGTTTCTGAGTTGGCACTCAAGACCTGGCGAATCTTCTCCGCATCTTTCCAGAGTCTCGCCATGGTCTTTCCATGGGCCCTAACTTCGGCCGCTGTGACCCTGTCCTTGAGCTTCTTGTCCTCCACCAAGTGGGCAATCATGTCGTCAACAATGAGATCATTCAGAGAATCACCACCGAGCGTCTTGTCCCAGCCGGCTCCCAGAACATGAACCTCTTGAACCGTCTTGTTGTACTTGCCAACATCCTTCACTTGACGACTCTGGAAACGCAGGACGCTTGCCGTGGTCGACCCAGCGCCCATATCGAAGACAACGTGATATTCCGGCTTCTCGCCATTCGAGACATTGGGGAATTCGCGGCTGGTAGCGTAGTTCAAGCCAACCGCCAATCCATCACTAACCATGGCCTCGATATTCAGACCTGCTAGCTCCACAGCCAACTCAAAGCTGCGCTTTTCCTCCGCGGTGTAGAATGCGGGATAAGTGATCACCACATCGCGAATATCCGATCCCGCGCCCGCTAATGTGTCGGCATTGGCCTTGATCTGCTTGAGTTGCATGGCCAGAATCTCCTCAACCAGAAACGCATCTTTCCTCTCCGCGGCCCCAAGCCGATTGCTGCGTAATGCGACAGAGTTGCGGTCACCTGGAGCGCTGTCCAGCTTCAAGGCGGGGAATCGGCTCTGATAGCTTTGGACCGTCTCATCCTCGAACGGAAGCCCCAGTAGCGTCTTCAAGTTGATATAAACATCATCGGGATACCGAGCCGCCAGAGCGAGCGCATCACCGCCGTAGAATCGCTCGGGGAAGAGGGCGTTGGGATCGCGGGTAGGCTTAAATGCGACAGCTGCCGATTCCTTGCGCTTTGAATCCTTGGTGAGGACGATCTCGAGCGGAATGCCAGGCTTGACGAGGGCGGCCTTGAGATATTCGGTGCCGACATCGAGTCCAAGGACGGCTGAACCGGCGGCGGAGGCTGGGCCCGCGAAGCTGAGGAGGAAGATCAAGAAGGGAAGGATGACGAGGGAGAAGATTGGAGAGGTTGGTGACCGAGACGCCATGGTCTCTGTAGTTGCTTCTCCGCTACGGAGGTAGGCCTATTGTCCAAGAATTGATCTGCGGTATAGAAGTTGGTCGCAAATTGATCAGTCGGCCAGATGATCCGGGTGTGTCGGTGATCGGCCTTGCCCGAACGGAGATCGTGGGAACCCTGGGCAGCTTCGATGGATTAGGGAAGGAGAGTCCAGGTAGAGAAAATGCGCAGCTGGACAAGAATCAGGCCATTGTCAGAAATGCCACTTGGCAGTTTGGAGCTCCTTTGATGAGGGAGACCAACAAGCTGGGAGGACACGTTGGAGGTGCAAACTTGCCAAAAGCGGTATGTTTGCACTGTCCAGATCCACCGCCCGAGGACAGCCCTAAGAACTACTACCGTAGCCTACGACATGTAGAGGTTATTATTACTAAAGGCCTACATTGTATATTTACTGCTGATACGGAAGAACGTGTGTCTGGGTTGGACAAAGCACTCGACTTTGCCTAAGAATGACATGGTTTCTGCTAGAATGAACTATACAACAACCACCCCCGGAAGAACTTTACTAGTCTAATATTAATGTTATTATTAGCTACTCCGGCTCAATTCTATTACATTTTCCCTGACAAGACATAAAACTACACCATAACGCTAGATGGCAGTAAATTGGACGCCAAAATGGACAGCTTTGACCATTCCCTTTACTAACCCCTGCTTGACTATTTATGGCGATATAACAACTTCGACCACATGAGAATAACAATAAAGATGAATCAGAAATGTCACAGAGAAAATTTTTAGAAGAGGACAAACTCAGGAAGAGAAGCTAAGACAGTCAAGAACAGAAGCGGCATAAAAGATGTCTTGGAACCTGCAGGATATCCACTGCCTTCTGAATCATTCCTAATTTTTGCATCAAAAGCTTCTACTTTTCTACTTGTTGAGTATTCTAAGCTTTCCTCCAAGAATGCTTAGCTTCTATTTGCAGCCTGTCAAACCCATGCTCTCCACATGCACGTGGGCCACTTGCAACAGCGGATATTGTTGCTGTTTCCAAGGGACCGTAGTGGCTGGCCCAGCCGCGCCTCCTAGTGTTGTACCCTCTAGCGCTGGCCCATGCTCGCCGGTGCGCCTGATAGTTAGGAAGCCACTTGCTCGTCTCGGTGACCCAATGGAAAACGAATATGAAAGTTCTGTCCAGGTATTACTTCGTGGATTTTTTTGTGGGCTTGGGTTCCCCTCATTCTCCTGGGAGAGCAGTCGTTCGTGGGTTAACCATCTTGCACCGGCAATCCACGGAAGGCTGGGGCTAAATCCGTGGGTGCATTTCCAGGCAACCCCCTTTTTTCGCGTTGTACTCTCAATCGCTCCGCTGATGTTAAATCAAAACAACGGCAGGTTAAGGTCTGTACGGGACGAACGGACTAGTCCCGCGACATATTCTGGAGATTTGATCAACAACATTCATTGTATTGGCACTGGATCTACTAGCATACAAAAGGTATTGAATACAGGATAGTTGCACGAAATGGTCTTGATGTTATGCACAGACACTAATAAACACATTGAATTAAGGTCAACTATATAAATTAATTCATTACTAGCCCTCCATCGTGAACTCGGAGGCACTTCACGCATGAGGCAGTCAACAACTCGAAGAAGAATTTTTTTTCTATGGGTTTTCGTCGGGGCTTTCTCATCCATTCACCACCAGAATGTTGACCAGAATATCAGCGCGGTATCATAATATGTCAATGCCAAAGCCAATCCGAACCCCAAACCCAATTCCAAACAAGGACGCTTGTTCCCACGTTTAGAAGAAGGCCATGAGCATAGCCAGACCGGGGATAACACCAGCCAGCGACTTCTGGGACAGAGACGCGGCGGCGTTGTAGGTCGGGGCCGGGGTGCTGGGAACGCTCGAGGTGACCGGAGGGGGAACGTACGGGGTCGAAGTGGGAGGGGCAGAGGACATGGGGGGAGGAGACACCGGCGGGGGCACGATGGTGACCGGGGGAATCACGCAGGTGGAGGTCTGGCTTCCAGTGACGACGATGGTGCTGGTCTGGGTCATCGAGGTGGGGGTGCCGCTGATGGTAGTGGGAACAACGGGGCAGGTGGTGGTGGTCCAGGTAGTCCAGATGGTGGTCCAGGTGGTATAGGGAGGCACAGTCACGGTAGGACCGCAGCCACCGGTGCAGGTCACAACGGTGGAGGTGGTGATGGTCTTGGTCGAGGTGACGGGCGAGGTGACGGGATACGAGCCACTAGTGTAGGTGGTGACGGAGACTGCAAAAGATAGTTAGTCACTGCGTATAGCTAGAAGTGTAGTTCATATACGTACAGGGGCAGGTAGTGGTGGTCCAGGTGACGGTGACGGTGGTCACTGAGGGAGGAGGAGTAGTCACATAGGGAGGAGGAGTGGTGTCGCAAGGAGTCGACACGGCCGGCGGCGAGGTAGGCAGCGTGGGGGTGTCACACGGAGTGGACGTCTCCGGAGGGGGAATATAGGAAGAGCTCGTATCGCAATCCTCCCCACGCTTAGCTAGAGCGGCATCATTGGGCAGAGCGCTGGACGAGACCAGGCTGGCGGCGCAGAGCAGAAAGATAGAGACGGCACGCATCTTGTCGAGTATGTTGTAAGTAAACGAAAGGCTATAGGACCTGTAACGAATGGAGGTTCCTAAACGGGAAATATGAAGTACAGCGGTACGAGAGCGGAAGAGAATGAGGATGAACCAGGAAGAGGGCCCGGCGGGATGACAGGCACATTTATGTACCTCCGGGCTGGACCCAGCGTTCGGCTGGCCGCGAGTGGGACGTGGCGACGATGCAGGGCAAACCGGTCTGCCTGCTTCTATTCGTGGCATAGTGCGGGAGACGAGCCCGTACCACCCTGGTAAACCATGCTGGGGCCGCCGACCCCGTTTCCAAACATGATTCTACACTGCCTCAAGCGAGAGCGGATCCTGCAGCCGGGTATTCTTCCGTGGATCCTAGATTGGGCGGAGCGTTAGGCCTGCGTCGGAAGGATGCACGCTAAGATACTAGCTCAGGCGTCGTTGGCTCGGCGACAGGGGAGCGACCAATGATAAATTCACCTCGCGATAGAGCGAGTCGATTTAGTTAGTCCATTTGGGGTCCAGTTGTGGCGGGTCCAACTTTTAGTCCCTATTATTATTATTATTATCGTACCCACTTGTATCATCCGGAACGAGACCGATCGATAGCTCACCTGGGCTGCAGTGGGGGTACCCAGATCGGTGTCTTCAGCCGTGATGAGTGCTGGGAGCAATTTGTTCCAATGCCTCGTTCGATTAGAAATCGACCGCCGGTATGGGGACTCTGACTGCGGTACGGCCAATCCATCCGGCAGACACCTCAAAAGATACCTGCTGCAGCAGAGAAGAGACAGCGGGCGTGTCGGGGTTTTGTGGGGAAACCTCGCGAATGAACGGCCGCGATATACATGGCTACTAGCCCTAAGGAGGACAGAGGCCCTCGGACCAAGATATTTGACCCGATCATGATTGGTGGATTGCATTATCGTAACTTCATTCGGTCATGATCGCTCCTCTTCGGAGAAGCAACCGACGGGGTCATGGCGTTAGGGTGACAGGCTCTGCCCAGTGGACCAGTCATGCAGACCACGAGTGTTCCTGCAGCAATCCGGGGCCATCACTGCCAGATCGAATACGAGTCAAGAATAAGAAAAAAACAGGGGAGACTGGACACGTCCAAAAGAATCCAACCGAAAAGCCATCAACGATCATGCCTCGGGTGTACCTGACGGAGGCGTAAGAAATGCAGGTAACGTTACATGACCGCAAGACCTTTCGCTCCGTCGTCCGACATGAGGAGCTGACCCACAGTACACTACTGTGTGTGAGCTGGCGGCGCCCAAAGCAAGACCCTCCACAAACATGCGTGTGGTAACTGTGCTTGCGAGCGCTAGCACTGGAGCAACCCTGGAACCCAGGGGTCAGAGAGCCCACGATTATTGGCGCGATACCGGGCATCAGGGGTATTAGGCTTAGTGATGTCAATGGCGGTTTCACGGGGCCCTGCTTTGAACCTTGGCGCCCACCCCAGCTGGTGTCTCGGAAGCGATGGCTCGCCACTCGTATTTATTTTATTTTTTTAATTCCTGTGTAATAAACATCAATTGAGGTCATCGTGCGCCGGAGGAATACATCTCCGACCCCTTCCAGGCTGGCGGAATTAGCCCCCGAAGGTCTGGCAGGTATGGCAATAAATAATCGTGGACGAAGTGCTGGAAACTGGGAAGGGTGCAGGGGGAGGTGGAAACGGGGGAGAAAACAACATGTGAGACACGGATTTTGGCCAGATCAGTGGGATCCATGCAACCAACGTGAGTCAATCGTAATTAACGGCGAGCCTTACGGTCTTGGCTTGTAGGCTCGCGCGCCATGTCTCGGAGTCTAGAAGCCTGGTGATATTCATTCTTGGCTGGGCGCCTGTTTCTGTTTATTTAGGGGGTTATTTAACTCCTGGGCAGGTTGTGTCTTGTTGGTTGGCTCGGATCTTAACAGTCAAACGGTACCATGGCTCCCAATTTCCCAGAGTCCGGGAATGTGGAGATCTATTCTTAGAGAGAAACAATAATAATAGCAATGTGAGATGGTCCGATAACAATACAATAGTCATGATCTCGCCAGCTGGGCAGCCACAACGGTTCAAGACATCAATCTAATCGTCTTCCTCGTCAGAGCCACTGCTCCACCCGGTCTGGTAGGTCTCTCGAATCTCGCCCAAGCCATTAACCAGCGCCTCGCGCTCATCCACCGACACCATCCGTGCGGCAGTCGCTTCAATTGCCTTGATTCTCTCGGCGGTTCGCGAAGAAGTGGTCAGCGCCGCAAAAATGTCCACGCCCGACCCGGTCTTCGGTGGAGTGAACATGCCATGGGGGAAACTATCGAGTTGGGGGAAATGAAGTGGCGTGTGATAGCTGCAGCAAAAAGTTAGTCTACTGGTCATCATCACACCCGTCAGTCAGCAAACCACGCACCTGTGAAGCATCGGTTTCGAATGGTACAGTCGGAGTTTGCGCAGATGGCCAATGTCCCCTGATCCAGATGCATCTAGCGAGGCTGTCTGATTACCCGGCTCGCTCCCGCGGGTCACTTGAATCTGATTGAAGATATGAGGTGTCTTGCTGTCTTCGCCACCATAAGTAAAGTCGATATCAAACTTCGTTTCGACTTCGGATGATCCATCCTCGTTGAGTGACCGGTGCTGGCCGGCATCTTGAACAATAGTCGACTGCAGCTCAAAAATATTGTGTGTGCCGTCATCCCCGGCAAGCGAGGCCTCGAATTGCTGGTAGGGCCGTAGCCTCGACGGCAGTGTCACAGTCTCAACGGCCGAACTGATCAACGCCGATGTCTGCCACTCTGAGTGACGATCAACATTAAGATATCCCGGAAGCTTGGGTGGCAGGTCCATGATAGGGACGTAAAGATTACACTGGGGCGATATAGAGCAGAGCGACCGGGCCTTGTTGACGTCCTTTTTGATCTGCCGGTGCTGCACAGAAATCAGCATACATGTCCCTGCATAACATGACGTGCCACTTACCCGCTGGACCCTGGTGCCATCCTCAATCGCCCAAGACCAAAGACTCGTCTTCCCATACTCATCTTTCAGTCTGTCCACATAGCGAGCCGCAAACCCACCCCAAGCATCGTCTGACCCGAGGAATAACTGTAGAACTCGCAGCTGGTCGCACTCCTCAACAAAGGGCCGGAGGTCGCGATCTAACAAGTCATGTTCCTTGTCGAGCTCGCTGAAAAGTTCTTCACCTGCGTCCCAGTCTTCAAACGGCATGATCTGGGAATTCAATTCATACTCGTTCAGCTGCACGACTGACTTGGGATGATAGAACACTCTATTGTAGTCTGACCAGTAGCGCACCGTCTCCGAGGTCAGTCGCGGTGCTGGTGTGCCGGCGTCTAGACTCTTTTGGTATTCACTCTGCGGGATCGGCGGTTGTTTTTGAACCACCTCTTGTCCATCCCTGATAGAGAGATGTTAAAAGTCCTGTGCGAAGATACTCTTGAAGGTGCCTACCATAAGCTCTGAGCGGCCGTCGAGTCTTCCGTTAGTTCGTAAAGCGCATTATACTTGCGAAGAGTGCCAAAGCCACCCTTCAGATCATAGATCACTGTGCGTGGAGTGTACGTCTCGGAGCCATCAGCTCCAACACCCGGCCGAAAATGGACATCATGGTCCACGGGTGGCTCCTCTTCGTTGTACGTAAAGTATGATTCCTACGGATGATTATCAGACCAAATACCACCGGTCGCACCAGAAAGCACTACCTGCAGGTTCCAGAAATGAGTTGCCAGATAGTTGGCCCGCTGGCCGAACTGCAACGAGACAATCTCATGCATTTGTTGAAGATGGCGAACTGAACAGTATCTTCGATGTCGCACAGACCAGTCCGAGCGTGAGATAGTCACCTGACACAATATGGCTGATTAATCTGTTGTCCAGGGCAACGGTCAGCTGATCCTGCCCGCTTGGGCAACAAACATCGTCACTCGCGCGACTCCACAAACGGTGATTTCCTCTCGTCCATCCCCTGTCATGCTCCTCGCCTGCCCATGACCCGTTGATAATCCTCTGTCGCCTGGATATATCAACCCCCGACAACGACACCCGCGATGGAGTCCCCCACGCGTCCCATCCTCAGCCCATCCAAAGTCCTCCATCCGGTCTCCCCGGAACGCATGAATCAACAAGGCCTGCCGGTCTCACCATCACTACCCACAGACCTCCTCTCCCTACACCACAAAAATACCAAGGGTGTCTCTGAGGTTCAGGCCAAGGTCGCTTTTCTGAACAATCTCTCGCGGCAGGGGAGCCCTGTTTCCGCAAACCGGTTGTCACCCGCCGACAATGCCGCCCTGCAGAGGGCCATACTAGGCCGCGAAGAGGCCGAGTCTGCTCTTGCCTCAGTATCCGACCAGCTTTCCGAAGCGCAATCCCGAGAGCGCCGCATCAGCGAGCGTCTCGAGTCTTTGCTAGAGGAGTTGCATGGGACCAAAGAACGCCAAGCACATGAACGCTCCATCTTCGAGAAGGAAATTCGAAAGGCGCGCAAAGAGGCATTTCGTGCGGGATCGACCCTGGTGAAGGTGCAAGAAGAATTCAAGCACTCGAAATCAGAAGTCAAGGCCTTGAAAGATGAGGTCAGTGCCGAGAGGGAGGCTAAGGATCAGGCGAAGCAGGAAGCATTCGAACGTGCCTATGCTCTCGCCGGCCTCACGGAAGAACTCCAGATGCTCAAGGAAAAGCTACGCTCCGTTGAAACAGACCATCGTTCGAGTACGCTGGAAATCCGAGCACACGAGATGCGGAGAGAAGATGTCGGTCGGATATCACTGGCAGAAGGCGACCTTGCCTTCTTGACCACCCCCCGCCGGCCAAAGAGAGCTGCTGCGGATTCTGTCAGGTCCCCTGTACCGGAACAAGAAAACACAACTGAAAATACGCCACCAAAGAGACAACGCCTGTCAGACTGCACACCTCAAGTCGAAAAAGACGATGCCGTGGATACGGATTCAGCACCATCGAACCAGAATCAAGACGAACTGGACGATCTTAAGGACGAGCTGAAGTATGAGAAGCGCCGCAGAGTTGAAGCGGAAGAAATGATTCACTTCCTCAACATCGAGTGCCAATTCGAACGGTGCTCATGCCGCATCGCGGAAAGCCAGGGTCGCCGCTACATTTACGACGCCGAATATTTTGAGAAATACCAAAAGCCCCAGTTGGAAGAGGCCGCACGACGCAGCGCCGAACGAAAGAGCGCGGAATCTATCCCAACCAGACATGCCAACCCGATTTCTCCCCTCGACCGCCCTCAACCGGAGCCCATTGTCAAGTCTGAGCCAGCAGATCCACCAGAGAAGATGCAGGCCCCTGCAGAGCCCTTGGTGACCTTCTCGCCGGAAACTGGGACCTTCCGCACCTTCCCTTCGCCCATTCGAGACAGCGCCAGACCCACGCCACGGGATTCTTTCGCAACGCCCGAGCTGGCTGAACTCCATACCGGCGCTCATGAGCAGCCATCTGCATCTTCCAGTGCTGCTCCTTTCGACTCATTCACACCCTCGGGTGAACCCATCGGAACGTCTCACACCACTCCAGACGTTGCAGAGAACCACGAACGCCCGAAATCCATAGAATATCGACCTACGCGACGCCCTGCTGAGCGAGAAAACCACCAGCACCAGCCTTCGACGCGAAGGGTCCCTTTGCGAGCAGCACCCGAACCTCACACTACCATCTCCGACACACCCATCAACCGAGAAGACGCCCTAGCGCAAATCAGGGCACGGCGGGGCCGGGCCCGCAGTATGAAGCGATCCGTGAGTGCGAATGAAGCTACTGGCCGATCAGGCGGCTCATCCGGCTCCAGCACGACGACCCCAGGCAGAGGCCCCCGGCGCGTCCCCAACACCACGCGGCCAATAGCCAAAAGCGAGAACGACCTGGGTGAACGCCGCGACTTGAGCGCCCCCGTTCGCATGTTCCGCCGATGATTGATTTGATCCGTATCGGGTTGTCGTACTTGCATAGTTAGCGGGTTGGCCGGATACATACAATCGGTTTCTTATCTTTTCGTTTGGGTGTGTTTGTTCTTGTCGATTTCTTCTCATCTCATTAAATACCCCCCCTTCCTTTCTCGGCGTTCAGGGCATGCGGTGCATCACGTCTATTACATTACATTCGTTCTTTTGCATCATCGTCCTCGGCCATGGCTTCATTGTGCTCTTTCCGACTCTTGCATCGCGCTCAAAAACAATTGGCTTTTTTATCTTGTCTGAGCCTTGTTTTGGTCTTTCGTTGAGCTGTGGCGTCAAGAGTGTTTTACCTGTCTATCTCGCATGCATATCTGTTCTGACGGCGGTTTCTATACCTTCTTGTCTATAGTTTTAATACCTTGGATAATTCACACTTTCTTGGTCATTGCTCCCGAATATAAGCACTCTATAATGCTGCAACTCAAGATAGGGATCAAATTTACGTCGCCATGAAATGTATGATATGGCTTAGACATGAACAACAAGGCACAAGCAGATCAAGTTGAAAGTGTGGGTATGTAATTACAGCAAGATGCAGACACCTCCAAAAAGAAAATCAGAAATCAGCTCTACAAGATAGAAATACCACAACATCTAATGCGCGCACTATCCACCCGCGCAGAGCGTCCCCACCAGAGCGAAACAAGCTCCTCGGCAAAGATGCGATCTGTTGCACTCCATACATCAAGACCCATCTCCGCCATGTCGGCAATGGTGATCGTGACAGGGTCAGCTGCGGCATCGACATCGGCGGCACGGTTCGATCGGGCATCATTCTCGGAGGAGCGGTTGTGGGCGCTTGAGCGCTGGCGGAGGAGAGGCGTGTCGCCGTCGTCTGTGGGCAGGGACTGGCGGGACATGGATAGGGAGAGGTCTGGGACGTTGCCCCCGGCGGGGTCGTCGAAGTAGGACGGTGTCTCATTAGGGACATCTGGGTAATCCTGTCCGTCGCTACTATCGTTCCGTGCAATGGCTTCGGCGAGCGTGACGAAGATCTGGGTCGTGAGGCGACGGAAGTAAGCCACCAGAGCCACTTCGGGCGGTTGCCGCGCCGAGTCGTCGGAGTGTGTGGTGCCGCGCCGTCCGATGCTGTTGTTGGTCGGGGTGAAGGCGAGGCTCTCCACGCTTGCCAGGAGGCGACTGTCTTGCTCAATCTGTTGCTCCTCTTCTTCTTCGGAGAGGCCGTCGCGGTTCTCGCCTGCGGAAGCCCACCAGATGAACGAGGTGTAGGCAAGACGCGTCCAGGAGAGGGGCTCGACGATGGCGCTGGAGGAGTACGTTGAGTCGGAGTCAGAATCGTCGTCCGATCCGGAGGCTGTGGTGCGGTCTTGTGAGAAGTTACGGAGACCTCTGCGCAGCATGTGGTAGCGCCGGGCGTCGCGCTGCGTTGCTTTCAAGTGGACGGTTTGGGTGGTATTGGGCTTGGAGCCGGGGGTGTGCATCAGTGCGATTTTGGGAAAGGTGCGTTCTGTCGCATGGCGGGAGTAGGGCGGAGGCAGGGTCACGAGCGCGTCGTAGAGGTCGGGTTTCAGGCTCAGGACACTGTCTGTCGAACAGGCGATCCAGCTTCGGTCCGTGTCGGGGTCTAGTCGAGCGTGAGATGGGTCGAGGGTGGCAAGATAGGGAATATCGTGGATGCCGACGTTGAAGAGCGGGCGAGGTCGGAGATTCGGGATGCGGTCGGTCGGGAGGAATTCCAGAAGGGAATTCGGCAAAGAGGCTAACAAGGACAAATCATATACTAGATGGCAATTATTTAGTGGTGGCTCACAAGCACATGGGCGGAGAAACATACCATAGTTGCAAGGAGTGTGCACGGGAGCTTCGGCCATGAAGAGAATGCGTTTGCGCAACAAGGCCGCTCTGTAAAGAGGAAATATCAAGGGACCGAAGCAGTCGATAAAATCAGGGAGCGACGAGGCAGGGTGGAAAGGCGTCAGGGCCGGCCTGAACGTTCCCAACAACATGGCATCGCTAAAGGCGCGGTTGCGATTGTCCGGCCGCTCGCCGGGGGAAACCGGAAACTGATGGGGGACTCGACGGGGGAGTCGGTGGTGTCGGCTCCTCCGATCTGAAAGGCGTCCCAGTAGTCGCACATCGGCTGCTCATCGGACATGTTCGCGGCGTATTTCCTGTCCATCAATCCGAGTATCAGCTGGGAGGTTCACGGCGAAGGCCAGGGGGAACACGAACAGCGTCAGTTCCTTGAGTCTCGGGGCATGTCTCCAGCTCTTCCCCAGTCTCCCCGAGCTAAGGGGCACGAGAACGCCGATGGCGAACATATTCGCATTGCGCTCCGCCTCTTCGGCAGGCTGGTTGAGGAACGCGCTGATCCCGGCATACTGCTCATGGACGAAATAGCTAGATTGGAAGAGGGTTGGGTTAGCAGGGCCAGGTAGCATGAAGAAGAAAGCATACACTAGATCATCGGTCACATTGTGCAGGCCAGAGGGAAGCGACTTGTATTCGACCACCCCTTCCACCTCAACTATCCCGAAGTCAGATTGCGCGTCGGAATGAGAGACAACTTCGGCTAGATCAATCGATTGCTCACCTCCGGGTACAGTGCGCTTCCACGAAACCACATAGCTAGGGACAAGGCGCGTCAGTCAACGCCCTAGTGGGGTCGAGTTGGAGCCGACGGGGAAGGGATAGCTTACCCGGTGCGAATGTCAAAGCGGATAACGAACAGGGCCGCAATGCCCGGGGGCAACTCCATGGTCGACGAGCGCGAGATGTCAAGGGCGGCGGGCTTCCTGGTAGATCCGGGGACCATCACAATGGGCAGGCACGGAGCAGCAAAGATCCATTTAGCGAGCAGATGCTGGAGGATCGCGGAGCAGGAGGGGTGAAGTCGGGAGGACCTGGCTGGTGATGTGGTGCCTGAGGCATCCAAGTAACCATGTCGGTGATGTCATTCCAAGTACCGTAGAGGAGATAGTTAGTATTCAATTGAGAGGGAGAGTCCCCCAATGCTTAGATAGATGATATCAGAAACTCCGATCGAAACTATTATTTGTTGGGTGTTTAGTTGGGAGACCGGCAGATCTATACCTCTGTTGTAGCCTAGAATATATATCCGGCAAAGACCCTACTCACCACTTGCCCTTGAAACATCAGAGACCAAAGCCAACACCCATTTATATTCCATTATCTTTGGACCTTTAACATCCCCTCAGAGCGCCCTGTGGTTCCATTGGCTCTGTTGTGAACGGGTCCGCCCGGCGATCTTCCGTCCCAAGAAAAGCCAAGTAAACATCACTTCGAAAATCGCCAATGCCCCCATTATAGCACCGAACTGCCGTTCCTTGCTGTCACCGACATGACCTGGTATTCCCACCTTTTCTCCGACGCACCAATGCGGGAGACCTCACCATCCCACCCCTACTACCCCCTGGACGCTGCTATTGAGGGCTATGTACCCAACACAACCCCCGTTCTCGAGCTACTCATCTCCGCCGGCGGAGCATGTTTGATCCTCCTCAGCACGACCTTTGCACTCATCAGCTATGTGCGACCGACACTGCGGATGGCAGATCGGATCGCCATCTTGTGGTTCGTGCTCTGTATGTACCGATGAGCCTAGCGGCGCAGAGTTGGGATAAGACTGACCACAAGCTTAGCCGGGACTCTGCACTGTTTCTTCGAAGGCTATTTCATGATCCGCCATGCCCACATGGCCTCGGCCCAGGACCTGTTCGGGCAGCTGTGGAAAGAATACGCGCTGTCCGACTCGCGGTACATGACGTCGGACACCCTCGTCCTCTGCATGGAGACCATGACGGTGCTTCTCTGGGGCCCGCTGTGCTTTGTCGTGGCGTCCTTGATCGCAGCCCGACACTCTCTGCGCCACCCTTTCCAGCTGCTGGTGTGCATGAGCCACCTCTACGGCGATACGCTGTACTATGCGACGAGCCTCTTTGACGACTATGCCAAGGGGCGGCCTTACTGCCGTCCGGAGCGGTATTACTTCTGGCTGTATTATTTTTTCATGAACTTTATCTGGATTGTGGTGCCGGCTTGTATGTTTTTCTCTTGGTTATTGTGATATGGACGCTGCTGACCGGGACACCAGACTATCTTTATGACAGCATCACGACCATCTCGGCTGCTCTGAAGCGAAACGAGGAGTCGGCAGAAGAACGGAAAGCCCAGTAGTGCCTGTTCCGACATCACCACGGGCCGTGTTGTGGAGCAGGACAGAATTAGGTCAGGCATGGCACAGGCTGGCCCAGATTGCGATGGCGAGAGAGAACCGCACGAGACGTGAAATAGATTTATCCATATGAAAAAAGTTAGCAGTAACATGACCGGCGACAATAATCATCAGAACCAGCACCACCACCGCAGGAACACACCGTTGCTGACTATCTCTCTCTGATCTTACACACACTCTCCCTTCCTCAACTCTTCACCTCTCTCCTAACCACGTCGAACTTGTGATCGCATCATCTGCAGAACACCAGCGATCGCAGGCGACCCGGGCTCGGCCAGGCGCGTGATCGGCGGAATCTGGTTACCCGGGCAGCGACAGAGTGTCAGAGGGGCTTATCGCCAGACTCGATCAGCCGCGGACGATCGATTGTTTACTTCTGCGTGTGCATTTGACATCGACAATTATTATTTCATTTGTTCCAGTTGTTGACCCAACGAGGCCCCGGCCGAGGCGCCGACCTGGTAAGTAGACATTTTCGGTCAAAACAAACATCGGCTAGCTGCAGCGCCAACCAACCCCAACTCGAAAAGGCCCTTGCTAAATACAAGGTTGGCCGCTGTCGCCATCGCAGATCATCCATGCCCTCTCCTGCAACACCGCACCGCTCCTCAAACCGTGGAGGCAGTGCCAAATCCACGCCGACCACGAGGCCGTTGGACATTGGCCAGCCGCTCGGCGTCCACGACACGAACTCGGTCCGTTCGCGCGTCCGAACATGGCAGCAACAGGGTGGTGGTGTCGTCGCCGTCGATGACCCCTGCGGCGCTGAGGATGAGGAAAATAATGCGAACAAGGCCAAGCCAAAACCAAACAGGGTGAATGTTGACCGGGTGGACAAGGCCGTCAACAAACCCGCGCCCGCGCCGGCCCCGGTCGCCAGGAAGCGCAGCCACAGCACACCCCGGAAACGAGTCATTAGCGATGAACACTGGAAGAGGAGCCGGGCAATGACTCAGACGCCGTCGCGTAACCAGCCTGCACCAAATCGCATCTCGCAGTACACCGTCAATGACCCGACGGGCTCCCCACGCGCGAGGAAAGAGGATAGGAGAGACGAGAAAGACAGAGACAAAGATCGGGAACCTCCTCCACGCTATGGTGCCAGACGATACACTGGGCCGAGCTCTAGGTCACCGGTTCGTGATGCGAAACCCTCGACTTCTCGGAACAGGCTCGACTCTTTTGCCGGCAGCGATTATGGCACTGGTGATTCCAAAATCATTGCGCTTTCCGTTTCAGATATTCCTGATGATACGCGGAGAGAATCTCCTCCACCGGAGGACACAGACTGGGCACGAAGCGAAGCCGACTTCTCTGAATTATCTAAACGAAGATCCGGCGCCGTGGGCCAACCTGCTCGCAAGCTGTCAAAACCACCCAAAGGTGGCATATTCGCGCACATGATCGACGAATCCAAGAAGATGTTTGGACGGCCGGACCCCGACCCCGAACCACCGAAGCCTGCTCAACCGGTAAATCGAGGATCCAAGATCGAGGCATGGCTCTCCGAGACACCTGACCCTTTCCTCGACGATGCTACTTCTACCTCTGACACGAAGACCACCAGGTCAAGACGTTCCAAAACTCTGACCGAATCAGACCGTGATGCCGAATCGTCACTGAATAGCGAACCTCGTCCAAAAAGCTCTCACATCCGGTATTCCAAGGCCAAGGACATTTCTCCAGAGACCGACAAATCCTACAAGAAATCCGAGAGAGAAGTCTCCTCTAATGACAAGAGAAGGAGCACAGAAACAAGTCTAACGTCGCCGAAGTCACCACCGAGGAACAAGGAATACAAAACAACTCGTTATAAGATCACTGATGGAAAAGCTTCTCCTTACGTGCCAGAACCATCTCTCTCGGACGGATCAGAAGTCTCAGGCCACAATGCACCTGTACCCCTGGGCCGCAGGAAACCATTCCCAAGCACTGGTTTCCACCAACTCTCGACGATCGCTTCAGTTGAAACTCTGAGTACGCTCACTGAAGGTGCTGCAACATCGCCCGAAAAATTTGGCGACACGGAGAAAAATAGATCGATCATGGAGGAAGAGGAAGAGAAGCAAGATCAATTTGACCCCGACTCCCTGCCCGCGGTTTCGTCCCAGCTCAAGCGACGACTCACCACCAACGATGATTTGATGTCTGTTCTGTCAGGGCCGACAAGCCGACGACGCAGCATTCGGTCCGCTCGAAGCATTCGCACCAATAAAAGCCGGCTGGAAAATGCGACGGTAACCGATTTACTACAAGAGCTTGCTGCGGACGAAGCCAAATACATGCGAGAGCTCAAAACGCTGGTCGGCGGTGTCATCCCCGTACTGCTGACCTGCGTGCTCTCACGCTCCGATTCTGCCATCGCAGCCGGTCTGTTCCAGCCCTCGATGGACCCCAAGGATGACATGAATTTTTCAAAACCCATAGTCAATATGGGCGTGGCTATTGAGCGTCTGAAGACATTACACAAGCGCATCCCACAGGACAATGTAGATGCTTTGCTTACATGGGCTCAAGGTGCCCAGCGAGTCTATCGCGAATACCTCCGAGCGTGGAGACTTGGATTCAAGGATGTGATTGTGAACCTCGCTCCTCTGGAAGAAGGCGAGAACACGAACGCGGAGACGAAAAGTATCGATGAAGGCCTGGAGCGAGATGAGAACGGCGATGTGATCGGTAGCGACGGCGAGAAGGTAGATGTCGCATATCTGTTGAAGCGGCCGTTGGTTCGACTCAAACACCTTGCGAAGAGCTTCAAAGGGATCAACATGCTCCAGCCATCACAAAAAGCGGAGGACACCGCCGTAGCCTACCAGTCTCTTGTCGTCGATGCCCGAAAACGCGCCCGGGAGGAGAGAGCAAGGCTTGAAGATGAATCCGCTGCACGAATTGATGCCACCCGGGCTCGAGACCCGATGACCCTGGGTGTCTGTCATGGTGTGACTGTTGATCAGGACCGACGGGTTCGGGCTCGAGATTTCTTCAACCTGTCGATTTATCATTCAACCGGACAGTTGGTTGACTGTCGAGCGGAGCTTCTGTACAGAGACAATCCATCAGACAAGGGCCCCGGTGGAGATCTGCTAATTTGTGAGCTCGACCATTCTGATCGTTGGCTACTGTTCCCACCGATGGATCTCCGATGCGTATCAGCTCGTAAGGGAGATGTGAAGGGTGAACTTGTGGTGATGCTACGCAGTGCTCCCGATTCACAGAAATACTGGCAAGAACTGTTATCCCTCCGCATCGACGACGAATCCATTAGACTCGAATGGCTTCAACTCTTAGGCTCAGACCCCGTTCCACCATCGATATGCCGAAGCCAAAGCTTTATCAGCCGAGCCAAACAACACCGGGCACGAAGACCGGCGGCTAATGATTCCCCTCCACGGCACAACCAAAGCGACGTTGATATCCCCATTGGCGAGAAAGCTACCAGCAAACGGCGTTCTGTCACCCCTAAGGAGCAATATTCTGAACCCAGCACTGTGAGCTCCGCAATCACCGAGTCAAGGAGCTCGGTGTACTCAACTGCTACTCGTGAGACCGACTACACTACTGGAGGATCGGAGCTGTCAACCAAGCCATCTCGTCCTGGTCTTCCGCTTCTTCCTTCTACAACCTCGAGTGTGGACAAGACGTCCTCGGGCCTGAAACGATCCAAGGCTAAAAGACTATCTCGTTATGGAGAGAGCTCGGCCTCTGAAACTGTCTCTCCCAAGCCTGTTGTGCCTGAACAAGCGGGCGAGTCTCCTTCCATGCCGAGCAGGTTCTATGGTGAAGATGCAGATACAGTTCGAAACACCGGATCTCCTAGAGAAAAACGACCCCAGAAGACCGCTCGTCAGGACTCGCCCGAGGTAGAGTCTCCGCGTTTATCGACAGTTCCATCAACAGAGCTGCCTATGATCCCCAAGATTCGGAGTAGCAGCAGCCAAACCCACTTGTCGTCGCCTTCTACTCTCGAACCCGAAGAAGACTATCCGCCACTTGAGTCACTTCCCGATTCGGATGTCCCAGAGACTCCAACAAAAGCCAGGAGAAGGTCTCAACGGAAATCCAAGAAGGAAGACGAATCTCCGCCTCCCCCTCCGCCGCCTCATCGCTCGCCAAGTCCCGCCACAGGGAAAATCGCCAGCTCTCCTGTTCTCACCCCAACTGGGCCTTATATCAAGAGACGGGGTTCTTCTCCGCTAAAGCACGAGTATGAACCATCTACGGCTTCCGATTCCTACTCCGACTCGGACACATCCACAGTGCGGCACTATAGCTACTCCTCGTCATATACGGACTCCGATTATTCGGACTCCGATTCTTCATCCCCGGAGGATGACTATCTGGAACCTCCGAAACCCAGGGTGTCTGCCTCATCTACCACAGGCACAAGCTCTCTGTCTCCATCCAACTCAGCATCGCAGGCCGGCTACCGCACGGTGCCTTTGCAACCGGCCAAGTCATCAAAGGCAATTGCATTCGTCTTTGCCTGGTCCAACAAAGGTACTTGGGAGACTCTGTTCCCTGACGAATGCAACGTCATTGTCAGCCCGGGTCTCATCGAGGCCTTCAAGATGGGCGTCGACCCCAATACAATGTCCCCCGAGCGAGGGGACAAGACTTCCCGGTCATCGAGACCTCTTATTTCCCTTGAATTGACACCGCTAGTACCCATCCGCCGCGGAACTGCCATCGACATCAGTATCCGCTCTCCTCCAACCGAGCGGTCTAGAATCACGTTCAGCAACAACATCATGTTCCGATCCCGTGGGCCAGAGGAGTGCGACGCTCTCTACGGACTCATCAACCAAGCGCGGATCAACAACCCAACCTACATCGCCCTTCAGAACGCTCGCGGTCCTTTCCAGGACCAACCCCTACCATCCTTTGAGCCAGCGACAGCCAAACCCTCCTCGGGAGGCTGGTTCGGTTGGCCCCGACGCAGAAGAAGCTACCGTGCCTCCGCCTCCCCGCGCTCCCTAGCCGAAGCATCGGAAAGCAGCGTCGGCACCATGAGCAGCGCCTTCTCGGCCCTGAAACGCTTCGGTGCAGGAAGCAAGGCATTCAACATCTCCCGCTCGACCGTCACCTCGCGCACCGGCCGCGAAGGCAGCATGTCTTCGTCTGCCAACTCAGGCTCCAACCACTCGCCCAGCTCAGGCATCGGCCGCATCGCTGCAGCAATCAAGGGCGTAGATGGCATCGGACTCTCCAACGCCAAGATCCGCCTCTACGTCCGTGAATCAGCCTCTAAATGGCGCGACATGGGCGCCGCCCGTCTAACAATCATGCCCGCCCCACCCAAGAACCCACCATCTCGCCCCAGCACTGCCGTCAGCAGCCGTAGCGATAGCAGCACCACCGCTGCTGCCCAAGGGGACAGAGAAACCAGCCAGGACAGCGCAACCGGCAGCTCCCCTCCAGCCTCGGGTGCCACCTCTCCACGCCGCGAGCCCCTGCCCGTCGACCCCGAGAAACGGATCCTAATCCGCGGCAAGACTCGCGGGGAGACTTTGCTAGACGTCTGTCTGCCCGAAGGTGCGTTTGAGCGCGTCGCGCGCACGGGTATTGCTGTCTCTGTTCGAGAAGAGAATGAAGGCGCCATAGCGAAGAAAGGAGGCGTCACTGCGGGATCGCAGCGCGTTTATATGATCCAGATGAAGAGTGAGGCTGAGGCGACTTATACTTTTGGTTTGGTGGGGAAGTTGCGCTATTGATTGATTGATTGATTGACTGATGATCGTTGTGGTGTGCTGTGTTGGGGTCCCACAGCTATGTGGCAAGCATCTATCGCATGGGTGGACGGTGTGCTTCTATTTGGTGTTTGTTTTGTTCGCATTAGATCTCATCTACCTATCTCCTTTTGCGGTATTCCTTCATTTGTACATTTAGTTTAGACTTCTTTTGGTTGAATTGAATTGGACTTCTTTGGATTCCTAAGCATCCTTGTTTTCTTCCTAGCTACGAGACTGGGGATGTAGTCGAGATGAGTGCGGTAGCGAGATGCAACGGCGTAATGCCTTGGTGTATTCTAGGAAGCAGTCTGAAAACCGGGGTATAGACCATCTATCCTAGCCTGCAGGACTGGTACTTCTCGGATTTACTTTCCGGGAATCAAAGCCATAGGAGTGTGGAGGTATAACTGATTTCGAAAACTACTGTAACCGACACTCTAGATGAATGCACAGCAATGTAAAATCTAAAACGGTCTATCATAGGCCCTGACGTAGTCCTATATAACAAGCACCATATCCTAAACAATATCAAATCGACGACTTTCCAGACAATACCCGAGCCGTCGACGCAACACTCCTTCCTATGAACCGGACACACCCCCCGGCGCAGAAGCGGTATCCACCTCGGCGCCGCTGGTCTTCTTGAAGATATAGTCCACGCAATTACACTCATCTTTCAGTAAAGACAGGAGGACATCATCGTCAACCGCGGCGGCGAGCTCCTCTTCTTCTTCGACACTGGCAGCATGTACCAGGAGAGACGGATCCAGGTGTGCGTACTGCGCAAGGGATTGGTGCATCTTGTCCTTTTGCTGGTCGCTCTTTTTACTTTTGCCCTTTCGGCCTGATCTCTGGGCGCGGCTGTGAGATCTGTCGCGGATGGAGCGTTCTTGCTTTTCCATGTCGACTTGGGAGGCTTTGATGAGGGTTGAAAAGCCGGGGAGATCGAAGTTGTCTTCGTCGTCGTCGGAGAGGTCACTCAAGTCACTCATACCGGATTTGGTGTTGTTGGGTGTATCCGCACCAGACGAAGAGGCAGACACGCCTTTGCCGCCGCAGTCACAGCCCAAGAGATCGTGCGTCTGGCATTCACTTTCCTGGTCTAGCCGAAAGAGATCGCGCAGCTCGGCAGTTGAGAACTGAGCCACGCTATTCTTATGCTCCATAACGCTGTCCGCGAGTCCGAGCTTGGTCACCTGTCGTTGCCAGATCTTCTCTTCCAGACTTCCCTTGAGGAGCACGCGATAAATTCGGCAGGGACGTTTCTGGCCGTCACGGTGGATGCGCGCCATAGCTTGGATGTCTGTTGCCGGGTTCCAGTCCACATCGAAGAGAACGAGACGGCTCGCGCCGATGAGATTGAGGCCGGTGCCGCCTGCTTTGGCTGACAGCAGGAATGCGAAGCAGGCGCTAGCTGGTTGATGGTTGAAATCGTCGACTAGGCCCTGTCGTTTCTGTGCCGGCGTACTTCCGTCTAACCGTAGAAAGGGCAGACCGAGGGATGTCAGAAGCGTGGCGAGGAGGTTCAACGTTGAGGTGTAGTTGGAGACTAGAACAATCTTTTCGGATGTGGTGTTCCGTAGTGTGTCGAGTAGCTGGTCTAACACTCGAACTTTGGCGCTTGCGGATGGGGAGAAGTGGCGGAGCATTCCCGGGGGAAGCGATGAAATAAGAGAGGCGATGGTTTCGCTGGGTGTGCCATTGTTGTTATTTGCGGTCAGCAAGGACGGACTGTTGCAGAGCTTCTTCAAAATAGTGATGAGCTGGAGGGCGCTCTCTGCATTGCCGATAGCAGACTGAAAGATAGGCGAGGAAAGCACAGCCTGGTAGATATTCGCTTGAGTGCGGGTTGGTTTGCAGAAGAGCACGTATTCTGACTTCGGCGGCAGATACTTAGATAGCACGTCTGCTGTCCTGCGTAGTATGAACTTGGACGTGAGCTCTCTCAGTTCCTCATTGCGTGCCTCGCCTTTTTCAATGTCTTTTTTGGTGGCTTCTGGTTGTCTGCTCCGCACAATTGGTGCCTCAAATTCGCGAATAAATGCCTTGAATGTACCCAATATCCCCGGGTTGACAAGTTCCACAGCTGCGAAGAATTCTCTCAGATCATTCTGGATGGGCGTGCCAGAGAGAATGACTCTCTTTGCAGCATTCAGCGACTGGATAGCCTGACCGCTCTTGTTTTGTAATGTCTTTAGTCTGTGCCCTTCATCTGCGATGATTATGTCGACGCCAGCGCCTTTGGCGAGGATCTCGTGCACACTTCTCAGTTTCTCGTATCCAACGATCATAATGTTGTAAGCTCGACCCTTCGTAAAGTCGGTCAGACGCTTTCTATTGTCATCAAAGACAAAGACGCCGATGCGTTCATTCCCGAGCCACTTGCGGAATTCCTTTCGCCAGTTGTTGATGAGGGTAACCGGACAGACGATCAGGGCTTTCTTGATGACAGGAGGATCCTCGTAGATCGGATTCTGCTTTAGCAGAGTCCACAGCAATGCTATGGTCTGCAGCGTTTTACCCAGTCCCATGTCATCTGCTAGAATGGCGCCTTCGCCGTTGAACGACCGCATCCCCATGACGCACTCATAGAGGAACCGGACCCCTTCGCGCTGGTGTTCTCGTAGATTTTTCGACAGTAAAGGATCAACAACCACATCGACCACTTGCTTCCCCTTGGGAGCTGATTGAAGCCTTGGCATAACCAAGGCACCGGGCGCATTGGGATCATGACGAGGAACCGCTTTGACGGTAGATTGCGGAATGACTGTATCATTGAGCATCGGTTTCTTGTAAGCCGCGAATGATGGCGCTCCATTTGATGCTGCACTGCTGGTTCCTGATGTCGACCCATTTCGCTTGAGAGGCTGGGATGCTTTTAATGAAGCGAGGATGGGAGAATAATTGCGGCTCTCGTTCTTCTTCAAAAGGGACAGCCTCTTTGGTGGGGTGGGTGCAGGTGCGCTTTTGGCGCCATCCAAGAACACTTTTCCAGACAGGTACTCCGCGCGGGGAATTTCAGAATCGATCTCGACCTCTTTCCCACCGACGTACAGCATAGTCCCCGGTTCAAGACGCGACTCATACATGGCGCGTCCCATGTCTTTCCCTCCAACATCCCGCAAAGAGACATATCCTACCCGCGCGGAGAGGATCCCGTCTCCATCCCATGTCTTGTTCTTTTTCACACTCGGTTTGCGCCTAATAGAGTCACGGTCAAATTTTCGGTCCATTGAGAGTGTCAAACAGTATGAACATACCACAGGACATTAAAGTATCTCTCGCCAGGTGCACCATGCCTCGATGCAAGATCCGTAGAATCTGTTCCGTCTTTCGCAATGTTCTTCACTTGCAGTAGCGGTTTTCGTGGGCCCGGCGCGGGCTTTGCACTCTGGCTGGCTGCCTCGGCGGCATCCTCCTTGTGCAGGCGAGGTTTTTTTGCGAGAGGCTCGTAGTCGCTGGTCTCAGTTGTAGTCCTGATCAAAGGAGGCTTGAAGGGCTTGAAGACCATGGCGATGCGTGGGTCTTGTAGGCCAGAACAGGCAGCGTGTATTTCGCCGGGAAGGCGCGACGCGTGATCACGTGTCAAATAGACCATGACGAAGAACATCTATAGGAGACCTGTATGGGGTTGTGATTTTGGAATAGCCTTTCCCTTTCTGCTAGTATCCGACCTTCGCCTAATTTGCTACATCTGGGTCTGATTCAGTCCATGTCGACTACATTGGAGAGGCAATTTATGATGAAGAGTAAGTAAAGAATGATGATTATGCTTCTTTCACGGGCAGTTATGTACAAACCCCCAACTACCATAAGATTAAGGGGATATATCAAGGAATAGATATAACATGGATATTTCCTTCGAAGAAAAAGCTTCCGAGAGTCGTGGATCGACCATGAGCAAAAGGCAGACAAAATAGATTAACCAATGGTATATGCAAAATCGTATCACTCAGCAGCGCCACACCTTCACTGAGCGTCCTCCATCAAGGCCTTGTCGGTCAGAGGAATGTTCTTCGGGCCCTCATAGCTGCCCTGGCGGATGAACCACCAGATAGCAACAAAGATGGACAGACCGCCAGTCATCAAACTGGCATAGTTCATAGAGCCAGCCTCCGCAGGCAAGGCATATGGGAAGCAGAAAATGACGACGAATGCGAGGATGTAGACACATGCCAGGGCATTGATAAGATAGCCGATGATGTTATTCATAAAGAAGAAACCTGGCACAAACGACGAGCGCCGGGTGAGGATGTGCGGGAAGATGGCCATGAAGTAGGACAGACTGGACAGTTGGACAAAGCACCCGACGAAGGCGCTGAAGGCAGTGGTGGAGCCGAGGTAGATGCAGGCCAGGACGGTGATCAGACAGCCACAGACCAGGGTGGCGTTGAACGGGTTGTGCATCCGGGGGTTGATTTGGCTGAGCCAGTCGGGGAAAGGAGTGGCACGATCACGGGAAATTGTCCACAGTGTCCGGCCGGCGGTGATGTAGCAGCCCGTGCAGGTGATGAGCGTGGGCAGGAAGGCAACGATCAACAGACCCAGAGCGCCGCCGCGAGACCCAGTGGCCTGGCGATAAATCTCAGCGAGAGGGAAGTTAAGCGGGCTGTTGCGAACTAGATCGAGGTTCTGAATGGAATAGAACACGGCAATCATGTAGCAAATACCCGTGACGAACCCAACAGCCATCTGAGCCAGGACGGCTTTGGGAATGTTCCGACTCGGCTTGGGGATCTCTTCCGCAAGGTGAGAGGAGCAGTCAGGGGTCCCAACACTGTAGGCACCGTTGAGCATACCGAGGACAAAGACAAAGCCCGGCTGCGTGTAGCCGGTTTTATTGGTCCACTTTTGCCAAATCTCGTAGTCAGAGGCATAGCCCACACCATTGACATATGGCATGACAGCGCAGACGATGATGGTGATGAAGACACCGGCGAGAATGAAGAACATGCCAAGATTGCCGATGTAGGGCAGGAAGC